AGACGACGGTTCTACATCTGGTGATGGTCTGGAAAGCGATAAGAAGGCCGGAGGAGAAAAGATGTCGCGGTCCGCATCCAATCCTCTCCCTGCCAAAGCCAAGAAGCTGAGCAGCCAAGACGCACAGGCTAAACGGTTGCTTGGTCCTTCCAAGGCTGGCGTTTCTAAGCCCAAGGCGAAGCCCGCTGCCCCGAAGGCGTCTCCAACCAAGAGCAGAGGGGCTGGTTCCAAGGGCACCGACAAACGTATCCTATCACAGGAAATCATTGTCAACTCAGATACCTCTGGCGATGAAGCACCGGCTCCTCCTCCCGCCTTCAAGCCGAAACCCAAACCTGCCGCTTCTTCCAAGGTCAAGGATACCGTCATTGTTGCTGGCCGCCCGCCAATCAAAGCTCCAACTCGACCAGTACCTGTCAAGAGACCCCGCGAAGACGATGACTCTAGCTCTAGCTCTGGCACACCGCTATCGAAGCGCATCAAGCAAAGGCAATCGTTGCCGGCGGCCCGGCTGAAACACCGCCCTTCCGATGCCAGCGTCAACTCACGTGGCACTGCTGCTTCGTCATCCTTCAAGAGCAAGAATACCTCGCCGACCAAGTCGTCTCCCCTGGCTTCCTCGCCGCCTACGAATGCTTCCGATCTCGAGAACGATGCGCCGCCACCACCACCACCCAAGATGAGGCGAAAGGCAGGAATGGAATCCAAGCCACTGGCAGCGAAGCGACGAGCGGCAGAGAGCGTCTCAATGGAAATTCTCCACAAGGCCAACACATTCAAGGCCTACTACCAGCAATATGAAGCATTGCATTACGAGATTTCAGCATTGGATAACCCTCCTCATGAGAAGCTGGCCGATTTGCTGGACATGAGGGGTCGGCTCGAGAGCATGAAGAAAGAAATTTACAGAGAGTGTTCGCCAGCAAGAGACTAGGCAACGAAAACGCACTCGGAATCAAACAGTTTTACAACAATCCAATACAGAAAGGGGCGGCGGTTAATGATTTACAAGTTGAAATGATGATTCGATTATAGCAACAAAAAGGGGATTGGCTACTTTTTTTTTTCTGTTTCTTTTCCACACTGCGTTCTTTTCTTTTTTTTCCACCAGGAGTTCCGGCTTTTTTCCACCTCTTTCGCATTTACACGAGGAATTTTGGGCAACGGATTTTGCATCTGACAGCGAAGCCCTTAGGATAGGCTCGCTCTGGCGCAGGATATGGCTGATACCATTCGAATTTAGAATCTCGAGCAGAAGAGACCAGCAGAAGAAACATCTGTCTGAAGTTCTTTAGTTGATTTTGATATTTGGTTTTGAAACGAACGCAGGGCCCTGCTACAATGAGTACTGAATTACTGAATTAGTGAATTAGGAGGTATGTAGCTTATAGTAGGCTTCTAGTAGTAAGAAGTAGATACAAATAAAAAGTTTTTGGACTCAATTTCGTTACATATGATCTATCGAATGCAAGAGAATATTGGCCTGGCAGTGTACGGCGCTGAAGCTGTGCCTGATGTCACCTTGTTGCACTGAGCTGCGTAGAGGGATCAGCGTCCGCATGAAGATCTTTGTTGATCACCCATGCCTTGCCTACAACAGATGCCGTATTCTAGCACATGCTACTGCAGTGTTACCGGTTCTACGGAGCCGTGGACCCGAAATGCTACGGGTCAAGGCTAGCATCTCGCAGCTGAAGTTGAAACAACCACGGGATCTAGCCTAGTGATCACTCTTGGCCTATGACATTTTATTTTTCAACTTCTGTTTCATGCCCTCAGGGGGTTGGTTTGTTTTATTTTGGTATTTTACGGGCAATTGGCTCCCGTGTTGCCCTGTTAATGTCCTTTTTCATTTCTGGCTGACCCTCCTTTCACAAATAAGCCGCGGCAAATGAGCTGGGAGCGCGGCCAGCTGCTTCGGGCCTAGCCAGTCATGTACGTAATCTGCGCTCCTCTCCCGCGTTTTGCCTTGCTTCTCTATGCTTTCGCTGACTTTCTCTCTCTTTTCACTTTGGGGAGGGGTCCCCACGTGGGGTGTGGCAGGGACCCAATTTTAGAAACTTTTTTCCCGTCCTTCTGCCGTATCGGAGTCACCTATCATAAAATCTATACCGCCTTTTTTTTTTCTGCCCGCTGTCTTAGTCAGGGGGTCCCAACTCTTTTTTCTTTGTGAGCGGTGACATGCTGGGGTTATTTTAGACTTCCTCAAAAAAGAACCCTGTATCGCTGTTCTGTATATTCCCCGGATTTTTAAGAGACTGTAATTCATCATGATAGCCAACTAGATCCTCACTCTCTGTTGAGAGGGCATTTTCTTTTTCCTTTTTCGTTTCTTCCTTTACACATTTGAATCGGCGATTTCACGGCGTTTGGTACTTGAAGCATTTTACTACTGCATTTTACGACCTTTTGGGAATTTGGCGGGTTTTCGGATACAGGGACTGCGAACATGGCTCTGGCGCCAGAGGATTTTCCGCAGATGTGGCAACGGCCAGGCTATGAAGAGCTCACTGGCATTCTCGAGAGCCTAGAGCTGAGCCCTCCCGTTTGGAACCACAGACAGCAGCGGTCAGACATTGTTGCGCAGCAAGAATCGCTAGCCACTCAGCGCAAGGCAGAAGTGACTCGCTATCTTTCATCTATCATAAAGAGCCCTCTGGCATGGATCGACGACTATGACAAGCAAGAGGCCTTGTGGGAGCTGGCGAGCAAACGCATGTCTGAGAGATGTGGCCGGACTGCCATGGGCGAAGTGACGAGACGGTGGCCGTTTGAAGGCGATGGCGCCGCGTGCGAGCCGTTTGAGCTGATCATCAAAGAGCCTGCTCTGACGGGCGACTCGCTAGGATTCAAGACCTGGGGTTCATCATACGTGCTGTCACGCTATCTGCCTCGACTTGCTGCGACTTCGCTGTTCAAGATCTTTGACGAGACGCTTGGCCAGCCTCCTCCTACGGTCCTGGAGCTCGGCTCAGGAACGGGGTTGCTGGGTGTGGCGGCAGCGGCTTTTTGGCAGACGCATGTGATTTTGAGTGATTTGCCAAACATTGTGCCCAACCTCAAAGATAATATGGAGACGAACAAAGATCTGGTAGAGTCTCGAGGAGGGTCAATGTCTGTCGGCCCACTTACATGGGGTGGAGAAGAAGACGAGATTGACCAGGAACTTTTTGGCGAATCTTTTCAGTTCAAGGCAAGTTGTTTAATCATTTGTAAATGCTATATTCCTAGCGCTAACCCGTGAATGATATCAGGTCGTTCTCGTTGCTGATCCCTTGTATGACGACGACCATCCTGCGCTTCTCGCTTCGGCAATCTGCCAGAATCTTGCTCTCGGCTCCGAATCCAGGGCGGTGGTCATGGTGCCTATGCGAGACGATACAACGCGTGGGCTGCTGGAGTCTTTCAAGCAGGCCATGTTGGATCTCGAGACGCCGCTGTTCCTCGAAGAAGAGAAGAAGTTGGATGGTGAAGATGACTGGGGCGAAGACGAGGACGAGGGCCAGGTCGAATGCTGGCTGGGTGTCTTTTCTCGTGGCGGATCTCCTTTGACGGCGTAAATAATGATGAAGAATATGAGAGCTTCTAGAAGATGTACATGATAGATGGTGGCTAAAGTTGGCAGAAAAAAAAACGGAATAGGATAGATTAAACTCAAAACTCGAGATGGCGTATAGAAGCTAGAATTTAATATAGACCCGCATACATGGCATTTCTGCAAAAACATTCACCACCCATACTTTGATTTTCAACACCAAGACAACCGTAGGCTCAGAGTAAAAGAAATAGGATAGTAGTAATCAATTTGCATCAGCTTTTTATCCAGGCAGAGATATCTAAACCTTGCATCTCGCATCTTCTCTCCTTCATCCAGTATTTCCACGTTTGTATCTAGTAAAATGGCACGATGATTCACTACACTTGATAAAGAAAAGTATGGTATCTTCTCCAAGACCTCTTCTAAAAACGGCTTGTTATTGGTAGCCTATTGTTCCCCAAATTATGCTCCAGCACAATAGATAAGCTTCATCGAGTGCGTGGTTGAACGGTCTGTATCTGATTCAGAAACGCAGGGGCTTCTTCTGACTATGGCGTAGAGAGAGAGGATATTTTTGCCCTGCTCTTGTGCTTCTGTTGCCTTCGCTTTTCTTCTCTCCTTTACCATTTGTCTGCTTCTTCTACGACCGCAGGTTTTCTATCAAACTTGTTCTGCATTCCTCTCCATTGCGTATTCCTCACAAACATCCCATGATATTCTCTTCTCCTATACACAAACCAACAAATTCACTTGTGGTAGGGAAAAAAACAAAAAGGCAACTCGCCCTTCTACTTGCAGGTACTTTGAGCTACGCGTGCGTTGGGAAAACCCCGTGACCGGGTGCCGGAAGATTTGCTGAGTCCCTACCCGTCCGCACTGGCACAAGCTTCTTCCCCCCTAAACTTTGCCCTCTATCCTCTACCACCTAATTTTCCCTTTTCCTTCCTCTTGTTTTTTTGATTTTTCCCTGCACGCGAATTCGGCTTTACTTTCTCTTCCTTTACCTTTGATTTTTTGCTCACGTTTTGTTCTTTCTTGATTATCTTTGTATTAGATAATTCCTCCTCCTTACCCTTTATTTTTTTTTTCCTGTGTGACAGGAAAACCCACTGCAGGTATTGCTTGGAGCCGCTATCGCTTCCTCCCTCCAGCTTGTACCCGAAAGGAAGCGTTTGGTTCAAGCAAGCGAGCACACATCGAGGAATCTATTTGATATTTACTCCTTTGTTTCCGTTTGAGGAACACACGCAGGCTCTGTATAAGGCGTCGAGTGGGCGAGACGTTGCTACTCTTTGCGGTTCACAGCATAGCGTCGGCATCAGGCAGAAAGGTAACTTGCACTGCAGCTTCTGAAAAGGAAGCTTGATCCCTGAATTCACTGTCATGGCCTTATTCACGAGTAGCAAAAATCAAACAGGAGACCAAGCTGACGCGTCACAGAAATCAAAGATACCTCGTCATCATGGTCGGCGCAGCGCAATACCAGGACAACGAGATTGAGTGGGTTCTCTCCGCCGTTGTCACCAAGAAGAAGCAGTCGTACATTCAAAAGCACTTCAAAGAGAAGTTTGGCCGTGAGTTGAACCATAATCAAATTCGCTATATCAAGAACAAGTATGGCAAAGATCCCAGGTTCAAGTAGGTTATTCCCCCTTTCTCAATCCTCAATTCTCAGCTGCTTCGATACCCTCTGTTACTCTCTATGTTGACAGTTAGAAGAGAAAGAAACTATAATTCATCAAGTGACGACAGCATTTGCGCAGAGAATACTAATATGTTATCGTTTCTATAGTAGCCCGCTAGTGAACATTCATGCTCCTCCGAGAGTAACAACTCCTGAACCAAAGGGTTCGAGTGAGCATGGAGATGTAGATACGAAGAACAATGATGCTGCCTTTGGAAATCAAAACCAAGCTGGACCTTCGGTGGCCACAGAAGAGGCGCAGAATGGACCAGAGGATGATGGTACGAAAGCAACGCAGCCGAAACGCAAGAGAAGCCGCCATGGGCAAGGGGATGCGCTTGAAAGGTAAGTTGTTTACTAATATTCCATATATCACGTTTTGAAGCATAGTTTATAACATTGATTTGCCTTGAGTTCAAGATTGATAAAGCACACCACGAAATCCCAACGATTGAATTCCAGTCCTCAACAAAGTGCTACGTCAGGCCCAATCCTTCTTTCCCAGCAGCAGAACAACTCCGATGTTCGCTTCTCTCTATCGCATCCCCACACCCATCCATCATCAATGCCACAAGCTTCCCTGGGGGACAGCGACCATACACCCCTATACGCGGGAATGTTTCAAGGCTTCCAGCATCCACAAAATCTTGCGCTGCTGCACAGCACGAACACTAGAATTACTTGGGCTCCATCCATGTTCATGAACAGTCATAGTTGGGAAGCGGCTGGAAATACTCCAGTATTCACAAGCATTAGTGGTAGCGCAGATTCTTCCGCTATAACCCAAGCATCACAATCTCCAATGATGGAAAACCAATCGATGGGATACACGATGTTCCAGTCGCCAACTGCAGATCAGTACCAGTTTCGACAGCCCTCTTCTCAGCTGGGCGGCCAACAAGTCTCGCAGTTTTCGCCCGCCACACCCAGCCTCAGTTCGCCTCCATATGCAGGACATCAGGAACAACACCAGCAACTGCTGCAACAAGAACAGCAGCTCTATTCTCATACTAATGTTGGCACCATTCCAACCTTGCCTGGTTCTGAAATATCAAACTTGGAGAACGCACCATATGTGCAGAATCTATCAGGGGTAGCTCCTCAACTAATCCCAAGCTTTCAGGAGGTTCCTATTGAGTCAACATGTCCCCAGCATGGTACAAAGCAATTGAATCTAGCTCAGATGGAGAGTGGCACAAACTGGGCTCACACTACTCCTCCCCTCAACTCCTCTCCCCAAAATCTCTCTCTTTTCGACTTCACTGCATCGCCCATAAGCTTTCCATTTGAAAGTGTAAGCCAGACGGGCCCTACAGCTGCTTCTTCGCAAGCTGTCCGTCAAACACTTTACAACAATACGAACATGTATAATTCGAGCTTGCCTACTCAAGGACAGCATAATCACTCGCTGCAGTCTGGTCAACAGCATTTCAGCTTTGATGCTAGCGCATTCGAGCTTCTTAACATGGCCCAAATCCCTAGTCTGAACACCACAACCGCCATGCCTTATACGCAACTATCGTACCCAGTGAACAATACGACAACGGCTTTCTCGCCCTTGATGATGCAAGCTAGATATCGGCCTCATTCATTCCACAGACGATCCACTCCTGGACGACATGTTTGCGCTGTGCACGGTACAGCAAGTGATATGTCTGGTACGATTGATCCAAGACTGCTGGCTACGAACTCGCCTTCCCCCCAACCTCGTACATCTATGTCTTCTCCCTTGGATGAAGCTAAGCGCGGAAAGGAAACGCCCACAAAGAGTTCATCATCTTGAGACTGTTTGATATATGCCATTTCATGGGAGGCTATTATCGTTTCATCTTTTCTATTTCTCGCAACGGTGCAAATCGGCTGTATAAACAATGTTGGAGCACAAAGAATTTGGTATTAAAAACCAAGACATAATGCACAAAAGAGAGCGAATAGGAGCTCTATTTGAACAGAAGCAGCAAGGACGGGTATATCCGAACTCAAAGTGCTGTGGTATACAAGCACTTAGGCGAATGGGGTTCATTTGCTCTCTTCTTTCATTTCAGTTTTTCTTTTTTAAGTAGTATTGCAAACAAATCTCAAATCTCAACCAAAGATAATCTCCTAACTCAAATAACCACAAAAGTGCTCTCCACAACTTGTATTTGAAAATCGGAAATGCTAACTGATAATATCTTCCACAAGTTAAATAAACAAAGTGCTTCCCAAAACTAGTGATTGGAAATCTGAAATGCTAACTGACGATTACCTCCCCAAATTCAATAGAAAACAGCAAAGGTTCCTCCCAAAAACAGCTTCCAAACTCCTTTTTTGCCTTGCGGCAACATATCGAAATTAAACCCATTATCCAAGAAGCGAATGATCATACAGCTCTACCTCCCCCTTCCCTTGTCGTGTTGTTTATTTTTTCGCTAAATGACTGCTGCCCCGCCAGATACATAACTAACCCTGATAAACAGACTATTCCTCCTTTACATTATCTCACTCCCCCCCCAAGCGCCGTAATCAACTTAAAAAAAGTGTAGTGCAAAGGGGTATATAGAGCACATGGAAACAGGAAAAAAGATGGTCGCTAAAACTCGTATCACATTGTCCCAATTGCCTTCTCTTTTTCTCTCTTCTCTCCTCTCTCCTCTTCACTTTTTAATTCGCCCTTTATCATCCATGGTAAATCTTCTCCAGGTAAACGTATAGAAAGACCATATGCAAGGGTCTCAGATTTTTAAATCGCAATGCTGGTGTGTCGTCGAGCTTCAACTTCCTCAAGAGAGAAGTTGAAGACAAATCTAAACAGATCCCTCAAGTAGGCATAGCGAGGCGAGTTATTGGCCAAAGTCGAGACGCTCTTAGCCATATCCACGGCTGAGACGCGCTTGCCCCGTGAGGGCATTGAATGGTTGCGAGGAATAAATGCGTCCATGAGGACGGCGTTTTTGAACTGCTTAAAGAGGGAAGTATCTCTTGGAAGAGGGCCAAAAGAGTCTGCTGGTAGGGCTTGTACAAAGTTTTGCAACAGTGCAGGTGCTGTCTTTGGATCAGCAATGGTTTCACGGTCGAATCCAAGATTCATCGCGGCTCGGAGAACCAGAATCTTGGCCCGTGTAACGTTGGGATCTTCAGCTGCATTGGTCGTGGTCGCGGTGCTTGAAGTCCTATTGCTGCTGTGGGAGAAGCTTGACAGATTGGAAGCACTGCTGGACCACCTTCCACCTCGACCATTATCACTGGAAGGGCCAAGTACTAGGAGATTGGGCATTTGTGGGGAGCGACTTTCTGGAGAGATCGGAGTGTCCTCGAATTCTGTGACTGGAGTTTCGGGGACTGGCGGGGGCTTCCGCGGCCGCTCTTCTTGATGGACGCTCTTGATGCTTACTTGCTTTGAGTGACGTGACGAGCGATTTGACTGACGACTTTCACGTCCAGTTTGGTCCGAGGGCTGGGAGAAGAAGCTTGCATGAGAGGGCCGAGGGGTGTTTCTATCCGTGGACACCTTTGTCCAGCTGTCTTTGAATAGGTCGCCCAAGCCCCAGCATGCTTGAACCGTAGAAAGGAGTAGTTCGCTGTCTGGAGGCTTACCCTCCAGTCTATTCTGACGCAGACTGAACAGCATTTCTGCAAGCGTCCAGCAAGCCCCGAGGAGTTGATCAGTTTTGCCAACAAGGTCAACTCGCTGCTTCATTAGACGATGGCATAGTGTGATGTAGAAATCGAGAGTGCGTTCTCTGAATTCCTCTGGTAGGTTTCGATTGTCTTGAGCGCTATATAAACTGTTGCGGGGTATTAGAAAAGTAGAGGGAAGAAGTGAGGATTCAGGGGGGGGGGGGGGGGAAACACTTACTGGTTATTCAATTCAAAGCTAACCCTTAGGACGGAGTCTGCCAGCTCGTCCTTTTTCTCACGAACGTCGAACAGAGCCTGGCAAAAGTCACGGCACAGGTCTAGATTGAACTTGACGCTTAGATATGCCGGATCCTCATCCTGGTTGTCGTAGAGCTTATGGCAGAGCTTCCAACACGCTCTCCACGCTCTTTCGACGGCATCAGGAGTTCCCGAATCTCTGAAAGCTCTCGGTCTATGCATTGAACTTAGATTGGCTAGAGTATTGCACAAAGTCCAAGACTCGTGAAGGAGAGTTCGCAGGTCGCCAATCTCATCAGCTACCTGGGGTACATGGGGAAAGGGCTCTTCATCGTCATCATCGCCCTCGGCCTCGGTCTGTTCATCGATTTCTGTAACTAGTTAGCAATGGCATGGCGGCGTAGAAGAATATGCAAGACACCGACTTTCAAGGCTGCTGGTGCTGCTAGAGCGCAGCCGGCTACCATCGACAAGCATATCTTGCAAGTCTTGTGCCCTTGGAGTGGCGCTATCTAGACTATATCGCACTGGCTTGACATCGGTGGAGATAGGGGGCCGAGTAGGATGGCTGGGCGGCTTTATTATGAGAATTTCGTCAGCTTCTGCAATTAATTGTTCGTGTACGGAGTATGTTGGTAGAGGTTGCACTAACGCTATTGAAGGTAGACGAAGGTTGGCTGGCGCCATCTCCTTTAGGTGATGATCTTTCAGTCGAGGTAACTGACTTGGCGGAAGGCTCGCTGGATGCCTATATGTAAATTTAGCCATGTTGCATATCAGGTAAGTTGTCTGCACGCAATGCTTACCCAACTAGCAAAGCTTTCCGGAGCATGGATAACCGAGACAGCTTCTTCGGGATTGCCTTGGCGAACAATATCCGGCAGATTGGTTGTAAGCATAAACACCTATCCTGATATTAGCACTGGGACGTACGCAACTTGACGTCCTGGTATCTAATTTACTTACATCTGAATGCTGACGATAGTGATTTTCCCTTGCTACATGATCTAGCTCGACGTCGTCGGCAATGTCATCTTCAATCTCTGTAGTCTCAGTGCCGTTGGACGTTACAGGAGATGGTCCGACAATGTCACTGGGGCTCAATACGTGCATCGATTGGGACGATAAGCGATGGTGAATAGAGTCAGGCCGAAGAGAAGAAGAGTCAGTGGCAGGCGGGGGAGAAGACCTAAAATGAAGAAGTTAGCGATGGTAACAGAAAAACAGGTCGACAAGCGTCTCGAGCATACATGATTCTGTATGGAGATCTGACTCCATCGGATTCGGACGTCGCAGACATGTCGTCGTGGTGGCTGAATTTGAACTGTAGGCTCCCAGCGGATGATCGTAGCGGCGCTTCGAGGGCCATGATAGTCGATCAATGCAGCGCGCGAGAGAAGAATGGCGCCAAAGACTGCAACGTCGAGCTGTCTTATACAGCAACTTTTTTCTTCGTCTCCTTCTGGAAACAGTGATCTGCGCAGCAGCAAAGAAGCCCAGAAAGCCCTGCTTCCAAGCTGACAGCGCAGACGGCCTCTAATTACCCCACGAAAAAAAGCCTTGGGTCGCAGCCGCAGTTGTGGCGATGTGAAGCGCTCGAGATGCGGCGGGAATGGTGTTTCGAAGAGCTAGCAGAGGCGGTCGCAATCGCGGGCCTCGATTGACGGTCGTGCTTCCAGAATAGAAGCAAAGCTGCACTTCGAAACGTCCCAGTCGTAGATCGGGCAAGGCAGTCCAGGCACGCTGGATGGCGGGCTGGCTGGTTTAAGAGACGCCGCGGCCAGGCAGAGGGACCAGGGGTCAGCACACCCCTGCTCAGAACATGCAGCGACGCCGGGCTGCACAGACTCCAGCTAGTCCTCGTTCCGGGCCTCGTTGATGGAGGAATGGCGTTTGTGAGTATGGAGTCGCAGCAAGCAGAAGTAGACTCCGCGCTCTGGAGCTCGCGCTTAATGGACGCCGCTTTCCGGATACCACTACTGCAGGTGGGCTGGGCGAAGCGGAGAAGAGAACAGCAAAGAGCTCGGCAAGTCGACGTCCTTGATATCAAGTCGAAGCTTTGTGGGTGGGTGAGCAAGTAAAGGGCTTCGTCAGCAGACAGCTTTGAAGGAGGGAGGCCAGAAGACAAGAGAGGCTCAAGGCTAGTCCGGTCACAATAGAGGAAAGGAACCAAAGTGTCCACAATGCGGCGAATGGCGAGTCACACTGAGAGCCTTGGATGGAGGACCGATGGATCGGTAAGACGGCCTCAAAGCCTAGCCTTGGTGTGTGAGGAAAGACGAGCTGGAGGATGGATGAACTTGGCCAGCGGGCGGTCGAGGCACAGAGCCTCGAGTGCTATTGCCGGAGCTGCTACGGCGCCTATAGGCCTATGGGCCACGGCATGCATGCAGGATCCATCCGCCAGCTAATGTACGTGTAGCTCGAGCCCGCGGTTAAAGAAGAACGCCTACTCTACTGGTACATATCCAGGCCTCACGGTGGGTAAGAACAGACGCAAGGCGCCAGCCCGTCGCTTAATCTGCCGTGCTCTTGATCCTGCTAGTACGCTGATACTTGTCGACTGACAATTGACTGCTAGGCATCGTGAATCCCTGGCGGATGCGCCTTCGTGGGGGAATCAGCTCACAGAGCGCGCTCGCCCAGCCGAGAGTGGAGGGCTGGCAACGATGCCCGTCGCTCAAAGAAGAAATGACAAGCCAGCAGTCTCGCGAATAGCCGCGGCTTGCGCAAAGGTACAGATGGGTCAGCTACGCGAAAGAAGGCTGTCGAGTCGGCAAAGTGCTGCTTGGAGGAATCCCGACAATGATACGAGCACTGCAGACGTTACGCAAAGACCTAATCTACCCTTATATCTCATACCTCTTGCAAGATATCTACAGAATACGCAGTGGTTCCTGCTGCCCTTTTCCTCAACTCTTCATGCTGCTACCACCGGCTCGCAAACAAAAGAGGACCCAATGCCCACAAACAAGAGAATCACCTTTCTCTCGCTTCCTTGTTGTCTGTTGGACACTGCAACCTTGAAAGCCTTGCCTGACAATGCGACGCGACCGGGGCGGGGAACTGCTGCGCTGCATCTAGTTCTTGAAGAGGACCTTCAGAAAACAGCAACTGGCCACTCACAGACACGATCGGTCGCAGAGTGGATGCAGCATGCATAGAGTCGACAGGCGTCGGCGCTTAATTCAGGTGGATGACATGCTAGTCACGATTTGTCGACGAACCAAGACCCCTGGTCGAGCGTGCATGGAGAATATGCGAGGTCGAGCGAGAGAAAAAAAAGAGAGCGTCCAAAAAGTTGAGAGCTGATGGCTTTGGAGTTCCTTCTTGAAGTCACCCATATGTGCAAGCCAAAACAATGGCTTGAGGATTTCACGACCACCAACACGGAAATGTGCTGCTGACACTTGGAGGCAAGGCTGGACTGCTGACTCGCAATTGATTGACTGACCACCCAGAGACTGCGTGCTCCATGCTATTTACGGAACTGCTCTCCGTGTCCATGACATGAATATGCTGTTGGTCGCAGCAACTGCTTCCAACATGCTGCCACGTCTAACCCAGTAGCAAGCTCCATCTCCGAGCATCAGCCCAACCTCGGCGACGCTGCTCGACTCAGAGGTGAAGACTCCAGCCCTCCCACCACCATCGTTTCTCGTCACAGCGCCAATCTGCTCGGTTCGTGGTCCGCGATGCCCCTCGACCCCTGTGCTCAGTCCGCAGACAGAGTTTCTCAACCCGCTGATTGGCAGCGCTCGACCCGACGATCTGGTCCCGGCGCTACTGCTGCTACAAAGCCGGTTAGGCTCGGCCAAAGGCCCACCAGCTCTCTCGAAGCACCCGCCAGTGGGTCGCCGATTTTCTGCTTCCCCGAGCCTGAGCGGAGTCACCAGATGCTTGTTTGTATGTATGTATGCCAGTGTGTGTGAGAACATGCAGATAAGGCACATGGAAGGCTTCCGGGCGGGCGTAGAGCAGCGCTCGAGGCCAGCAGGAAGGGAATAAGTCGGGCATGCAAGTTGTCACAGGCTGCTAAGCTTTATAGGCTCTTCGCGTCGCACCCACAGCTTGCGTTCTTGGCTTGGCGTGGGATTCTGCTGAACTGGCACTGCATGTGGCAGTATCTCTATTCTACAGTGATGCACATCGTGACGGCCTATTGCAGTAAGTGGTACGGAGTTCACTCATATATCATATCCTTCTGCTGTATGGATGGGAATGGTCCACTCTCGGGCCGCTGTTGTCCTGAATCTGAAACCTCACAGCTTCGTGCAGGTTTACTACCACTGGCAAGTTATTTTGCACAGCAAAATGCCATGGCAGGTCGCGGCGAAATTGTGGTTACTTGTTATCTCAACTACATTCCCGTGGATACCTATATAAACGCTTTTCCCCACGGGAGCCGCAGCATAAACCAGCCTCGCTGGATTAGCTGCTTGGTAGTATGAAACGCATTTACACGAATCAACATCAAGCTGGCTGCATGGAAGCATGCCCGCTTCGAACCAACACACCAATAGAGATGGAGTGAGCCAGCACTAGTGAATGCCAGCTGTCGTACTAAAGGATGGAGGTTTGCACCCAACAGCTGAAGAGGCGTTTATGCAATGCACTCGATGGGTGCATACATAGCGGCGAGCCCAAGGATTTAGTCTCCAACCTACCGGCAAGTAGATGAGGCTCTTGGGAAAACAATACAGCTAAAGGCCTTCTTCTCTCGTGACAATAACCACCTAAAAGCTGTCCGCCCATTCCTTCGCGCCGGTATCCTTGTAATGAATATCCACCCTACTACGTACTGCATTGATGGATTGCAGTTGATGCGTAACTTCGACGTCTTGCTTTATGACGCTGGAGTCCAGATGGGCTCTCTAAGTGATAGCTCTGACTCATTTACGCTGCACTATGGATATGTGCTGGAAATTGATAGGACTAGACGACTGGGAGCTAACCAATATGCGTCCAAGAATCACTACTCTGTGGCGTACGCACATGACGATAGGAAGCGGTGAATAGCTAGGTTTGCAACTATCCACTTGTATCTTGCGATATTAACTGCCGTATATGTGGTATTGGACAGGATCCTTGCCTTGTAGAACATTAGTTATTCCACACAATCCAATCCAAAGCTGGACCTGAGCCCTTGTGGTATTACCATATCTCCCACATACCATCTCACGATTCATCTGTATCCCATCCTGAAGAGAAAACATCAACAGTATGCCGTGGTTGCTGTAAGGTGCCGCAATATTGCGAGTAAAGTAGAAGTCATCGTTCGATTATTACGGCGTGTTTACGGCCTCGCCGCCATCGTTGCAATCTGATTTTTATTCGTCCTTGCGCCAAGCCAGAAAATACGTATTAACAAGATCCAAAACGCCAAACTGTGCATCACATCTTTCTATTTGATCAAAACTTTATGCCGACTCGTTCAATCTCTGCTTCTTTTCGTTGCGTCCATCGGGGGTGTACCTAAGAGATTGATTAGCAATCAGGGGGGCATCTTCGAATCTCGATTGTGGTGCCGTACTTTAGAAGCTTCTCGATGAGGTCGACGTGTGTCATGATCATACGTCGGCAGCAGTAGCGCTTCAGACCTAACTCGTCCATGGCATCACTTTCTTGAAGTTAGTCCCGAGGCCTGCCTTGACAGTTGAAAGGATACCATACCCATCGGTCTTGCGCGGGTCTGCGATCAGCTGGAGATAGCGCTCCCAAAGGTCGCCAGTGACCTATTGTAATCAGTCATCATCCATTTTGGCGCTGGGAAAAACAAAGTATCTGGATGCCTACCTTTCCACAGGAGAAGCAGCGGATGGGAATAATCATTTTGGCGATGTGATGATGAATATAGCTTTGCGGTAGAGAATCTGGCAGCGGGAAGAGTTGCTTGAAGCGACGCGGGTAGCTGAAAATATTATTGCTGCCGACGTTCTGCCGCGCGGTGCTTATCTTATCGCTGATAGCTGGAAAAAGTTCACGGCGGCACCAAAATTTCTGCGGCGCATTGCTTCTAGTACTTTGAACCAGTAACTTGCTGCTATAGCCTGCCAATTGACTTCCAAAATTCTTCATTTTGGCAATTTTTTTTTTTTTGAACTCTTGTCAAAATGGCGGGCAGCAAGATTTCCAAGCCCAAGGACGATCCGACCAAAAAGAGAAAGAGGGACCTAAACGAAACCGACGCGCGAACAAAGAGATCAAGACAGCCGCAAGCCGATTCTACGGCCAACGGAGATGTTGAATCTGAAAAGCTTCAAAATGGGGAGGATATTGTCAGCCGTTCCCATGACGGAGAAACTGGCTGGCGGCTCTCTAAGCCCATGGGTGGTAGAATGCTTGACATTGATCCGATCCTAACTCAAGATGACCAGTAAGAAGCCAGTTCATTTCCTAGTTTCTGGAAGGGCTACCTATTCTGACGTCCTTAAGATTCTTAATTTTGACCTACAACACCTCCGTTCAAGTATACACAGCTAGCGACTCGCTTCTCCTGAGACGAATTCCGATAGGCGTCGTCGATTCCTCCGCGCAAAAGGGCGACTCTCCTGCAAGCATTGTTGCGACTCGGCTGTCTCTCCAGAACCCTGAATACATCTGGGTAGCTTGCTCGGATGGTCACATTTACTATGTGAAATGGACAGAGACAAACGAGTCGCACCAGTGCTTCCAGACTGTAACGGGAACTGCCAAAGCTATCACAGTGACGACAACGAATGCTGCGGGCGCAAAGGCTGATGTCGTCGTGGTGGCCGAATCGAATAGCGCAAATCGGATGGAGTTGACTACATATGGAGGCGATATTCTGTCTTCTCCTCTATCAAAGAATATATTGTCCGTCAAGAAGCCAGGAAATGGACTGCATCTGATTGAGTCCAGCCAAGACGGCTCAGTTTTGGTTGGCGCCTTCAACGAGACTCTATTTCTTGGTGTGGCATCACAGGAGCAGCCCGCTGGCTTCGAACAGCTCCAGTACGAATTCTTTTCTTTCGACGTCCCCGATCTCATCACCACTCTTGACTTCAGAGTGTACCCAGCCTCGGCCCTCTCTGGTAACAAGAGCAAAGGACGAGATTCCGACAAAGTGGTGGATGTTATTGTTGGTGGAGCACGAGGAGCCATCTATCTGTACCACGATGCCTTGTCTAGGAGTCAAGCACTTGGTAAATCCAACTCAGCTAAAGATGGAATTCAAGCGCAAAAGTTTCACTGGCACCGAAAGGCAGTCCATGCCGTCAAATGGTCTCGAGATGGTATGTTTTATAGATGTATCTTATCTAATGCGGTTTTCTAACATTTGGGATAGGAAACTATATGATCTCGGGAGGCTCCGAAAACGTCCTTGTGATGTGGCAGATGGATACCAACAGAAGAAATCACCTGCCGCATTTATCTGGCAGCATAGAGAACATTGTTGTATCTTCCAGCGGGTCATCCTACGTCGTACACTTGGACGATAACTCAACAATGGTCTTATCAACTTCTGAACTGAAGCCGACGACATATGTATCTGGAATCCAGTCCGCCGCCGTTGAGGCTACGACGCCCAAAGATTTGCTCGTACAGCGTGTCTGGTCGGTAGCGAACCAAGTACGACGGCCCATACCTGCTGCGATCAAGGCAACCGAGCCCTCCAAATTCCACGTTTGCGTTGGCAATGGCCGTCAGGCTACAATGACGGGAGAATTCTCAGCGCCGCTGTTGCAGACTTTTGATCTTGAAACCTTTATGAGTGTTTCTAAGCAAGCATTGGCCCGCACGCAGCCCACCGATGTGAACCTGACAAACAAGGGTTATGCCATTGAAGAGCCGGTCGTCACACATATCGCTTTCTCTGCGGACGGAAAGTGGCTAGCTAGCGTTGATGATTGGTTTCCTTCAAGCAGGGATGCTGGAACTGTCAGTGGCGACGCTGGAGACCAATTCCTCAAGGAGAGACACGAGTCATATCTCAAATTCTGGCAAGTCAATGACGAGGATAGCTCAATTGCTCTTGTATCGAGAGTGAATGCGCCACACGCAACAAGCCACCCAGAGACGGTTCTCGACCTTGCGTCAAACAATGCCTCGGCGTGCTTTGCCACCATTGCCGGAGATGGCATTGTTCGCCTATGGCGGCCAAAGGCCCGCCAGCAACAAGGTTCGCGAAGATCAGAGGGCACTACGGAATTTACCTGGGTTTGCTCCCAAGTGGTCCCTATTGGAGATGGACTTGGTCGCAATGCCATTGCAGATATCCCTAATGACGCCTCGGTCCCCGCCAAGGCTCAAGGCCGCCTTGCATTCTCAGAAGACGGCTCTACGCTGTTTGCAGCATTCGGCGCACTTGATACGGGAGCCGTGTATGTGATCAACGCAGAGTCTGGCGAAGTCGTCAAGGTTCTGGAAGGGCTTTGGAAGAGGCAGCTGCATTCCCTGCGAGTTCTATCACAATATCTAATCGTGCTCTCTGCGGAGCTGCATGTCTACGACGTTGTGGGTGATGACTTGCGGTATGGAATCGTCATGCCCAAGGGTTCTAGATCCGATGAGTTGTTACAGCTGGCCGTTGACTCAGTGTCCGGCAACTTTGCCGTCACTCTCCCTGTTGGCGAAACATCTAGCATAGGAGTCTTCCACCCTAGCAACCCAGAGCCGCTAATTGTTCGAAACACTCCTCACCGGGTTGTGAGCCTTGTTTCAGTTCCTGGCACTAGTGGATTTGTCGCTCTGGACGACGTGGCTCAAGTCTGGACCATCACTGAGGGATCCAACGCCTCGACCATTCTCGCTGCTCAGCCACTTCAAGATTTGCGACTCGACGGTGTTTCTGAAGAAGCCGATAATGGCAAGCTCGATATCGTTCTTGGCGGAGATGCTGAGAGCGACGATGAGATGGAAGAGGCTCAGAACGCAGACGAGGATGTGGAGATGGAAAACGACGATGTCCAAGCCAACATTATACCGCAGCAATATCTGGCGGACATTTTCGATGCTGCCCCGGCTTTTGCGGGAGCTTCTATTGAAGACATGTTTTACAAGGTGACCAGCCTCCTCGCTACTAAACCGCTGTCAGCTGGTACTGTATGAAGATGAAGAAAATCGTGTTATTCTGGGAGAATTTAATGCTACAAGTGGACTGGAATATATAAAAGAGAAAGATGTGTGTCTTTGGTGTAGCCAAGAGAAGGCTACCAGGTCATTTGGAATAATGAAGCTGAGATATCATCGTTTTGAGTGCAAGATATCAGACGCAGGAACGAACCCGCTATTACATGTACATAAACCCCATCTCGGGTATCGGCGAAAAGGATGTGGTGTTCCGATTTACGCAAAAAACCCTTTTGTTTCTTTGTTTAGTCACCTACAAATTATTGATATACAGCATGAGGAGTTATTACAGTATGTAATAGATTCGTTTTTATCGAAGCACACGAGGTTGACATCTTTTTGCCTCTTTTGCAATCGTTTACCGGGATCGGCCGGCACTACAGTGCGGGGGGAGTGGAGAGATGGGCAGATAGATGACCTTCTGGCGTATGGCGCCATTGGCACCACCTTTGACGTCGCTATAAAGATTGGCAGACAGGCTGGATATTTGAACCTATAAGCTCGAATAAACCATAGCGGTTCCCTCTGGAAGCAAGCAGATTGGAGTTTAGGTATTTAAGCTTGTGTGTGTGTGTGTGTGTGTGTGTGTGTGGCACTACTGTTTCAAGGCTCTGTCAGCTCTCTTATACAAAACTGAACTCAGCCTCGTCATCAACCACGCAGCGTCATGTCGTTCACATCGATTCCCATCCTCGACCTGGAGCTGTCCAGGGATCCGGCCACCAAGCCTGAATTCCTCAATCAGCTTCGCAATGCGCTCATGGAGGTGGGCTTTTTATATCTCAAGAATGTAGGCATCTCAGATGAGCTATGGGACGAAGTCATCAAAGAGGGCAAAAGCTTCTTTGACATTCCCCGAGAAGAAAAGTACGATTTAAGCATCCTCACATATACTCCAACCTATATATACATATATATGTATATGTATTTCACCGGCGCTTTGTTTTTACCCGAGTTACTCTTGCTAAACCAGGCATCATAGGCTCAAGATTGAAATGAAGAATGCGCCATCCTTCCTGGGCTACTCCCAGCTCTCGGCAGAAATCACAGCCGGCGCCGTGGACAACAGAGAGCAGATTGATCTCTCAACCGAACACGTCCTCCCAGGCCCAGGCGCGCCGGCATTCTACAACCTCCTCGGCCCCAACCAGTGGCCCTCGGAGGAGAGCGCGCCCAAGTTCCGCAGCACTTACACCGAGTACATGCGCCAGATGGGCGAAATCACAATGTACTTCACCTCGCTGATTGCCGAGGCCATCAGGCTGCCGCGGGACGCCTTTGAGAAGTACGTCGAGGCCGATCCGCAGCACAAGCTCAAGATCATCAAGTACCCGGACCTGGCCGAGCTGGGGCTGCCGGCGGGCGTGCAGGGCCAGGGCGTCGGGCCGCACAAGGACAGCATGCTGACGAGCTACCTGCTCCAAGCGACGAACCACCGCGGGCTGCAGGTGCAAAACGTCCAGGGCGAATGGATCGACGCCGCGCCCATCGACAGGACGCTCGTGGTGGCCATTGGGCAGGGCATGGAGGCGCTGACGCAGGGCGTGTGCGTGTCGACAACGCACCGCGTGCTGTCGCCCGAGTCCGGCACCGGCGCGCGCTTCAGCATCCCCTTTTTCCAGGGCATCAAGCTGGACGCCACCTTTGAGGAGCTCGAGCAGGTCGGCGTCGGCAGGGTGCCCGACGACATTCGGCGGCAGAGGCAGGCGATTGTGGACAGGACCGGCGGGCGCGTCGACGACGTCGAGTTTACGTTCCGCAGCGGCGCCGTGGCGAGCACCTTGGGCGAGGCGACGCTGCGCAACAGGGTCAAGAGCCACCCGGATGTGGGGGAGCGATGGTACCCGGAGATTCTAAAGTCGATTCGCGAGGAGCAGGCCGTGGCGCAGAGGCACAAGGAGGCGCTTCGTGATGCGCCGAGGCCGGTGGCGAATGCGGCCGCTGTTGTTGAGGCGCATTAGATGGATGGTTGATGCTGGGTTGAGCCGTTCTTGGCAGAAGCTTGGATGGCCAGGATTGATGCGTCTATTAAAAGAAAGTAAATGTAACAAATTAGAATAAGACAGATTGAAAGCTACCTACACAATAAGTGTTTGCCTTGTACAAAAGGAGATTGGCTATTTGACTCCCTACCAGTATCACCGACTATCACAATATGCGATGTCACTGGATAGCAGCCCTTGTGAACTGTACGGGCTTTTGGTGTGCCTGCATGGACAATGTTTGCTCTTCATCAAGTGCACTCCTGGCAATGTCTTACATGGCTGTGGCGATGATTGTTGACAAACCCACCACCTTCATCCACCGAGGGAGAGAAACACGATGCGCGCGGGAAACGTTTGGACGATTGCCATCGTAATGCATGGATTACCGATCCAACACTGTGCATAAAACCAAATTTTAAAATAAAAAGTGCAGCAGTGAGGCAGCCGGGCAGATCAAACAGACCCAGGCGGGAGGGATGTGCAATCAAGGAGTTGCGTTTCGTCTCGGTGAAACACGCTCGCAACACAATCTGCCGCAGAATGCCAAGGCACAGCCACGCCGTTACGTGCACCAGCAATGGCCGATTGAAATGAATGCTGTTCATGTCAATTCGTGCATTTATTTGATTAGATAAAGCAGTAAAATGATGATGGGCAATTTAATCAATACAAGGGCCATCTGCTAGTTCCAAGACATTTCTTTTTTTTGGTCCTACCGTAGCAACAAATGCTGGGCATTTCTTGTTCACTGCTGTATTCCCTTCTTTCCTTCTCCCTTTTTTCGAAGTTTGCTCTTTCTGCTTGATAGCCTGGTGCTTGACCGCTCTGTTGACCTCATTTTTTTTTGTCCAACTTTCTTTTTTCTTCTTTTTACTTACTCTCCCTCTCCCTCTCTCTCTCTTTCTTTTACTTGCTCTTCCTACCATTTTGACGCCCAGAACAAAAACTCTTCTGATTCAAGAATATCAACCGCCAAGATGCCCAGTATCGGATTCATGGCGCTGGAAGCGCGAGACGACGACGTGCCTTTTGGCTTTGTGAGGGAGGACAACGAGATTATTCCGTGGCGATATAGCAAAGTAGGCAGTCCAGCTTCCCATTGATTAGACACAGCATTAACAAACGCAACAGCAAGCATTCATCGTGAAATGGTCCATCATGGCAGGCATCATCGTGTTGATCTTGTCATTCCTCTTGGGAAGCTGGCTTCATCTGCGATCAAGAGTCAAAAAGGGTCTGCCGCCGCTGAGATATCACAGAGTGGGTTTTGCATCGCCATGTGCCATTTGTCTGCACACGTATACTAATGGATCTTGAATAGTTCTTGGTCAGAACTCCCAGACAGCCAGCTACAGGTCAACAGGCAAACGGATGGGTACCGCAGACAAACAATCCAATGGGTGGCTACTACATGGGCACCACGGCTCCCCCACCGGTATACGACCCAGCCAAATTTCCCATGTACTCAGGCCATACCGATGTAGAAAAGGTCGACTACGCGCGAGAACCTACCAGACGACCGGCCGAAGCCAACCCTGCGCCAGACTATTATGACATACCCTTGGGACCGCCTCCCGTTGCTGCGACGAGATAAATGTGGTGGCGAATTCAAAGAATACTTGGGTTCATGGAAGAGAATATCCAACGGCATCACTGTCGAAGATGGCGTGTTACTCGCGAGACTTTCGTAACGGGAACTGATGTATATTTACTGGAGACCATGCTCAAAGTATACCTAAGTGGTAGACAATGTACACGACGACAATTGCAATGCCGGTCTTGATGCTTGAGCACCTAGAAAGAAGAAGTTGGCAGTGACGGAACAATAAGCAAAGCAGATAATCCTATAGAAAAAAAGAGAGACCAGTAGAAAAAAAAAGGACAAAAAAAAAAGAAGTAAAAAGACACCAAAAACTCCCAAACTCTATTTATACTCCGGGTATATTGCACGTATAGCGCTGTCCTGTACTTTTAACTGTAAAACGATCACTCGAACACATCAATCAATATCCATGTCATCGCACATATCGTGAATAGGGAAAGCATTGTTCGGCGCAGGGTCGACGTGTGGCATCGTCCCAGTGGTGGTCTCTGGTGCCATGCTATTGATGTGCATCTCGTTGGTATCTGGTTTCTTTTGTCTATCTCTTGCTCGCTGGCGGGCTTCAATGATGGCCCTCCGCACGCCGTCTTGCGATTCCGGCACGGATATGGACTTGGGGTCGCTATAGAGGACCAGCTGCATGCCTGCTAGCTCGCCCTCGTCGTTTGCCAGAATATGCTTGGGAATACGACTCTCCAGGAGGTGCTTCTGGATATCCGGCAAGAAGATTAGCTTGCCCTCGTCGTTGTCGCTGTCGGAGGAGAGCTCGTCGTCCAGGTTGTAGATGTACACCTTGTGCTTGGAGTCGTCGAGTTGCATCGCCTCATCGTCGCTCTGTGGTCTCGGTGCCTTTGTTATCGATGAAGTTGCGGCTGCATTGCCATTGGCAGATGGTGTCTCGACGGGGACGTAGAGCTTGGAGCCGCCTTGTTCTGCGAGGTCGGGACGAGAGGTTAGCTAATCATGCCTCGGCGGTTCATGCGGTGGGTGACATGTGCGCTGAAGCGATGGATTGCACTGCATTGAATGACGGGATGGGGCATGATGAATACGGAAAAAAGGAAAAAGAAAAGAAAAACAGCAGAAATAATCAATAAGCCGCAACTCACCAATGTTCAGCAGGCTGAGTCGCTTGGAGAGCCGCTCGTTGTCCTGCGACTCGGCCTTCCTCTTGCGCCGCGGGTGCCTCGCTTGGTCGAAACCCTCCATAAGAATGCCTGGCGCGGGCGAAGACGGGCTCTGCGTCCCCAGCATGCCGCTGCCAGATTTGCTTTTCTCGCTCTTGTCCCGCCTTTTTGCTTCTCCCGCCTTTTGCTGAGAGACTCGCGTCGCCGGCTTCGCCTTCGGATCACCAGCCACCCTGCCGGACCGGGAATTGCGTCGAGTTGAGTTGCGGATTGCAGGAAACAAGGTGATGCAGCTTTGTCTGCTGGCTGTTGCTTGCCGCTGATGTGGTCGCTGGCCAGGCCGCAGTCACAGTGCACCAGCTGCTGTGCGGCGGCCAGAAGCGGGCGACGGCCCTCGCTCTTTGTAGGCTTGAGTCACTCTTGTAGAAGTTTCTACAAAACCCACCCGCCACGGCTGCAGCCCCTCCGCCGATTGCCCGCCGAAGCATCGCTGCACTCGACCCTGCATCGCCCTCGCCTTTCCGCATCGCCACCGCGTCCGCATCCGCATCAGAACCAGCTTTTTGTGCTGCAGCGCAGGCTTCTCCAGACATTTGCAAGCATGACGGGCAACTGGCCCGAGGCGCAGGTGCGCAAGACCTTCTTTGACTTCTTTGAGCAGAGGGGTCACACGCTGGGTAAGTCGAGGGGAAAAGAAGGAAAAAAAAAAACCGTTTTTTTGTTTGCATCGCCAACTTCCCCTCCAAGTGGCGGGGTCGTGTAGATGATTGCCGAGTCTTTTGCGGAGTCACGCAGCGCCAGACATGGCATTCTCTGTTACTATCTGCATTGCTCATTGCATTGTATAGCTGCAATGCTATAATCGTTTATTTTTATTCTTCGCTTCTCCTTTCTATGCATCATGTCGTCCTGCTACGGAGAGTCGCTCGCGTTCTGACTCTTTTCTAGTGCCCTCTGGTTCCGTCGTCCCTCACAATGACCCGACCCTGCTCTTCACCAATGCGGGCATGAACCAGTTCAAGCCCATCTTCCTGGGCACCGTCAACAAGTCCGATCCCATGTCCAGCCTGAAGCGCGCCGTCGACACCCAAAAGGTCATCCGCGCCGGTGGCAAGCACAACGATCTCGACGATGTCGGCAAGGACAGCTACCACCACACCTTTTTCGAGATGCTGGGCAACTGGTCATTCGGCGACTACTTCAAGAAGGATGCCATCGAGATGGCCTGGGAGCTCCTGACCAAGGTGTATGGTCTGGACCCTTCACGACTCTACGTTACATACTTTGAGGGCAACCCAGCCCTTGGCCTCGAACCCGATCTGGAGGCCAAAGAGCTGTGGCAGAAGACTGGCGTGCCCGAGGATCACATTATTCCTGGAAACATGAAGGATAACTTTTGGGAGATGGGTGACCAGGGTCCTTGCGGCCCTTGCAGCGAGGTCCACTACGACAAGATCGGAGGACGCAACGCCGCCAGCCTTGTCAACATGGATGACCCCATGGTTGTCGAGATCTGGAACCTCGTTTTCATGCAATTCGACCGACAAAAGGATGGAAGCTTGAAGCCCCTTCCCGCGAAGCACATTGATACCGGTATGGGCTTTGAGCGTCTGGTGTCTGCACTCCAGGATACCGCCTCCAACTACGCCACCGATGTCTTCACCCCTCTATTCAAGAAGATCCAAGAGGTCACCGGCGCGAGACTATACACCGACAAGTATGGCGCAGAGGACACTGATGGCATTGATACTGCTTACCGAGTTGTCGCCGACCACATCCGAACCATGTCATTTGCCATTACTGACGGCGCCGTGCCTAACAACGACGGCCGTGGCTATGTCATTCGACGAATTCTCCGCCGTGGTGTCCGATATGCTCGCAAGTACCTCAATGCCGAGATTGGATCATTCTTCTCCAAAATCCTGCCTGCCTTGGTTGCGCAGATGGGCGAGCAATTCCCCGACCTTGCCAAGAAGCAGCTGGATATCCAGGAGATCCTCGATGAGGAAGAGGAGGCCTTTTCCCGAACCCTGGATCGTGGTGAGGCCCAATTTGAGAGATATGCCGCCAAGGCTGCCAAAGATGGCGTCAAGAAGCTGGATGGAGATGTTGTGTGGAGACTCTACGACACATTTGGTTTCCCCGTCGACTTGACCAAACTGATGGCCGAAGAGCGAGGCTTGGATATCGATGAGGCCGAAGTCGCGGTTGCCCGTGAAAAGGCCAGGGAGGCTAGCAAGGCTGTCAAGGACTCAGTACAGACATTTGCAAAGCTTGACGTCCACCAGATTGCCGAGCTCGACACACAACTCAAGGTTCCACGAACAAACGACGACGCAAAGTACCTCAAGGGCGACAGCAAGAGCAAAGTGCAGTACATCTTCGACGGCAAGACTTTCACCAAGTCGACCAAGGATATTCCCCCCAACACCGCCATTGGTCTTTTGCTGGACAAGACCAACTTTTACGCCGAGTCTGGTGGTCAGATTGCCGATACTGGCCGCATCGTCATTGACGATGTTGTCGAGTTCAAGGTCATGGACGTGCAAGACTTTGGTGGCTACGTCCTCCACAGCGGCTACATTGAATACGGAGAGCTCAACTCTGACGACGAGGTCATTTGCGAATATGATGAGCTCCGCCGTTCTCCCATCCGTAACAATCACTCTGGCACACACATTCTCAACCACTCCCTGCGGGAAGTGCTCGGCGAGGATGTCAACCAAAAGGGCTCACTGGTCGACAACGACAAGCTGCGTTTCGATTTCTCACACAAGACACAGGTTAAGCTTGACGAGTTAAAGAAGATTGAAGAGCTTTCAAACAAGGACATTCGTGCCAACCATAAAATCTACGCCAAGGACGTGGAGCTAGACCTTGCGCTCAAGATTGAGGGCCTTCGTGCCGTCTTTGGCGAGACCTATCCCAATCCTGTGCGAGTAGTGTCAATCGGCATGGACGTTGACACCATGCTTGCCGATCCCAAGAAGGCTGATTGGCGACAGTACAGTGTTGAGCTTTGCGGTGGTACTCACGTAGAGCAGACCGGTTTGCTCAAGGATCTCATCATCGTTGAGGAAAGCGGTATTGCCAAGGGTATCCGCCGTATCATCGCTTACACCGGTGAGGCTGCTCACAAGGTTCAGCGCGAAGCCAAGCTGTTTGAACAGAAGCTGGTAGATCTCGACAACCTTCCTTTTGGCCCTGAGAAGGAGGCTGCAGTCAAGACCGTCTCACAGGATCTCAGCCAGCTGGTCATCTCAACGCTGACCAAGGACGAGTTCAACCAGCGTTTCCAAAAGATTGCCAACGCCGTTGTTGCCGAGCAGAAGAAGAAGCAAAAGGCGGAATCCAAGACTGCTCTCGACACCGTTACCAAGCACTTTGAGTCGAACAAGGAGAGCCAGTGGTTCGTTGGCCGACTGCCCATCAGCGCCAATGCCAAGGCGGTGGGCGAGGTCATCAAACACTACCAGTCCAAGTACAAGGAAAAGTCTGTCTATCTGTTTGTTGGTAGCCAGGAGGAAGGCGCTGTTGCGCACGGAGTTTATGTTGGAACAGTAAGCAACTCTGCCCATTGAGCATATAAAATCTCGGAACTCTTTTTCACTAACATGTCATGATTCTTAGCACTTGGCTTCACAGGGAGTTACTGCTGAGAAGTGGGCTGCCTCTGTCTCCGACGTCATCGGTGGCCGCTCCGGTGGTAAGGAGCCGTCTCGCCAAGGCCAGGGAACTCAGCCTGAGAAGATTGAGGATGCTGTTGAGACTGCACGGAAATGGCTTGACGAGAAGTTGAAGCTTTAAATAGGAGGAGTTTGTGTATTATAGTAGCTGGATGATGTTTGGCCAAATTGAAAGGCTAATATGCATGGATGGAAAAGGAACTACGGTAGATAGGTAGCGATATGAAACAAAACAAAAGTCTCAAAAAATAAGAAAAAATATATAGGAATTCTAAGACTTTCACCCGGGGGACAATGTAAAGAGATTATGCAAAGAAAGCAATGAGCATACAATGCATAAGTTCATTGCTCGTAACTGTATGTATACAATTCGTGAAAGGGGGTGGAGTCTATAGTTATATATGCATATACACGTAGTTATACAGTAACCATGACACTGGCATTTCTGTAATGCGACAAGAGGGGATTCTCTCCGCTCCGAGTCTCCGTATCCTCGACATAGGCCCATCGGCGCAAAAAGTCCCCATGGGTCATGACGCGGGTGAGCTTGCCGGTGATGGCGCGGTAAATGGCTTCAGTGATGTTGAAGTCTGTGGGGAAGAGAATGTCAAAGTACCCTTGGTGGACCTGTGTTGTGGATGTTAGTTACTTAATGACTTTTCTTTTCCCCTTTTAAAAAAAGAAGGGGCTTCCCAACTTACAAGGGGAGTCGTGACGGGCACCATTTTTCGTTGGAACCGAGTCTGCACGACGGGAGCGTTGAGACCCTTGATGGCTTGAGGGAGAGAGTCGAAATCGGAGGTGACGAGGCGGTGGGCGGGGAAGTACTTTTCCAGGACGTCGAAGAATTGCATCAGTCTGGTGGGGATGAACTCGGCCTGGGACAGGTTGGCGGCGAAGGGCATCTTGGTGGACATGTACCGAAGAACAGGGTTGGAAGGGTACGGCTTGGGATAGTTGCCCCCCGTGGCGGCATGGCGGACGCGGAAGAATCTTGCGGCGAGGGGGTCCAGCTCGTGGACGTAGAATTCGTAAAAGTCGCCGTCGCCGTCGATGAGCACGTGGCCCTGCAGGGGCTCCTCGGTGGTGACGTCGTATCGGATGCCGTCGTGGGAGAAGTTGTCAAAGACCTCCATGGCGAGGAAGAAGCACGGCGAGGGCACGTACTGGTCCCATTCGAAGATGGACTTGTTGATGATTTCGACTTTGTCTGCGTGGCCGCGCGATTCGGCGGTGGAGAGGAGGTGGCGGTTTTGGAGGGCCGCGAGGGAAGAGGAGATTTCGATGATGTTGAACTTGGTGCGGGCGTAGACTTGCGGGTCGGCGGCGCGGATGTAGTCGAGGATGTTGAGCATGAGGGTGCCCCGGCCGGCGCCCATTTCGAAGATGAGCAGGTCGTCGTACGGATACGTGGTGAGGCGGTAGTTGGACACGAGGTAGCGGGCAATGGCCTCGCCGTAGAAGGGCCGGAAGAGCTCCGTGGGCGTGTGCCAGAGCTGTCTTGTTGCGCTTTCGCCTTCTTTCTCGTCGAGGAGGTCTTCGAATTCGGTGTATCGCCTGCCGAGGTCCGCTTGGAACTCCAGCTCGTCGCGCATGGAATTGAAGTCAAAGGGCTCGCCTGGGCTGAAAATGACGGCTTCTTTGGAGAAGTAGCCGTATGAGGGGTTGTAGAGACTATCTGTGAATGTTTTCCACCGTGAGCCTCAAGTCCCATGTCGCACATGATCCGCATCACATACCGTCTATAAAGTCCCGAAGCAGCATCTTTACTTTCCGAGGCCGCTCACTCCTCATCTTCAGCTCCTGCAGCGAGATGTACGGGTACTCTGCAAACTCCTCTCTGCGGTCCTCCGGCAAGATGTGCGTCCGCTGCTGCCAGCGACTCTCGTTTGTCTTCATGCCCCGATCTATCGAGGCTTTGTTCACGAGCCCGCGAGCTGGCTGCCTGTGAGGCCTGCTGGCGAGGCCATTGCGCAGACCCTGGCATCCGCGCGGACGGTGCCGAAACAGTTGGCGAAAGAGGTGAGCCACAATGGGAGAGTCCATGATCTTTTCTCCCACCTCTGTTTGCGGCTGTGTTTTGTGAACAGGTCACGATAAGATCGAATGTTTTCTCTTTTAGCTATCTATGGAGGTAGATCCCGCAGCTATGGCCCGGAAAGTGGTTTGTTCCGGGAAGTAGTAGGGCTGCCCCGCGAACCGGTTCCTGGGTACGTACTGTTTTTGGTGCTGATTTTCTGCAGGGATCTGGATGACATCAGTTAGAGTCTCGAATTTGAAAGTTTCCCATCTCGCGTGATTCATGCTTTGCTTCTGACAAGTCCAGCAACACCTCAGAAATGGGGGCTTCATTTTCATGATTATGGTGAGACGTATTCGGCAAAAGAAAGCAGTATGTCATTGAGCGACCATCCCAAAGCATATGGCACGGCAGCCATAGCCGTTGCCTTCACGGCCGGCATCGTCGCTACCCTGGGCTTCAAAGAGCTGTATCCCGAGCTGGAGTCCCGATATCAACATAAAACATTTCGGCGTAAACCCAGCAATGTGCGATCAACGGATCCTCGAAGAAGCAGTTTCTTCTGGATGGCACCGGTGCAGCTGGAAGATCATGAGCCGGCGCCATCGTCATCTCGTGCCCCGGAGATTGCATCCAACGGCATTGAAGGATGTATCGGCAACACGCCCCTCATCGAGATCCCTTCTCTTTCTCAAGCTACCGGCCGCATCATTCTTGCCAAGGCCGAGTTTCTCAACGGTGCAGGCAACAGCCCCAAGGATCGAGTAGCGCTTAATATGATTTTGGAGGCTGAGAAACAGGGACTCTTGACGCCTCATCAAGGCGACACCATCTATGAGGGAACAGTAGGCAGCACGGGCATTTCTCTTGCGACTCTGGCCCGCGCAAAGGGATACAAAGCCCATATTTGCATGCCTGATGACCAAGCCTTTGAAAAATCAGACCTTTTGATTCACCTGGGCGCGACCGTTGAGAGAGTTGCTGTCGCACCTATTACCAGCCCCGATCACTTTGTGAACCTGGCCCGAAGGCGCGCCATTGAGCATACGCAATCATCCACAGATGGCAGCAAAGGCTTCTTTGCGAACCAATTCGAAACCGAGTCCAACTGGCAAGCCCATGCCGTCAGCACAGGCCCGGAGATCTACCAGCAGACAGATGGTAATCTCGACGCATTCGTTGCTGGTGCCGGAACAGGTGGCACGATATCAGGAGTGGCGAGGTACTTGAAGCTGGATGCAAAGATGAGCAATCTCAAGGTCGTTCTGGCAGATCCCCAGGGAAGCGGGCTGTACAACAAGATCAAGCACGGCGTCATGTATTCGTCTACTGAGAAGGAGGGCACCCGGCGGAGACAGCAAGTTGACACAATGGTGGAAGGAATCGGTATTAACCGGGTGACGAACAATTTTGAAATCGGCAGAGATTTGCTCGACGATGCCGTCAAAGTGACGGACGATCAAGCTTGTCGCATGGCTAGGTGGCTTGTCGAAAATGACGGCATCTTTGTGGGCAGCAGCAGCTCCGTCAACTGTGTTGCAGCTGTTGTCACCGCAATGAGGCTTCCTCCTGGAAGCAGGGTCGTCACTCTGCTGTGCGATTCTGGTACTCGGCATTTGAGCAAGTTCTGGAAGAATATCAAAGAAATGGGCCTGGAGGAAGAGGAGGCCACGGATCTCTTTACTGAGTTGGGAATATCAGAATAATGAGCTAAATCATTAAAAGCTTTATGATCCAGTACACAAGAATAGCCCTTTACGAGCAGCAGTACATATGTATGATATGGGGAAAAGATGTAACGGAACAAGATCAAAGATCTATTAGCGATCTAAGTTAAAGAATAGAGAAAATAGAGTACATGGCTTCACAGCACCATCATGTTTGTGATGTGCACGCATCGCCAAAAAACGACATCCCGACGAGGGATTGAAAAAAAAAGGAGAAGAAAAAAAGAAAAAGGTGAAGAGTGAAAGTAAAAAACACAGCATGGCGCCTGAAGTTCTTTGAGACCTTCAAAACAATTCCTGAAAAAGCAAGATTAAAATTTTCCATAACTCCCATCCTAAGAAAAGTCCACCCCAAGCACTCCGTCGAAAAGAAGAATAAAAAAAGCTCATTGAGTTAGTGTCTTCCAACCCCTTGGAGCAGACGCGGCGCTATCATTCATAAATCTTCTTTCTCGTCGCCTCGTTACGAGAACTATAGAATATCTCTTGTTAAAACATATTCATAATGCAATGGGGGCGCATCAAAAATGATACACAGGGAGAGAATGAGAGAACAAACCTTCCAACGATTACCGCAGTTCATACACTCGCAAAATGTCGTCATCGGTTCATCGGCACTTCGTGTCTGCGCCTGGGTGTAGCTGACTCGCTTCTTCTTACACTTGCCGCATTCCAGACTGTCACTGATGCTCTTCTCCGCCATCGGCACCTGGGCCTTCTTCATGTTCTCCTTCTCCAGCTCAAGCTCCATCTTGCGTTGATCCTCGCTCTTGAGCTCCTCGTCCGTCATGTTGACAAACTTCTCGGGCGAGATATCTCCTGCCATGACTTGCTTGCCCAAGTCTCGGTTCGACTTGTTCTTGAGATTTGTGAATAGCGACCGGATCTTCTTCTTGTACTCGGGGGTCTCGCCCTTGAGGGTCGTGAATGCGGCATGCTCGACGGCAACAGCCCTGGCGATGACATCGGTCTCGGACTCGATCGATCGGTAGGCCAGGCCGTTGTAGATGAGGCCAATGCACTGGTTGCGGACGTTGGACTCGGTTCGCTTGATGCTCACGCCGTCGGTGTCGAACTTGCGCTTCTCGGGGTCGCCCTTGAACGCCTTCTTGGCGCCGCCGGCGGAGGATGCGTTGCTGGATGGGTTGGGCGGCGATGCAGCTGCGGGAGCCGATGGGGAGCCCATTTTCGCCTTTTGCAGCTTGGAGTTCTTCTCTTGCTCGACGAGCTTCTTCCACTTGATCACCAGTTCGGAGGCGGCTCGAGCAATCTCTTTGTTGGGATTTGACCGCAACTTGCCGACGAAAACACCTGCGCGCGTGGCCTAGTAGATTTGCGACAATTGATGTCAGACAAAAGGTTTTGAAGATAGCTGCAGACGAACGGGAAAAAAAAGAAAAAAAGAGAGGGCATTATATAGCAGTACAAGAAAGCTGCGATTGGAGGCAATGATGGACAGTGACTGGGGGTCAGTTGGGTGACATTTTCCAAACTTGACAGCTAATCAGTCTGAATGGAGCACATCCCATCCATCCCATTTCACTGCCCATATAAGCCAAGAAAGTGTGCAGAGAATGGAAACCAAGCCTCCTCCCTTCTCCCAGGATCACCCTCCCGAAAAATCACCCTAGCGATGCGCCGAAAAGAAAAGGACACCTACCCGCAGCATCTCTTCTGTCGGTGATGCATCCTTCTTCAGCGTCTCCAGCAGCTTCAGCGCATTCTCCGGAGGCTCGTTGGCGGCCACCACCTTGGTCAGCGCCTTTACGCGCGACTCGAGCTCACGCTGATCCATGCCCGGCATCTTTTTCTTTTCTTTTTTATATGTGCCCTTGGCGAAATAATCTTTCAAAAGCCGAGAGAAGCTGGGCAAGCGACGAATGAAATCCCAGGCGAGGCAGGAGGAGTACTGGCGGGAGATTGGAAGACGAAGGGCTTTTCAGAAGCAAATTGCCAGAAGGGAAAAAAAATGAAGATGCAAGTTCTCTCTCTTGCTTTCTGCCCACGCGGCGCGCGGCGAATCAATTCGTCGCATACGGAGCTGCTGGCGCTGGAAATGGCGTGGGCGGGACGGAGGATTCCGGGATTTAGCCGCGGGGTAGTGAAGCGTCTAGAAGGACGGATGCTTATAGCAGTCACGTGCCGAGGTTGTTTGCAGCGTTCGCATTGAGCATTCTCAGGCAAAGATGCGTATGTTATCCTCTTATTCTGGTTATGAGACAGTATTTAGTTCATTCAATTAATATGGCAAGCGCATAATGAATAAAGTGACAATGGCTTGTCCTTTGACTACCTTACCTATATGGGGTTGAATCAGCACGTGCTCATTACATGGGATGCACTCCATAAGCTCTATAAAACAAAAAACTTGGCCGTGATATTGCAAGAGATCCTTTCCACTTAAACCAGGTTTCATTTACGCAAATTCTGTAACACCCTCTCTCTTGATTACTTCCTTCTGGTTGTTTTCCTCCGCTTGTTAGCCCCTGAGCTCTCATCAACCTCCGGAGCCGCCCCCTCACCAGCAATATTCGCCCTCAGTCTATCCACCGCAGCCGCCATCCGCTTGCTTCCTTGAACTCTCTGTCTGGGTGCAAACGTCTCCCTGGCGCCAGCTCCCACACTCCCTCCAAAGAATCTCGTAATGTTGCTCTGCGTTCCTTCAATCTCTCGCTTATTCATATCCCGAATGACCGGCACAAGTACCTCGTCTGTGCGCTCTTTGCTCCAACCAATTGTGGCCATGAGGTATTCTCTCAGTCCCGCTACATCAGGCACGCCCCACTGAAACGGCTCCGTGCTGCTATCGACCACAGGATGGAGGTAGGCTTCGTAGACGGCTGGACTGGGGAAGGCAACTGGCAAGAAGAGCTTTGTTGCTTGTGACTTGCGGAACTTGCGTCGGAAAGAAGAAGAAGCATCGGCCTCCTTGGATCGCACTGAGGATTGAACGTCACGCCACCACTCGCGGAATTGATCAAGCCCATCCTTGCCGGGAAACTCGGATAGGATTTCCACGGCCGTGACGGGACCGACTCCAGGTAGTCCTTCTGTATAATCCGACCCCAAAAGCTGAGCGAGAGAGATGAGCTGTTCCCGAGATAAAGACAGTTCCTTGTCGAGATCTGCGCCGACATAGCATTCGACAAATTTGTTGCTGTTGAACATGTTTTTGTAAACTCGCGTTCCTCCAAAAAGGAAGGTATCTGAATCATCTGTCACTATGCCGTCTACCATGTTCAGTCGGACGAGCTCTGCACACTGCGCTTCTGCTTCCATGGGCGCAGTGATATAAGGGATACCAAAGAGGCGAAGCAAAGCTTGACACTCTGTAATCATCGTCTGTGTCACTTCGTCTGCATCACGACGATCTTTCTTCTGTTGGCTTCGAAGAGCTCTCAGTTCTCTTTCGTAATCTTCCCTGTTCTGTTCAGTTGATTTGTTGTTCAGTTCGCTGGCGAACCGAGCGTGTTCCTCTGCTTCTCCAGCCATTTGTGCCAATAGCTCCTCGTCTTCAGGGTCGCTGAATTCATCGTATTCCTCACCGCCAAAGAGCTCTTCGTCTGTAATTGTGGTGTTCGCAGGAAAAGCCTCCACTGGAGGTTGATCCGGAGATATATCCTCAAACAAAACGGACTCATCTGGTAGATGTTCTTGAATCAAAGTTCTTTCTGATGGCTCAACATCTTCAAATTCAGGCTCCGGCGACTCATGGCCGTTTTGTGTTTCTTTTTCCATAATAGGTACAACTGGAGCACTGGGAGCCTCAATTATAGGAAGGTCTTCAAACTCTGGCTCTGGTGATTCATCACCATCTTCCTCCTTATTCTCAGGAGCGGTTGATTCAGCAGCAAACTCTTCCATGCTTGCATCTTCTTCTTTGCTTTCTCCAATCTTCGCGGGGCTGAGAATTGGTACCGGTTCAGGTGAAGGAGGTATTTCGACGATTGTCACATCATCACTACCATCTTCTTCGTCTGAAGATTCAATCTCAATCAGTTGATCTCTCAGCTCTCGTTTCCGAAGCCTTTCCTCTTCTTCCATTTCTGCTCTATCTTGAGCATTGATCTCTCTTTCGACATCTTTCTGTTGCTGAATGGCCTCTCGGATATCCGTGTCGTTATCCACTAGCCAAGGAGGGAGCGGTTTAGGACCATCTTCTTTCTGTGCTTTGGTCTCAAAGCCACCACCTGTTTCGTCTTCCTTTTCCTCTTCCTCTGGTCCAGCATCTCCACCAGCCGTCACCACGATCGGCTTCTCCTCTGGCACCTTTTTCTTCGCAAACAGGGAAGATCCCCAATCTAATTTGGGGAACGGAAGAGGTCCATCAAATGGATTCTTTTTGTTTTCGAATACTGGCTTCGGCTGAGCTTTTTTCATCTTTCGAGATTTGGCCAGAACCGCTTGCATATCGTCCTCGCTATCACTGTCTTTTTCCCTTTCCATTGTGATTGGGGTTTCTTGTCGTTTTGGAACGGCAGCATTGGCTCTATTGTTTACAATATGCGCAATCATTGAGCCCCCGCCGCGGCCAATAATAGGTTTAGGTGCTTCCACCGCGACTTGGGTCCACTCTGGCTTCTCTCGAGATTCATCCTCGACATCTGATCCCTCGTCGGTCTCCTGGCCAATCCCGTGTTGATTTTGTAATGATAGAGCAATAGCGAGATTGAGATCATGCTCTTCTTCAGGATGCATCGGTTCCGTAGGCTGTTCGTCGAGCAAGTTCACCGTTGGTTCTACCTGTCCATCAACAAATAGGGAGCCCTCGCCAGCAGCTTCATTGACAGCTCCCTGTCTGTTACTTGCGTAGAATTGCTGTCGCCGACTATTGATATCTTGAGCAGCCTCAAGACCTGCAGCAGCAGACTGTGATATTTTGGGTAATCGGTTAATGCCCACAATTGGCACATCTTCGAAATCGTCTTCCTCTTCGCTCTCCTCTTCTTTTGTCTGATATTGAAATTGGATGGCGTCCACATCGATCGGCTTGTGAGCTTCTCCAACATCCTTCTCCTTGCTGACTACTCCGAGCGCCCAGCCTCCCTCTACGCCTTCATTCTTGACTAGGATATACTCTCGATCCTTTTCTCCAGCGATTCGAGCATTGAAATTGAGTGTCAAATCAGTTCCTAACATCCCGACTTCATACATGAGCCGCTGTGTGAGATGATTCCTCTCCTTAACTCTCTCGATTTGAAATCTCGAGAACGCCATGCGATCGGGGAACATGTCGTCAAGCTGTTCCTTGCTCAAGCCCATTCTCAGACGACTCCTTAGTCTAGCAGCATTGAGAATATTGTATCTATCCGGCGGCGGAAGGCTTTTGAAGAAGTCGCCGTCAAAATCAATCTTGCTAAAGTCATACAGATTGATATCCTCTCCGTTATTGAATTGGCGCGCATACTCTTCCAGCTCTTCCACGCTCATGATTCGAGGATCGTCTGGTTTTCCCATTGATGCTATGCCGTTTTCAAGCTCGGGCAAGTGATACGCATCCTGCTTATAGAACTTGCGGTTCCGCATTCTCTCCTGCTGAGACATTCCAATCTCATCCACATAGACCAATTTGCTGGCATCGGGAATGACTTCCTCTTCCTCTTCCACCGCTCTCGATGCTCGTGGTCTTTCACTCTCTTTCCTGCGTTTTTCTTCCTCCTCTTCGGCAAGGCGCTGCATCTGGATGGCAAGAAGCTTTCCTGCCGTCCTGATGGCATCTTCTCGTCTTCCTTCACGTCTCTGCTTGCGCTTCTGGATGGTTGCTCTCTTCAGTGCTGGGGCGCCGCCATCGAATACAAAGACCGGCAGAATGCCAAACCAGAGGAGCTTGCAGATGCGCCGGAAGAATCCCACGATATGAGAGTTGCGAAGCGCATTGCCTTCTTTATCGCGAACAGCTTTGAGAAACTGATAGATCCATATCGAAGCATCAACGGCAAGACGCTTCCGATTGAGCGTTGCGAGATTGGTAGGCCGTGCACACGGCTGGATCACGGTCCAGAGACCGTTAACGCCCATTGTGATGGCACGGGCTTAGTGACGGCCCGCGACTGACTGTGTTGGCTATTGAAGAGAAGAGAGCATTGCGATGATGGAATGCGAGCTCAACTCGCTTCAGCAGCAATCCGCAGATGCGAAAAGATAGAAAAATATCCGTTTCACCAGAATGCGGCGAAGAGGTTCAAGATTCACGATGCGTTGATCGATTCCCACAGTGACGCTATTAGAGAGGCGAGTGGGGCGCACAGAGGTTCTGAAATCTTATCCATTGGCCGACTTAGCTTATCGCTCCAGAGATCCGTTGACAGGGAACTGGATGGCGATCCGCTGCACCTTTTCCTCCACGCTTCGATTCCTCTTGCACCTCCATCATTGAGCTACTCCAGGCCAAGGCCAGTCCTCGCAATGGACAAAGATGAGGCTCACGATTATATTTCATCCCTCCTAAATCAGAACCTGCGCATTCACACCACCGACGGCCGCATGTTCCGGGGCACCTTCAAATGCACAGACCCGGTTTGTATCCCCACAGCCATGACCGTCAGTATCGCAGTTTTATCAGTTTCTAGAATACTAATCTGGCCTTCGGTGGTATAGGATATGAACCTCGTTTTGGGTAATACACACGAATACCGACAACCTTCGAAAGAAGAAGCCAGCGCCGCTGCGGCAAACACTTCTGGCGACTCGGTGTCCTTGGACATGACGTCTCGATACCTCGGCCTGATCGTCGTTCCCGGGCAGTACATTGTGAAGATGGAAGTGGAGCAATTTTTGAGCCAAATGAAATCCTAATTGGCATTATTTACAAACGGAATGTTGTATCAATACGTTTTACAGAGGCTATGGGACGGCGCTTTTAATTTTCACTGCAATTATGGGACGGCGTTTGAACGGTTGACATCTACTTTAGAGGAGGATGCAAGGATCACCCAGAGCTGGGTACAGAGACGTGTATATTTAAGGAGTTATTCTCATCCAGATAAACATTTTGTAACTCACAGCAAGGTATTAGTGAATAGCCACACGCCAAAGAGCTATCCTATGGAGAATCAAAGCAAATTTACCCAGCCAAGCAGTCAACCCAGCCTTGTCCAAAACTCCTCCGCCAGGTGAGCGGTATTCAAATCGACGACATTATTGGTATTAGCCCCTGCTCTCCAAGCCCGAGGATCTTATTCACCTGCCCCTAACTTTTGTTTTTCTTTAGTTTTTCTTCTCTTTGTCGTATAATATGTTGCCGGGCGTCTTAAGCCGCGAGAACTTCTTGGGATCGGCCTCGTGTCTCACCATTCATACCAACGTCGCTGCCTAAAACAGAGTGGTGAGGCTCCTCCAACTCCTCCTCCTCCTCTTCTGCTTCACTCTCAGCTTCTTCACCTCGCGCTTCCCATGATTGGTTGTCGTGCAGCGGTACATCCTGGTGAGATAAGTCGTGGCCCTCTTCCCTGGCTTGGATAGTATTACGGCGTCGCTGGGATAGAGTTCGCGATCGGGTAGAGAGCTTAGAGCTCACGGCGGCGTTGGCGGTGACCCAGTTGGTGAGGGAATCTTCGCAGTCCTGGATGATGGCCTTGCTAGCTTCATAGCCGTCATACGCGGCTCGGGTTTCGCCAGGGGTCACGGGAGTGTCGTCAATCAGCTCGAGGAGATGTTTGCCGTAGCCGGCGATAATGGCAACCTTCTCGCAGTGTTCACGGAGGGCATCGAACTGGTAAGAATAAGCAGCCTTGACCTTTTCGCGAGTGATATTGGAGAGCTGGGCCTCTGCCACGAGCGATTCGGCCTCGGCGCGGACTAGCTCCTGTTCTAGTACCACAATCTTGGGAGAGTTTGGTTCCTTGTACTTTAGCTGGGCGATCTGGTCGGTGATTTTTTGTTTGCCTGGCTGCGGTTAGCAGGAACGTTGGGTATATATCAAATGTACAGTGTGTCTCACGGTCTCGGCTAGGCTGGACAGATGCTTCAATGTTACGAATGCTCTTCATGGTAATGCGATATTGGTCGTATCGGTCGACGTATTGATCTTCCAGTTCGCCGATTTCGTAGAGCAGAACGCCCATCTTGTCAGTGACGTCAGAGACATCCTCGTCGGTAGCCTCACCCCAAAGGGACAATTGTTGCTAGAAAGACGTTAGCCAGCGGATTTTTTAACGAGAATGATCAAGACAGCAAGAGGGGAAAGGGCACCACATACGGCTACTTCCATGCGCTCCCTGGCGACGAGCTCCAGGCTTCGCATGACGTTCTTCTCCATCTTCACGAGCTGGGATAACTTCTTGGCCAGATCTGGCCCAAAGGCGCCACCGGCTCGGCCGCGGAGAGCATGGCCTGCTTCATCTGTTAGTCGACACCAGCAACGTTTTGCCCTTGAGGCAGATATGACAATAGGAGCCAGGATCGACGTGAGAGCCATCTCAGCCAATCCTATCGCGGGAAATTAGTGCGTAAAAGGCCGTCGCAACACTCACCTAGGCTTCCCTTGCCAAAGAAACGGCCAGACTTGGTGGACGATGGGGGTGGCGGCGGACTCTATCCATTGACTGCGTCAGCGTCTATACGAGGCGATGGTACACGATGAAAGCAGCTCCGGAACCTCCATACCTGAAGCTGCGAGGCCGTGGGCGCGCGGGACTGGCGCATAGAGTATGTTCGGTGCATTATGGCGGTGTGGCTGAGCGCTAACAGAGGTTGCAGTTGCGATTGCGATTAATGAAGCCTCTATAGCTGGAGAAAAGAGCGATAGTGGTGCGATAGGGATTGAGCACACAGGAAAGGGACAGCAGCGGAGTCTGCAGCAATGGGACGAGGGGAAGAAAAAGATGATCTGACGCGGGAGGGGATGGATGGGGAGAGTCTAGGTGATTATAAGACTGTCCGGACAATGGCTGGGCAGGATTTACGCGGAGCTGGCGGATCGTCATCGGCTTGCACAGCTGTTGCGCTGGAGCTACGTCATGTCAGTGACGCCCCAGTAGCCTGAGCTCGCCAGCCTGTTTGAGCCTTGATAGAGGGGAGCTCGAAGCTTAACGGCAGGCCTAGCAGCCCTTCAGTACTAGCGCTGGGCTCTGTTCAGTGGCCATCTTGGGGTGCAACAGCGCCTACGTCAGATTAGGGTCCGGGACCTACGGGACTATCGCGACTTAGTAAGGCTCACTTGTAATCTGCAATGCGTGTCTCAAGCCTCGAGGAGGATTGGAACGTCCTTGACGCCGAGCCCCGCGGGCTGAGACACTGCGCCGTATGTTGGTTTGCTCGTGGTGGTGGGCCATGCCGCATTCGGCTTGACATGTTGGAGAAGCTGGGCGATGAGCGATGCTAGCGGCAACCTAGGAGTAGCAAATGACGGAGTTGACACGGAAAAGCAATTTGGTTTTTGCCAGTTTTCTTGTTTTTTATCTTTTTTCCTGTTGCTGTTGCTGTTGCTGCCAAGGAGGAACCGTGTCTCAATTTCAAAAATGCATGATGAGTGATACCAACTGAGACACTGCAGGGAGATGCAAGAGGAGCGATTCATGCCCATCAGTGATTGATTGATGCCGTCATACCATCCAGGCAGCTGCTGACCTCGGCAGCACAGCGCTTGTTGTTGAACGAGCACCTTGCCTGGATCGTGATTCTGCTTATCCCTGATTGATTAGCAGTCTTGCACTGCATATTTTGGTGGACGCTGAAGCGGCTAGTCAATGGTCATCTCAAAAACAAAGCTCCTCTAAGCCAAAACTCACAAGATGTGCGGGATGAGCACACAGCATCAACTCACTTCATGTCGATTGGCTCATTGCCAAGTAAGGTTCGACTGCAGTAGAAGCTCCGGCAGTGGGGTGTTCATTAAGATGGGGGTGCGTGTGCAGGCCAGCTCTACTTTGTTGTGTGCTATGTTTCGGCCGTAGCACCAAGTACAGGCTTTGCAATCTGTTGTTGGCATGGCGTAGGCAGATCAGATGCAGAATCTACAAATGTGGCAGTTGATCCCTGACACTCGGAGCCTCACCTAGCCCGTTTTCTCATTCGGAATGTCTGTGCTGGCTGTCAAACCCATTTCGAGACGAGCTGCATTGAGACGCTCATGCAGGTACAAATTGTGGTGCTCCACATCCGCGATGCTGAGAAAGGCCCAGATGGAAGTTTATACATTTGGACCCCTGTTGGCTGACGATCGTGGAGCTTTAATCAAGATGCTACAAGCCAAACTTACAAAACAGATATTAATTTTGACAGCTGACAATGAAAGTCTACTGAGTGGATAGCTTTTCGCCTTTAATCTCTAGACCTCACAGAGCAATCTACGTGGGTACCTATGTATTAAGCCCAATAAGTGGCCTCTAGAGAAGAATCTTCAACCGGAGGCTTTGTGAGCACCAAATCATAATGAGTGGTTGTAAGAAACAACAAAGATGTAAAACCTCATAGAGTCAATTTAACTCTAATAGAAGCTTCTTTCTTTTCTTTACAAAGAATTAAATGAATGGCACAGCTTGAAGCTTTCCTTCAGCGGCTTCTCGCATGAAAGAACTGGCGGCCAACGCGCTCTCCAAATTGGGGCTAGCTCTGCAGCTTTTCTTTGTGGACTCAGAGCATAACCTCTGACTAATCAGCACTGCAGCCAACCAGGGCTCGCGTGTCCAAGGCAGAACGCGGTTTCAAAGCATTTCGATTCGCGGTTCTCATAATCTCGTGCGCTGGGATTCACAGTTATTGGCGGGACGACAAACAACTGCCATGCGCTGCGTGGGGATGCTCTGCTGAAGTTCCCTCTCCTCTGTAGCGGTCATCGCGGATAGCTGCCGCCTGGCCCGGGTTTTTGTGGCTTGCACGACGCAGGAATCCAGACATGTACTACGGCAGCCAACGCATTTCGCCAAAATCTCCATCAAAGCCCATTGTCAGCCTCGCATGATTTAACGCCGAGCACTTGTCCGACTTGATGAATGAAGCTCTCGTGGTCAATGCCGTTTGAGTTTGTGCTTTGATTTACACTGTTGAATTGCGATTTCATTTCTAGCGTTCTTGTTCCCATTTTCATGCGGACTCTCCTGCGTATCTTGGCCGTTCACTCATAATCGGGTCTACCGCCATCTCTCACATTCCCTGGTTGCCTTGCGCCGCTGCAGAGAAGGAAACTCACATCTCCAGTGGTACAAGTCGGTATCAAAGCTGTTTACAGCGCAGAGGGTGTTTTAATATCGAGGAGACAAGGATGATGCCCCACGGAGCCATAAACCGCGACTCAGCACTCACGAAATCGGGAGATGGCGAACCAAGCCACTTGTCCCGTCCAGACTTGACTAGCCGCAAGCTGCCGCCGCCATTTGGCGTCGCTTCATCTTTCGGCCCCATCAGTCCTCCTCCTTTGAAGAGAAATTCTCATTCTGCTCCCCCTGCGCCTCTGGATCCCTGCACAAGTGAGGTCAATAGTGAGACTGCCGGCGACTGGGCTCCTCAAACGCTCCCTGATCGCGCGTCTTTGCCCTTGGCAGACCGCGTTGCTGAACATGCGCCAGAGGCGCCAAAACAATCTGGTGACGCATCAAACACCAGACCGGCGGGCAACATGACGCCCCCTTCGGCAACGACCCCGTCGCGAGAGCGTCAGCAGCAGCCAGAAGCAGTACAAACTCCCACGGCTCGAACTGTGCCTATAACAGAGTGGACTGTCCAGAAAATCGCCAATCGGCTCAGAACGTTCAATCAAGAGGTTCGGAGTGACCATTCTCAGCTTGTCGCGCACGCCATTGAGTCGGCAAAGTGTAGAGAATGGCGCACGCATCATGGGTTGGACCTCTTTCGGAACCTTCATCCTCACCCAAATCCGGAAATAAAGGGCAAACAGGTCAAAATCAGATTCAAGGTTAGCTACTCGGCATTGTTCTACCCAGTCTTCGAAATTGCGTTTATTAACTCTTTACGCCCAACAGCACAACAAAAATAAGAAGGACTATCGGGATTTCCGTTACAATGTGGTTTGCATTAAAACTAACAAGGAGGCTGTTCCATCCTATCGGTTCCACCATGTGGAAATCAAGAAGAATGTCTTGATGCCCAACACCATGTTGACGTTTGTTCCCCATTTACGAGATCTTGAGGGGTCTGAAGAGGCCAAGTACAACCTTTGGCTTAAAGAGCTGGAGGATATTGACCTCAAATCGGGGTTCAAGCCCATGAACCGCGACGAGAAACATGTGGCAATCATCCAAGCCGAGCGCGCTGCAGCTCTTTCTCTATACTTGGATATGTGGCTCAAAGAGCTCAATATATCATTCTGCAACAAGTCCACTCTCGTCAAATATATGAAAAACCAATCTGACGACTCAATGACACCTCGACAAAAAGCGGATCTTTTCAAATCCAGTAGCGATGACAATGCCTTATCACCAGAAGCGCACTTGGTCGCAGATATGTTTCAGGATGCATTCCAACTGGTTTTTAAGGAAAATCTGGTGGACTATAAGCAGGTCGAACTACGAAAAGTTTTGTTTATTGATGGATCTATTGACGGCGCCACGGACACTAAAACTGCAGCCAAAGAGGTCACCGCTACTCAGCAAGATAACGAAGACGAAATCGCCGAATCTAATCTGGCTACGTACTGTATTCTAGGATGTCTCATTTGCTTTAGCCATTCTTGCGACCATGGCGAGTATGACATCAAGAACTGGAAGCGCACGTTTTCCTTGTCATCCAACGCACCTTTGTCGGACATTTTGCAGAGGAAACGAATAGCGGCAGCTGGAGCAAATAGTATTGCAAATGATCCTTGCGAACGGAGATGCTATCGCCTGAAACTCCCTCCCGACCCGACTGCATTGATGAAACCATGGTCTGAAGATGAACGCATTCTTTTGCGCTCTTTATACGTCACGACGGATTTCAGCAAAACCAAAATAGACCCCATCTGCCTGGCCACCGAATTTCTCGATCGGAACTGCGATGAAGTGTACGCAGAATTTCAGTCATCAAACATCAATGTACCAGAACTGGAACCCATGGAACCTCCTCGACCGCGAAACATATCATGGTATGATCGTAAGCGGAAGATGCTCGTGGGAGATTGGCAAGAGCATACCATCACTCACGAGCATCAGCGGCGAGAGTTGCTGGAACCCTGCTCCCACGATGGTCCATGTGCTCCAAAAGTATGTCCTTGTGTAGATGCGGGGGTTTTGTGCGAGAGATTCTGCGGCTGTACAGAGGCAAACTGTTCTTATAAATTCACGGGCTGTGCCTGTCATTCTCAAGGCAAATCATGTCTCACGAAGCCCTGCATATGCGTTCAACTCAACCGCGAATGTGATCCGCAATTGTGTGGTTCATGCGGCGCTTTTGAGCGTGCTGATCCTGCAAACGCGGACGATTATTACCTGCACTCTACAGGGTGTCAAAATTGTGATTTACAACGTGGTCGGCACAAGACTGTTCTTCTCGGACAAAGTCAGCTCGAAGGGGTTGGCTATGGACTCTTTACTGCCGAAGATATTGTCCAGGACGAATTTATTGTTGAGTACGTGGGGGAGCTCATCACCCACGATGAGGGTGTCCGCCGAGAGGCAAGACGAGGCGACGTATTTGATGAAGATTCCAACATATCATACGTTTTTACCCTACTCGAAAACGAGGGTATCTGGGTCGATGCTGCTATTTATGGCAATCTGAGCCGATATATCAACCATGCTTCCGAACATGACAGACAAGGGTGCAACATTACTCCGCGAATTCTCTACGTCAACGGCGAATATCGAATCAAATTTACGGCTTTGAGAGATATCAAGGCCGGGGAGGAGCTCTTTTTCAATTATGGAGAAAATTTTCCGAACCTTACCAAGAAACTTCTTGATCACAAATCTGGAGAAAAACCAAAGGTGCCCAGAAAGGCTGGTCGACCGAAGCGTGCCGAAACAAGTGATCGAGTCGCGCGGAAAGTGCCTAAAATAGAGCACAAAACGGCGGGAAGGCCGCCAAAGTCGAAAAAGAAGAAGCAAACTACAGCAAGGCCGGTGGGAAGACCAGCAACGAAAAGACCAGCAGCAAAGGCAAGGGAGGTTCCGGCAATCTCGGACGATGATTCTGCGGCTGTCAGGCGAATGATTGAGGAAGCCCATTCCCGCAAGCGAAAGCGCCACCATTTAACTGACTCTGAGGAGGAGGAATATCAGCCAACGGGTACGGAGTTGGCATCACGAACTGAATCTGGTCTTGACTCTGAAGGAGTGCCACTTCTTGACTCGAAGCGGCTTCGGAAGACAACAAGATCTCAGAGAGTCCCAGAGCAGGTTACGCCTACAAAGCCGCCGGTAGCAGACGAACCAAAGCCGCGTAGCAAACGAGGAGGAGCTCGGCCTGGCAGCGGGCGGCCTAGGAAGCATCCTCGGACCGTCCCAAAGCCAAATAGAGCGTCTGCTGAGTCTCCTCAGCCTCCCCAACTTAGCCAAGCCGCGTCTCAGGAGTCTCGTTCTGAACCAGAATCATTTATCAATGCTTCTACTATCACACCTACGCCCATGTCTACTCCTACAACAACACCCAAGTACACCAGGGCAAGCCGAGGGCATGAACCTGAAGACGCTATTGAAATTGAGGATAGCGAAGATCAAGATGTAGTATTGAGGAGCAGGACGTCACGGAACAGACGTCTGCCTGCTAAATTCAGAGACGAAGAATCATTTTAATGATGTTAGAGAGGTACGAGCTGTACAACTCACTATGGAGTCAGCTTGCCTATAGACCAATCACGGAGACCTGGCCGGAATCACGAATTGAATTAAAAAGTGTAACTGTAAAGGAGATGGCATTGCTTTGTATGATTTAGGAAATAATGTTTATAATACGAAATAAGAAGCAAATATGGAATCTGTCCTCATAAGTAAACGAAATTACATGAAGCCGCCATGAAACCGAATAAGGCATGCATGTGATAGCGATACGTATGAAAAAACGTATGTCCAGGAAAGGAATGTGGCGCAGTCGCAGAGCTTGTTCTGCCTTGGTCAGAGCCCTGCCGCCCACTAGCTGTATACAACAACAAATGAGTGGTGTCGGGATCACAGCTTTTGCTCAATTATACACTTGAAGAAGTAGGTGAGCAGGCAGATATAAAAGTAAGATTTAGAGACTGCCAAAATATATAGCCATCTAGCTAAAATACAGGCACTTTCCTAGCAGTTGCCACGGTGCCAATCCGCTGAAAGCTGGGTTGAACAAGCCACATCTCTGTAGCGGGGGCGGGGACAGGGTAGCCACAAAACGGGCAACGATGACGTGGGCGATTGACGAAAGAGCTGTGCGGCTGGGAGGTACCTGAACCCACAGCTCAAAACGAATAACTGAACACTTTGCCTAGAACGCCAACTTCTCTCTCTTTCTTCATTCCTCCTCCATCTTCCCACTCCCATCAATCTGCAAACAAGGCTTCATAGTCTGGCAGATTCATCGCATTCTTCTCCATCAAAGCAGATTCACGATCAACTGCGATTTGTCGAAACAAGGCTGCACCTGCCGAGCTCTTAATCGAGCCTCTTCCGCTACCCCCGCCGAAAACAAAACAGCGAAATTGTAGCTCACAGCTGGAGGCCATTGCCCCGACATCACCATGACGCTCTACTACAGTCTTGTACGTTTGCTTTGGAAGCTGTCGAGTTGAATGGACTAATTGGGCTAACTAGCTACAAGGTGTTTGCGCTCCTCATGGGCGAGATGGGCTTGTTTATGCTGCTTCTTGTGCCGCTGCCATTCAAGATCAAGCGCAAGATCTTTACGTGAGTTTGCTTTACAGAACATCTGTTGGATGATTTGGTCTGTTTGCTAACCTAATGGTTTGACAGCTTCATCTCCGAGAGCCCGCTCGTGGCCAAAATGCAGTATTGGATGAAAATCACCTTTGTCTTCATCCTGATATTGTTCGTCGACAGCGTCAACCGAGTTTACAAGGTCCAGGTCGAGCTTATGGCTGCGCATGAACAGAGTGCCAAGGGAAAGTACGTACTTCGATCGGTTATGCCTTGACGGTAAAATAGAAAACCTCTAGAGTCAATTTGCTAACGACTGTCATAATAGTGCCGCCGCCATCATGGGATCCGAACGTCTCGAAGTCCAGGCCCGCAAGTTTTACTCCCAGCGCAACATGTACCTCTGCGGCTTTACGCTATTCCTGTCATTGATTCTTAACCGCACCTACGTCATGATCCTTGAGGTGATGCGCCTGGAGGACAAGGTGAAGATGTACGAGGGAACCAACAAGAACACCAAGGAGAGCGAGAAGTTGGCCGTTGCCGGAAAGCCTGGCGAGCTAGCTGCTCTCAGGGAGAAGCTCGAGAAGAAGGACCAGGACCTCCAGAACTTGAAAAAGCAGGCTGAGCAGCTGAACAAGGCTTACAGTGATCTCAGTGATAAGTACGCCGCCACTCAGATTGATGGCGAGAACCAAAAGTCGAGATAAGCAACAAAACATTGCTCCTACAGAGTTTGTAGGTTATGACAGCGCCGGGTAATGCAGTGAAAAAGAAGAGACTCATGGTCTTAAGGGCCCTTGAGGGACATTCAATCCCACCCGGCCGATCTATCGGCTCTTCCTTGTCTAGAATACTAGACGTATCACTGCGATGGATAGCTAAAGAATGACAAATCAGCCTGGACGAGTGGTGTAGGAAGGCCTGTGGGACGCGCATCGTTATCAAGTTTTAGTCGCATGACTGACTCTGTAAATAAGTCGAGCCAAATTCATAGCTTTTATTCTGACTCATTTCAATCGATTTTATTGAGTACATGCCGTCTTTGGTGCTTCATCCATGCTTTATATGATTATTACTCTCCTATTTTGAATATTCAATAAATGACTGATTACCATGCAATTGGAAACACGACCTGACCACATTCACCGGTATCATTTTCTGAGCCTCTTCGACCGTCTCACAGATGGATTTTCCTCGGTCAGCGCCTTTTCCTCTGCCTTTGTCTCCGTTTTCACACTTTCATTATTTGAAGTTGTTTTTCGCTTTTTAGGCTCTGAAGCGGCCGGATTTGATGCTTTGGCAGGCGCATTGGCCTTATTAGTATCTGGCTTTGCATCTTTGGCCAAGCCCTGCCCTTTCATCAAAACATACGCCACTTTTTCAATGTCCGTGGCAGACACATCAAGCCTCTTGACCAAAGCCTGCGCCTCATCATTCAGGGCCGCATACTCGTCGATGTTATACTTGATGCTTGCCTTTTTGCCGCCACAGCACAGCCAGTAAAAGGCCTCGTCGGAGAAGAAGATGGCGTTTTGGGCATCGTGCACGGAGAGCAGGAGGGAGGCCGTGGCGGGGCCGATGCCCTTGAGCTTGGCGAGGGTCCGGACGGTGCCTCTGGCGTCGTTTGAGTTGGTGTAGAAGTTGCGCGCGAAGTCGAGGGTTTGGGAGACTGTGGCGGGGGGGTTGGAGGAGACGAGGGAGAGGAGCTTGGGGCGGAATTTGCCGTGTCGTCTGGTGTGTATGGCAGGATGAGTTTAGTTTTTGTCGTTTATATGGAGGAGGTAGTAAGTGACGTGAGATGGTGATGGGGTGAGGCGTGATCATTTATGAGTGAAGATGAACGGCAGTGGCAGTAAGTGAGGATTAGTATGGCAACTTACAGCTTCCATTCTACCAACGTCTTGATATCTTCAAGCTCCATTTCTCGTTTTGGATTCTTCAGGTCAAAGGTCTCTACGGCATCCACATAGCGAAAGTGATCCAGCTCAGAGAGCGTCTTTTGACCGTCCTTGGCTATACTCACGTGTCGCGTGTTCCTCTGATGTTAGCTGAAAGAACTTTTTCTTTTGTTTCTTAATTTTTTTCTTATTTCAACAACAAACGATATGAAAATTCTGTTCAATGTGGGGAAAAGGTATTGGACGTACCGCCTTTGGACTCTGATATAGCTTCAAGAAGGGCTGGGTATTGGCTTAGATGAGACGCGAACTGCTCTTTTGTGATTTCATTGTGGGGCAGTACGGCTGAAGAGGCCATTGCTCCTCTGGTTGACGTGGAATAAGCAGTGTTGATGTTTCTGATGAAGATTCCACTGGTGACTCTTACGAGCATGAGCAGTATTCTTGGATATATTTGCGTGGCGGGAGATCGCTTTGTTGGCGGGTTTTACTGTTGTTGGATGGAATCTGGAGCTTTGGCACGCGCTTATCCAAGAACCAAGAACCAAGCAAGGGTCAGTGTTTGGTGCTACTACTAGTAGTCTTGGGACAAAAGGCTGTGACCACCCTACAGTATCCCCCGCGAAAACAAGTATTTTAAGCAGCCATATTCCGGCAAATACCTATTTTCTGAATAGAAAGTTATATTTTGTTAGATTTGTTGTTTAAAACCAAAAAAAAAAAAAAAAAGGTCCGGTTTTTATTTGCAGCGTGCGCAAACATTTGAATAGATTGCATTTTTAAGCGAAACTATGGTTTCCTACTCGATATATTGGTTTCGCCTTTAAGTGTTAGATTCATTTCATCCAAAGCATTCCATAAAGCCCTTTGTGCGGTTCGAATTGATCAAGGCTATGCACTGGAAGGGTTACGATTTGGCATTACTTTGGAGTTCTTCGCATACCATCGGCGGAGAGGACGCAGCTTCAAACCTAGAGTACTCGACAATCGGTAGACCTGCAGTACCGGCCATAATCTCTGTTGCTATGGTGCAGCTTCGTGAGAAATACAGCGTTGAGGTGCTCACCAAGGGCACTGGGAATCCGGTTCCAATTATTTATCATTGCATCATTATCGAAAGCAAAATGTTAACTCTGCAACTCTGCAACTCTGCAACTCCGCATTTTCACTTGAGCATTCAGCCAACTTTCCTACTTTATTGTCAAATACATAGTTTTTACTTGTTGCAATTAATTCACTGGCCACAGAGCTGGCAGTTGTGGAAATGGATTCGGCTGATATGTCGGTATCAACTACCTCCTGTACATCTGCTGCACGAAATAATTGTTCATTTGCTGACTCACTCATCTGATCATTGATTTGGTGACAGAATCTTGTGTTGCGAAAGTGGATAGATGTGGGTTTGATTTGATTATTTCTCTTTGTACATATTTGAGTATATTGAACACTTCCCGTTCATGCACGGGTCAGGACTGCAGCCTGAAAGGTGGCGCGACCTGGATGATAAACGCAACCTAAACGCTAATATCAGGTTATAAGAGACAAAGAAGTTGTGATGCAACTAGTTAGAACCTAGTTGCCACAAAGGAACAGGTATATAAAGAGGGACAAGGCTCCTTCTTTTTGAAGAGGGGCAGAGATAGATATAGTCCTTTTATGATACATAACTGCAATCTATCAGCAAGGTCGTAACTAACCCGCTTGACTTTATTACTCTCCTTTGTGAACCTATCCTTGACAACTAAAGTGCCATCTGTCAGCCTAGCGGTTTTGATTCCAACTGCCTTTCTGACACTATATATGTGACGAAGGTCTACCTGAATTCCGACTCGGCATCCACCTTTCATGGCTATTTAAATCTGTGTCTACGCAACTAGAGTTAATCAACAAAGTTATCACTTTACACGTGAAGCAGCTACTAGCTGTTTACTTGCACGATGCCTCAAACAAACACCGAGCCGCAATGGATTTTGACTACAAATCAAAGCTACACACCAAAAAGCAGTCTCCAGCTTGGCCAGATATTAACGGATTATACCAATCCTAACAGTGCAATTCTAACTGAGACCGCCGCTATTGCCGACGATAAGGTGAAGGAAGAGTCCTACGACCAAAACGTCAACTACAAGTCATCTGAGCCAATACAAACCGCTTTTGAAGATTGGTTGGAAGCTGCATCAAGCGTAAGCGCGTATTCAAAGGATAACGAAAAAATGCGGGAGGCACTTAAGGTAATATTCAAGGATCATTCTATCAGTGCAATCACGTTCAGCCCTTCTCGGAATTACGTCGAAAGGGCATTATCTCCATTATCTGAAGAAAATACATCCGATGACAATTATGTACCTTGGTACCAGGCGTGTGAGGAACTCTGGATGGTAACTGGGCTTCGAATTGTTGGAAAAAAACGCGAATTTGCCAAGGTTTCAGAAATAAAGCTATTGGTCGCACTGAAGTGGACGGAGATGGTAGTGTGGCCGAACTCTCGATTTATGCACCACTACATGTTGTCTGTCGAGGTTTTCGCCCACTAGTATATTCTTACCGGGTTAGTAAGATCACCTTTAGTAGTGGAAGTATTTAGACTATTGGACAAGCTGGCCATAACATTGATGTTGAAGAATTTGATACCAATGGAGATATAGATGGATATAAAGTTGTTAGTATTGACGATGGGGTTTTAAGGATGAGCGTAGTGAGCCCAATCCTTTATTTGGAAGAATACACGTGACATTCTTGCCTTTTTCTGTAAAAAGTATCTTCGTTTAATATCGTGAAACAGTGTATATTGTTTTTGACATGTTAGTTTATATACCAAGATTCCCATTTGGTACGTCTTTGCTATTGTACATATGTTGGTATTTACTAGCATTCCAGGCGGCTACACGTATTTGTAGCTAAAAATAAAATTCACATGGATGTTAATGAGTAGTTAAACTAAACTATAGCTTCTAGCAAATAGCCAAGAAGAAGAAGAAGTGGTTGTTTTCGTATTATTAGCCACTGTTCCGTAGACGACTTCAACAGAAAACGGCAGGGATTTGGACAGCGGACAAATTAGAGATGCCGTCAGGGACCACATGCTCTTTTCGTCGCCCTATCCTAATTACCCTATTAGCAGAGATATGAAATGGGTAATAGTCGGCTGGCGATGGCATGTAAGGCGACCTATCGACTATATATATATACACTTTGTGGAAGGTCATTAACTCCTACACACCTACTTTATGTATGTATACATTTGTACCTCTAGGAATTCACAAGAAGAGACGAAAGGAAAGAAGCCTAGGTACCTAGGTATATCCGGCAATTAACAGTTGTTTTGTCTTTTGTTCTTCTCAATATTAGATGTCGCCGTTTTGGATCTCGAGCAATTTCCTATCTTGACTATTGTGGACAAAGAGGCCCCTCACGCCTCGCGTTTATTAGCTCGTTACGTCCGACTCGTTTCGTTTTCGTAGCATTTCAGCTTACAAATGCTGCACTACTGTCGACTTCCGCATGCATGGCGGAACCCAATGACCTAGTCTGTGCTTAATAAAGTCTCGCTTTGTATACAATAAGTATCATGAACTGTTTAGAAAGTCCGCCTCAACAAGGTATTTCGCGTCTTTCCTCTCCGCTTCAGTATGGTTGCAGTATGGAGGTATACGGGATTATTTCCGAAGCTAGTCTGTTTCTTATAGCAATGAGTATAGACATGACTAATTGTGAAAGCTGATATCCCATTGTTGTTGGACTCGGCAAGCCGTGGTTACGGCTTAAGTCCGAGGACGAGATGTCTCTGACGCTAGGCGGGCTTGAGTTTCAGTTTACAGGGTGGGTTTTCCTTGTATCTGCGCGAGTCGTTAGCTCGTTGAAGGGTAAAGAGAGAAAGAGTATAAAGACGGAAATAAAGTCCACTTGTGATTAGTATAAGAGACATATCTGAGAAAAAAAAAACATATTCTGACGCAACTACCTATATCCAAAACTCAAAACATTGAAACACCATGGCTCCAAGTGTTGTACTTGTCACCGGTGCGTAAGCACTCAATCTGGACGATCCCGGCAAGCTAGAGCCAGGCTAACTTGTGTAATTAAAGGCGCCAACCGTGGCATTGGCTACGAGATTGTCAAGGCTCTCGTTGAGTCTTCGGTTCCCTATCACGTCTTCCTTGCTGCTCGTGATGCTGCCAAGGGCAAGGCTGCCGCAGCCACGATCACTCCTCGTGCGGGCAGCTCCATCTCAGTTCTCGAATTGGAAGTCTCTTCGCCCGAGTCCATCGCCAAAGCCGTGGAAACCGTCAAGGCAGAGGCCGGTCGACTGGATTTCCTCGTCAACAATGCCGGCGTCGTTGACGAAAGCGCTGATGCCATGACACGGCTTCGCAACACGCTCGAGATCAACACCATTGCGCCATTCGCCGTCACCCAGGCATTCAAGCCTTTGCTAATAGTGCAGCCTGAGAATGAGACCAAGGAGAAGCGAGTCATCTACGTGTCGAGCGGATTGGGCTCAATCGCTGAAAAATTGGACCCCAAGTCCAAGTACTATTCCGTCCAAGCGACCGAGTACCGCATGAGCAAGTCCGCGCTCAACATGCTGGCTGCATGCGATGCCTATGAACTGAAGGATCACGGCATCAAGGTCTTTGCATACGATCCCGAGTTTGTGGCTACCTCACTTTCGCACTCACCCGAGGAGCGCCGCAAGATGGGTGCGCTTGAGCCCAGTGTAAGTGGAGAGAGCTGCCGAGATATCATTCAGGGCAAGCGAGATGCGGATACAGCAAAGCTGGTCAGCATCAACGGGGCAGAGTGGCCATGGTAAACAGAAAAAATCAGATAGCATCAATAGCAAGCGTAAATGAATGAATTGGCTTTTTGATTAGATATTAGCCGTCTATCGTAATGTTACTTCTGTAGTCCAGAGAGAAGAAAAACACACATTTTCTAGGCCAGTAGATCAACCACCAGTCTTCCTCCGCTAATCTCTCCAGATCTCATTCTATCCAAGCCTTTGTTAACGCCGTCAAAGCCACTCTCCACCCCTATAATGGGTGGCGGCTTGATCAGGCCCTGCTCTAATAGTCGTTCCAGCCACAGCACAAGCGCTTCGCCCACGGCAGGAACAGAGTGAAAGACTTTGATAGGAACAGTGTGATAAGCGATGCCTTCTGGAGCTGTTTCCTTGGGCAATCCTGTCAACCCCACAAGGTGGGACATTTGTGTCTTCAATCCGCGCGGAGTTTGAGGAGGTGAAGGAGGCGCATCGTTGAGTCTCTTTTGGCGAGTAAGGGCCTCGAGTAAAACTGTAGCCGAGTCTCGCCCACGAGTATCAAGCGCGAAGCGAAGTTGGCTACCAACACTTTTGTTGATGATATCGACGGCACGGTCTGTGTCATGGCTGTCGATGAGAAGATCAGGCCTTTGGGCGGAACAGCCGGATATACGAAGACCATGCTTGGCTGTGTCAACTATCGTGACGACTTTGAGGCCTGCTAGTCGTGCGAGCTGCACAGTTATGTTGGCCGATGTTGATGATCCTGAATCAGCGATCTTTTTGTTAGCTCATAAGGGAAACTTTTCATGCGAATTAGGACTTTACATACCTCCCCATACCGCTACCCAGTCTCCTGAAACAGCTCTCTCGTCGTCTGTTATGCCGTGGAGGCATTCTGCTCTCACATCTTCCGGTATACTCTCCGGCTCAACAGAGCGCACGATCTGTAACAAGTCTGGTCCATCGAGGATAGAGGAAAAGTCGATTCCCATACATACTCCCAGTGTAATAGCTGCTGCGGAGAATGCAACTCCTAGGCCGGCAGCTTGCTGAAATGAGATGGAAGGGGGTATTCTTGCGACATTGAAATCGGAAGAGACAACGTATTCTTGGTAGGCAGCTTTTCTAAGATCGCGATAGTCTGTTGATATTACCAGTACCTGTGCCGAAGGTTTGTTAGAATCCGCTTCATCGTATTATATGTAGCCTAGCGTTGCCTTTGAACTTGGACGTATCGTACTCTGTCTCCTTCTTTTAAACGAGAGTTTCTCTTAGGAGTGATGGCTACTCGTCCTGCTAGCTCTCGACCGGCTATATATGGCAGAGTTGCGATACCAAAGTTATAGTCTCTGTATAATACCCAGGTTCATCAGCTTTGTAATTCCCAAACTATGCGCCTGTGGGAAAATGAAGATGGAATCCTTACGGCGCTTTCCAGTCTATCGGATTCAGGCCTATCGTGTACGTCTGTACAAGCGTCTCGTCATCCTCAACCAACAGCGGCACATCATAACCATTGGTAATCTGATATGCTTGTCGTGGTCCGTGGAGAAGCAGCACAGTCTGTGCTTTTGCCGAGCTTCCCGCCATGGAGATTCGAGAATATAGCGACGATGAAAGAATAGGAATGAAAGCTTCAAGGAAAGAAAACGAAGATTTAGGAAAATAAAAAACAAATAAAAGTGTCAGAATAATAAAGACCGTGTAGATGTAGCATCGTGCCGCCTTGCGCCTCCATCTCCTTCAGCCGGCCCCAATCTGCAAAACTTCACTAAAGATGGCTAAGCAACCGATATTATTACAATTAGATGCGTTAGCGACCGTCGTAGTCCCGATAATGCCGTTTTCGGAGGCATCTGATCTGGCTGCATCGCGCTGACGTCGTCGCTAATGCTGCGAGGGTATCACTGGCGAGGGGCTGGTTTACGGGGAGGATTGCGTGATTGCTCACAAACATGGCTCATCTCCAACGGCGGCGTTTCAGAGCCCACTCAACTGCAGGTCGCAGCATCAACGCCTGCGATTAGCACGATTGCAAATTATTGAAGATGGATGCGAAATAGGTAGTTTTGTGAGAAAAGAGTAGCCGCCGTGCGTAGTTTATTAGCTGCTGGATCTGCTTTTTCTCTTTTGATGGATTACCTGAACCTTGACTTACACGCACTCCTGAAGCTAGAACGGGCCTTGGACGGATAATTCAGCGGCGCCCGCAGGATATTTTCTTTTCCGTCCTAATCCTGATCGGCCTTTTCCCTTCTTAAACGCTTAATTTGAAAGCTTAAACGAGACGAGATAAGATCCGGCTCGTGATGGCTACCGTTGCTGATCTGCCTACTCCTCCGGCCACCGTGCAAGGCTCCCCAAAGCCTGGCCCGACAGTGACCGAGACTGCCATCCCACCTGCTGTTCCGAAGCCGTATGAAGTGCCCAAGATTAGTCTTGTGAATCGCTTCATAGACCAGCCCAGGGAACTGAATGTCGTCGTCATCGGAGCCGGTATTGCAGGTGTATTGGCGGGTATCCTGCTCCCAGCAAAGGTTCCAGGCATCAAACTCACAATATATGAGAAGAATGCAGAAGTCGTAGGTGACAACACTGAGGTGTCAAATGGACAAGATTTAATGTTAATATGCTGTTTAGGGTGGTACTTGGTTTGAAAACATATATCCCGGAGTGCGATGTGATGTGCCCGCTCATGCGTACCAATCAACTTTTGATCCAAACACACAGTGGACCGAAGAGTTCGCCCAAGGCCCTGAGATTCTGGAGTATTGGAAAGGATTGTCCAGAAAGCATGACGTGTACAAGTATCTGAAGCTGTCTCAGAGGGTCGATGGCTTGGACTGGGATCCGACTACATCCCAGTGGCTGATCAACGTACATGATCTAAAATCAGACACTTCACGAGTTGAAAAGGCTGATTTTGTGCTCACGGCAATTGGAAGATTTAATGCCTGGAAACTCCCAAACTATCCTGGCATCAAGGATTACAAGGGCCTCTTGCGACATACTTCAAACTGGGACCCGACATTTGATGTCACCGGCAAAAAGGTCGCCGTCATCGGCAACGGAGCCAGTGGTCTTCAGCTCGTTGCTAATATCCAGAAGCGTGTCGAGCGCTTAGATCACTACGCCAGAAACAAGACATGGGTGGCAGCGTCATTTGCCGGCCACGAGACGTCTATTGAGCCCAAGACTATCCCTCAAGAGCTCCGTGATTCGTTCAAGGACGACCCAGAAACTTACTTGAAGTACCGCAAGGAGATTGAGCAACAATATTTCAGAGGATTCAAGGGCTGGCTGAAAGGCTCAGAGGTCAATGATCAGGCAAAAGAGATATTCACACAGCTGGCAAAGACGCGGCTAGCTGATAAACCAGAGCTGTTTGACAGAATCATTCCCGACTTTTCTCCCCACTGCCGTCGACTCACCCCTGGGCCGGGATATTTTGAAGCTCTCACGCAGCCTCATGTCGAGTACATCCAGACCCATATCAAGAGATTCACCGAGACGGGTATCGAGACAGTAGATGGCAAGACTCGAGATGTCGATGCCATCTTCTGCGCCACAGGAGCCAATTCTGACATGGCGCCCCCTTTTCCCATTCGTGCAGGAGGTGCCAATCTGAGCTACGACTGGAGCCATTCGGGCACCTATGGCTTCCCTTATTCATATCTGGGAGTCGCCTCACCAGGTTTCAAAAATCTTCTATTCATCCACGGTCCGAATGCCTCGGGGAGATCAGGTACCGTGCCGCATAACTTGGAGAACCAAATCACCTTCTTCGCCAAGATCCTCCGCAAGATCAGCCGCGAAGGTATCAAAACCATTTCTCCTTCTAGACAAGCTGCCGATGACTTTACGGCCTATAACGACGCCTTCTTCGAGACCACTGTACTCTCCGAGAACTGCAGTTCATGGTACAATGGCGGCGTTCCAGGCGGCCGAATCCACGGCCTCTGGCCCGGCAGCGCTTCACACCTGACAGTCGTCCAGAGGGATCCACGGTGGGAAGACTGGGAGTACGAATATCTCTCCGAGTCGGGCAACCGTTTTGCGTGGTATTTCGGCAATGGAAGCACCTATGTCGAGACCGATCCAAAACTAGACGTTACTCCGTATCTCAGCGCCGAAGAGGCTGACTTGCGAAGCGTTCACGAGAACTGGTGGGTCATCCCGTAGGCTACGAGCATCAGATTGGGAAAAGAAGCCTCCACAGGCGAGAGATTATAGGTAGCATTAGTCCAAATCTTGTTTCATGAAGTCTAGATCTTTGTGGCTTTTAGCCGATGCTTACATGCTGGGGGAAAGGTATCCTCTCCTCCCACCCTGGCGGCGGCGCCTATCTCGGTATGTGGAATGTGTGGATAAAGATCCCCTTCTCAACTTGGCATTAGTGTATCTGTTACAGATCTACTACACATGAAATTGATGCATGTGAATCATCAAGAGACTCTTACGTATATACTAGTAAAATGAATAAACGAAGCTACAAACTACAAAGTGCTCAGGCGGTGATATTAGTACAGATCGATAGAATACATGTAGCTTCACCTCTATTTCATTACGCGTACCTCTAAGTTATTTCATTTGATACGTAAACTTTAATGATGTCTTTATTACTCGTTATCTGAATTTTTAGTCCAAATCAACCGTCTTCACCATCCAAACCCCTCCGCGATGGCGTGCTGGCAAGCATGCGTTTCGCAAGAAGCGCCTTGGACCCAGTCTATCGGTAGCCATAGACCCGATGTCGCAATCAGTCCGCGGATTGAACAAGAGACGATGCGGGAGTTCAAGTACCGGCGGATTAAACCCTTTTGGAATAGCGAGGAGCTGGCGTTGGCGATGGATCCTGATTTGGGAATTGATTGATATTGAGGAAGATGCCCGAGATTGAAGACTTGTTTTCAAGAGTGCGGTGTCTCGTTTTTTTGGTGCTTCCTAGTATCCCTCATTACATTTGTTAAAGAGCAGAATAATTCGCAATGTCGGATAAAGAAGACCATTTTGCCTCTTCTGATGTGGCACCGCTGCCCAAAGAGCAGCGGCATCCAGGTAAAAGCCATTATGAGAGCTTCAAATGACAGAGCTTGAAAGCTAATCACACCTTTTATTACAGTAAAATGGTATCGATCAACGTTTTACAACATGACCGTCCTCGGTTTCTGCAATTTGGCAGCACCAGGCATTTGGGGAGCCATGAACTCTCTGGGAGCTGGTGGAAGTCAGTCACCGCAGCTCGTAAACGCGGCTAATGCATTGACATTCTGCCTCATGGTCGTGTCCTGCTACTTCTCAAGCATCATAATTCGCTATATTGGAGTCAAGGGCGCTCTAGTTTTTGGAACGTGAGTTTATATTCCATCTTTAAGTAGTTGTCTATATGCTGAGAAGTTGTGCAGAATGGGCTACGCCCCATATGCGGCTGGCCTTTACACGAACAACAGGTTCGGTACCACCTGGCTCGTTATTCTAGGCGCTGCCTTGTGTGGCATATCTGCCGGAACCTTTTGGGCTGTAGAAGCCGCCATTGCCATTGCCTACCCAGAACCTTGGAATCGTGGAAAGTCTCTGGGCTGGTGGTTAACTTTCCGTGTCATGGGGCAAATCATCGGCGGTGCTATTAACCTCAGCTTGGATATCGACAGGAACCAGGCAGGCAAAGTGTCTTATACCGTCTACATCATTTTCATCACGATTCAAGCCGCTGGAGCTCTGATTGCTCTTTTGCTCAACAGGCCCCAGCATGTACAGCGCCAGGATGGCAAAAAGGTCCAGCTGGCTATTGTAGAAAACCCCTGGTACGAGATTAAGGCAACAGCCAAGGCATTCATGAAGCCTCATTTTCTCTTGATCGTCCTCTGGATTGGACAGGCCGTGTTTTCGGAAGCTGTTTATTTCACCTATCTTTCTCGTAAGGCCTCTCATGCTGACCCTGCCATCTGCTCGCTCACTGACTCTATCATTCTAGTATGGTTCTCCGTCAGAGCCCGAGCACTCGGCTCATTCCTGGGCGGCATTGTTGCTGTCATAATTGGAAATCTCACTGGCGTAGGTCAAACTGTTGTCGCAATAGGAATCCAGCTAACAGATCTCGATATAGTGGTTCCTCGATCGTACCAAGGTGCCATTAAAGATTCGCGCCAGATACACCTTCTGGTTCATTGTTGTAACCCAGGGCGCATGGTGGATTTGGGCCACAGTGATTTCCACACGATATAGGCGTACTCTGCCTACGTATGACTGGGAAGATTCTGGCTTTGGATCAGGTTTCGGTGTTTACATCTTCCTCACCTTTGGATTCCAGATCAATTACCTCTTTCTGTAAGACAGATTCCACGATTTTTTCGTTTCCTGACTTATAACTAACGCCCATTTAGCTACTTCATCGTCACCCACTTGGCCAAGGACCAGGGCGAAGTTATCCGATATGCAGCCCTGCTACGAGGTACCGAGTCTGCTTGGCAGGCCGTCAGTTATGGCTTAACCTCCTTGACGGTATTTGCGCAAGTCGGCGGAATTTACATGAATTTTATCCTGTGGGCAATTGCCATTCTCCCAGCATGGCTGGTGGTGCGACACATTGGCAGCAAGGAGGGACAGTGGGATCGAGAGTCGAGAGGATCAGATGAGTCGCCAGAGGTTTTGGCTACAGAGGAGACTGTTGCGCCATCAAAGGCTCATGAGGCGTAAGATAAACTCGACATATATCTACCTCCAATACATACATAATTTCTCTTACTATTCTCTACCCGCCACCATTCTATACTATCTAATGACATTACTCTAGCCATAAAATTAATATGAACAGATTCAAGCGATAAAGACAGTCATAAACAAACAACCGTCTAGCCAATTTTCAAGCGAACGTAGCATGTGCATCTCAAAACATTGCCTAATACGGAAATATCTCTGTCCTCTTCCATTGTACAAGACCCATTTTCACCTCTGCCGGCTGCATCAGCCCATCTCACCAAGCCAAGAGGAGATTTGGCCGAGATAGGGATGTAAAAGCCTCTGCAGTTCAGGATATTGATTGGACTGGTGCTTTCTCGGGTATTGGTCAAGAACGTATAATGCCCGCATGTGGACTCCCCGCGGCTATCTAGCCTTGCGCCGCCGTCTTATTCCCATTTCAGCAAAATATACGCATTTTCAACGAAGCAAGTCTCGAAATAATTATGGGTTTTGCTACGTTTAATCAAGCTTACTCTACATTAGCATCGCTACCTACCTCTAGCGTGCTTCGTTCCCAAGCTGTGGCCGCTTTTAAAGGTTGTCGCTCAATGGCGGTATCCCCACCCGCGCTGACGTGATTTTCAAGAAGCTCAGAGCTCGTCTCCACGGCCACGCATCGCCAGAAAGGGTAATCTGGGGGAAGCTGTTTGGAGAGCTACAGTCTGATAGGCGCATCTGGCCAATCTTGCCGTATTTACCCAGAACCGCAGTCATGCGAGATCAACGCTTGGGGTGAGAGGGGCCGTCTTGCGTGATTGTCTCACTCGAATTGCATCATCATATCGACGGCTTGGCTCTTACACGGGCGTGGCCGCCGCACACGAAGAGACCGAAGATCGGACATGTGATTTGGAGGGCTGTTTAGAATGTGTATGATATCGCGGCAATATAACTAAGCAGTATGAGATGGCATGCGTGTAAACTGCTGCAATAAGTGTCTCTCTCGAATAACAACCACAGAACAATCAAGCACACCATCTGTTTGAGGACATACACCATTTTGCAGCCATGAGTTCACAAACCGGAAAAAAGAAGAGCTTGGTGCTCAATGCCTTTGTAGAGATGTGTGCGTTCAATAATACCTACTCTACCCCTTGCTGATATTGCAGAGCACTGACTGCCGCAATTGGTGGGCTGCAGGCAGTGGTCACCAGTCTCCCGGACTCTGGCGCCATCCTGACGACCAGTCTTCACGGTTCAATCAGATTGATCATTGGACAGAGTTGGCCAAACTTCTCGAAGAGGCCAAGTTCCACGGGATCTTCATTGCCGATGTGTTGGGTAAGGTTTACCAGCTGAATCGAGGCCAATCTCATGCCGGGAGATCGGAAGTATATCGTAGACGTTCTAACCTGGTACCGCCATGTAGGTGGTTATGATGTCTATTCCGGCTCGCTGGATCCGGCCATCATCTCCGGTGCCCAATGGCCTGTACATGAGCCCCTTGCTATCATCTCTGCCATGGCCGCAGTGACAAAGAGCATCGGTTTCGGTGTCACTGTCTCAACGACTTATGAGCAACCCTACCACTTGGCTCGAAGACTTTCCACCCTTGATCACCTCAGCAATGGACGGTAAGACTCTCTTTCGAGGTGACATAAGCCATGGGATATGCAGCTGACAGCCTTGACAGAATTGGATGGAACGTAAGTTTAGGGGATCTGACCTGACGCCATGCAGTCGACCAGGGGCATGCTAACGGTAACTGTAGATCGTCACCAGCTACCTGGACTCTGCAGCTAAGAACATGGGCCTAGCCCAGCAACCCCAGGTCTGTAATGTCGCAATAACTAATGCAAGGCTGCAGTATCGATATATGCTGACTCAGTCATAGCACGATGACCGATACGCTCAAGCGGAAGAATACATCAAAGTGATGTATAAGCTGTTTGAGTCGTCATGGAGAGATGACGCTATTGAACTCAACAAAGAGACGGGTGTTTATACCAATCCTGACCGCGTTCGTAAGATCAATCACAACGGCAAGTTCTTCACAGTCCCCGGCCCTCACATCTGCTCGCCTAGCCCCCAGAGAACGCCCCTGTTGATCCAGGCTGGCACTTCTCGGGCTGGCAAGGTGTTTGCTGCCCAGCATGCCGAGGTTATCTTTGTCTCTGCCCACGCGCCGCAGGTGTGCGCCAAGAGCATCGCAGATATCAGAGAGCTGGCCAAAACACAGTTTGGCCGCGATCCCAGCAACATCAAGGTCCTGGCACTTGTTTGCCCTATCCTCGGCAAGACTGAGGAAGAGGCCCAGGCCAAGCTGGCAGACTATAAGCAGTATGCTTCACACGAAGGAGCACTTGCTCTCTTTGGAGGCTGGACCGGCATGGATCTCAGCAAGTATGGTGATGATGAAGAGCTGCGAGAGGTTGAGAGCAATGCGGTGAAGTGAGTGACTCTGGTTCTACTTGCATCCACCCTCTTCTTGCTCGACAAGTTCCGATACTAAGACTCCAACAGATCCACCGTTGAAGGCTACGCCAGATTCTCTCCGGGAACCTCCAAATGGACCAAACATACCATTGCTGAGCACGTCAGCATAGGCGGCAATGGCCCTGCTCTCGTCGGCACGCCTTCACAGGTTGCCGATGGACTCGAGACTTGGGTCAACGAGGCCGACATTGACGGCTTCAACTTTGTCAGTGCATCATAACAGTTGAAAAGCGGGATTCTCACATCTTACTGACTCGTCATCGTGCAGGCCTACACCCTCTTCCCTCAGTCTTTCAAAGACATTGTCGAGCTTTTGCTGCCTGAGCTCAAGAAGCGCGGGCTCTTCTGGGACGACTATGCCGTTCCTGCTGGCACTTATCGCGAGAATTTCTACCGCAAGCCTGGCCAGTCTGGGCCTCCTCCTGAGCACGTTGCCTCTACGTTTAGATGGAAGGCTGGAGTGTCTGCAGATGAGGCTGTGATTCCCGAGATTTAGAAGCTCTAGCGACGGTTTACGTATGGCTCCATACAGTGCCAATAACAGATTGCGGCCGATATGAGGGTTCAGCCGCAGAGCATCGTCGATGAAAAGAATATAGACATGAATATTCTAAAATAAATTCTAGTAAACCATTATAATTATGATCATTTTTCCGTCCATGTAGAATTATATGCTGCGAAGAGACGTTTGAGCGTAAAAGTATTGGCACAACATGGCTTAGTGGGGTTTATTTCACCGTTTTCATCACAGTGCGCTTCGCCAAACCTTTGATGAGATTCTCTTCTTTACTCATAACAACCCAATAACGAAGATCACTCATACAGCGCCAAGCAGCGATTTGAAGAGCATAGTCGCAATATTTTTTTTGAAAGATTGATTGCCATACTATAATTCGACCCTCAATTTCGGTCCAACATCTACAATGCCGCCTACTCAATTGCCAGAGTCGGGCAATCCGCTGTACGTGTATTTATTCAGCCTTGCATTTCTCATAGAACAACGCGACTTCTAATCCAACGAGTATAACTCTTGAAAGCAAAACGCTAACTGAGATGGAACCAGCGTCTTCTTTGACATGACGCTGGGAGGTACGTCAAATCGCTGATGGCCACGATCGGCTGAGCGTGAAGCACGAAAACATCATGAGAATTGCCTGCAGCCGCTAACAGACTGCTTCATGCATGCAGGCGAACCCCTCGGCCGCATCACCTTTGAGCTCTTCAAAGACGTCGTGCCCAAAACCGCAGAGAACTTTCGACAATTCTGCACCGGCGAATCCAAAGACGCTGGCGGCCGTCCCCAGGGATACAAAGGATCTAAATTCCACAGAATCGTAAGTCTTCTCTCACTTCTTTACTCTGCTTAGCCGCGGGCGCCCAAATTCTGACTCTTGTCTTCTCTTCAGATCCCCAACTTCATGTGCCAAGGTGGAGATTTCCTGAAAGGCGATGGAACTGGGTCTACCTGTATCTGGGGCTACAAGTCATTCGATGACGAGAACTTCAACCTGAAGCACGAACAGCCCGGCCTCTTGTCAATGGCGGCAAGTCTCAAACCCCCCCATCCAGATTCGTGTTTGGCTCTTTCGCTGATACTATATCCAGAATGCTGGTCCCAACTCCAACGGCTCCCAGTTCTTCATCACCACAGTTCCCACGCCCTTCCTGGACGGCAAGCATGTCGTCTTTGGAAAGGTTGTCGACGGTATGGATGTTGTGAAGAAGATGGAGGCGACGAAGACGGGCTACCGAGGAAAGGATGTGCCAAATATGGATGTTACCATCGCCCAGTGCGGTGAGATGTAGATCATTTTCTGCTGGAAATAAGAAGCAATTGATTTCTTTGAGAAGCTTGCTGCTCAATCCGTCAGTACAAGGAGATCATGAGGAGACTGTTTATCCATCATAACAGCACTTCTTACTAGGCACCATTGGTATTATACAATCTTTTATCGTCATTTGTCTCCTCATCATCTTTTCACTCAATCATCTCTCGAGTCCATTACGAATCGCAATCTTGACGGCGAGCCAAGAGTAACCGTTCCTTGAGAATGCAAGTTAAAGCTGTAGCTGCCCGGTGATTCCATGACCCGTACCATTTTATAGGCATATACTTGACGTATATTTATATCTACACTAATTGTTTATATACAAGGCATAGAGCCTTTTTCTTACTTTACCGAGGCACATTGTCTAATGCACGCAATATTAAAACTTTAGGGAGTGTAGCGACCAACATCGCCACCATTTCCACCCCAAGAACCAGTGAAGCCATTTTGGGTGTTGATCAACTGGCCATTTCCTGCTCTCAAGGTGTTTGTAGCGCCTCTGGAACACAGTCCAAAGGCCTGGAGGTTGGAGGGAGTGTTAGCAACCCAGTGTACGGATTCTGTATCATTCTGTTAGTGATGGCAGTTCAACCGAGTGCGGAATAATAGATTGCAGCACAACTTACCTTGACATGAAAAGTCGTTGCATCCCTGGCCAGGGCCGCTGAAGAAAGTCCACGAGGCAGAGGCATACGTATAAATGTTGGATCCTCCGTTAATGAAGTTGGCGTAGCCCATTCTGCAGACCTTTTTGTTTCCATCGCACCACGAGAAGTCTGGGTCTCCAAAAGTGTTGACGTTGGCTACCCAGGGTGCAGGGGGGATCTGCGGAGTGTTGGCACCCTGGTCGTAGTTGGTCTCGGATTGGAGCAGAGAGACCACAACATTGTTGGCGTTGTGCAAGTTGAGCTGGTACAGCCACCAATGCTCACTTCCCAAGGCGTACAGCCAAGTTGCCTTGGTGCTTTCCACCAAAACACCTCCCTTTCCTGCAATAGAAGTTCCGCCGCCAAAGTCCTCGCCAATGTGGTCCGCAACCCAGTTCCAGACATTCTGGACATACGCAGACGAGTTCTTGGTGAAGTGAATTCCCAAGTAGGCCCCCTTGCACTGGTTTGATGTGCTCGTACAGGCGTTGGCCAAGGCAGAAGCGCCTCTGGTTCCACCTACTGTGACCAGACTGTTCCACAGGGCCACGTCTCCAGGCTTGTTACCAGCCATGTTGAACTGAACGATAATGGCTCCTGGGAGGACATCGTTGACTGTGAATCGCATGTCTTGAATCTGAGCAACGCCAACATCGCCAGAACGACCAACCGAGACGACTGGCTGAGGGCTGTTCTCGTTCTTGAAGAAGTTGCCGTTACCGGTAATAGTAGCCCAACCCTCACCGACGATGCGCGAGTTGGGGGGGATAAAGAGCGTTGAGTCGACACGGTACTTGCCAAAGGGGAAGTAGGCAATCTTGTTTTGGTCGGCGGCAAGTTGCAAGATGGCATTGAGAGTGGCAGATTCATCAATAGTGTTATCACCAAGAACTTTGCGGCCGCCGTTCTGGTTGGTATCCTTGACGTTGATGAAATCCGAAACAGAGTTGCTGGCAAAGTTGGGAGGAGCAACATATGGATAGTTACCGCCAGGGGCGAGAGCAGAAGGACGCTGGTTGGTGGACTGGACCGGGCCATAGACGGGGTTTCCACCAACTGTATTGGCGTAGGAGTAGGTATTGACGTGGCTGGTAGCAGCCAAGGCAGTAGTACCCCGAAGAACGACAATAGGGGTGCTGGTATCTTTGGTCAAGTTCTCAATGACAAACGAAGGGAAAACAGTCGTCGAGAAAGTCACGCCAGAGTTGACAGACTTGCCATCAATAAGAGCAACCCAAGGAGAGCCGCCAGTGACGCTGATGCCAGTCCCACAGGTGTCAAAGGTAGGGGAGAAGAAGCTAAAGGTGCTACCACCGCTGATGAGCACGGCAACGGTGTTCTGGAAGAAGTAGATGTTGTGGAAGGCAGCCTGCTGGTGGGCAGGGATCCAAATTCCGTTCTGACCGCGCTCAATGCGAACATCGGCAACACCAAGGGTTGAGCCTCTACCCATGACAATACCAGAATGTCCGTTACCATTCTGAGAAGACGCCATGGTAATCTTGACGTTCTGAAGAGAAGCAGCTTGAGCAACACCCCACCAGAGGGCAGTGAATGTGTTGCCACCGGGAATAGCCGTCGTATCAAGAACCAAGTTCTTGAGACTCACTGCAAAGGAAAGCTCTCCATTTTCGCCAGTGCCAGGGTCTTGACCACTGATGAGAGTTTGATCACCAGAGAAGCCAGCAGCGGCCTTGATGATGGGAGGGTTTGTAGGATCGCCCATCAACACTGTATCAGTGTTGAGGTATATCGTCTTGGAAATAGTATATGTTCCAGGGGGGATATACACCACCTAGTTGTCGACTTTGTTAGCCATCCAGTGTGCCTTTACTTTTCATTAGAGAGAAGAATCTTACTCTAGGCTGTGATGCGAACCACTTCTGGTGGCGAGAGCCACTGCCATCACTAGTGATGGCACGCTGAAGAGAACCTCCATCTCCCGGGTTGACTGTCTGGTACACTTGATAGTTGAAGTTGCCATCAAGGTCAGGAGCGAAGCCACGAGGCGCGCCAGTATGATCCATGTTGGGATAATAGAAGCTGGTAGCGCGCTTGGCAAGGCCTTCATCTTCAGCAGGGGGGCTGAGGGTTGGCGTTGCAGACGCCGCGCCCAGCAGGAGCGCAACAAGCGCTGTGAGCTTCAACATGTTGCCGATCAATGATCTACAGCGTCGAGATTAGAGGCCCGCCGCTTTGGGATAAGAAAGAGACGGCCAGCAAGGGAGCCGTAGATCAGATAGCGAGGCACGCGGTCCTTTATACCTCCTGGAGCATGTCCCCCTTGTCGGTGGAAAGCTCCGAAATACCTGTGACTAGAATACCTAGTATCTTGTTTTGTGTTTAGTCAACTAGTCAACCCACAGCTTCGAGTTACAGGTTCCCAGGCCTACTCTCCATTCGGCCCGGATCTAGATAGATACTCCTACATTGCTGTACAAAGAAGTAGTAAAGCATACGGCTAGAATTTCTCCAGAAGGAATAGTGAAAGCTTGGGATATCAGGGGTCAAGCAAGCCACCGTCCCGAACATCCAATTGCAACCAGCATAGCGCTACTAGTCGTTAATGCATCCACTCCACCAAGGCCAGCATCAGGAAGGTTAAACATGCTGCTAGCAGCAGTGAGATCGTAATGGGGGTGAGATTTCCAACCCATGCTAGAGATTTTGTGGAAGTCGGGTAGCTGCAAATCCCACTTACAACAGATGCTGGGCGTCAAACATCAGAAGCTCCTCCAGGTGCTCTCCTAAAAGGGCTGGCTTGAAGTTTCCATTTTAGAACCCTTGAAGTCTCCGATCCCTGCCGAGTAAAGCTCTCCACATATAGCAGTGCAACGCTCTATTTACGTTGAGGCAAGGCGGGATGAGCACGCGATGACATACTGCCTGTATCGTCCAATACAAGCACATGGTATACAAAATAAAGTGCTGATATTGCAAGCGTCTGCATAATCAAGTCACATAGATTATCCATCTAGGCCCAGCAAACAGACCGGTGTGCTGTCGACCGCCCGTTTGTTGGTAAGATGCGTTCATGACGGGCTTTTGCCAAGCCATCATTGGCCGCCAGTGGATCACAGGACTCATACTCGGACGGGGAACAGCGGACATTACTGATACTTATACAAGCGTGTGAGGCTAAGAGACAACTAGGGAAAACTCCTAATCAAGTAACCTAGGGACATGGCCCTGTCATTGGTGGAAACCCAACAGTGTAGCTTAGGAGGTAAGCATCAGAATAAAGTTATGTTACTACATGTGCCTATTTACAGTAGGATTCGGCACGAGCCAGCACAGGTACGTGGCTGGTCACTAATGCAGCACCTGCGCCCTCGACTACCTATCGTTAGATTGCGAGTGACCCGTAAAATAGCAGCCCATATTACAAGTAAGTACTTGTAGGTAGCAGAGCAACGCGGGTTGTCAAGGAACCCTGACCTGTGGGCTGCAAAGCTTCCGGTCCTTTTCAGCTCAGCTTCCTTTCTCGGCCTGGGTATAGTAAACAACAATAGCCGAACCAGAGCTATTTATTATTTATGCTTACAAGTAAAGACGGTATCCTAAGCTTATTACCGTTACTGTCGTTTGGGTCTTGCGTAGTAGAAACGCAGGGGGCTAGCCCGCTCTAATTCTGTGGAACGGCTCGATTGCCTTTCGGGATCCAACCGGACTGATGGCAGCAAATTGGCGGAACGGCGGACATTTCCAAAGAGTTTCAGCCTATTCTTTTTCCTCTTCTTTTTCCCTTTTTTTGTTATTGCATTGATCGATTGACAGGAAAGCCTTTCGACATGACCCCGTGTGATTTCTGTCATCTTACGGTGCTATACGAGTGCATGGTAGCAGAAGGAATAATCACATCTGGAGGCCAAGCTATTAGCGACGATGTTGCTCAATTAGGTAGGTGTTTGTAATTATTGGATTATTACAAACCTCCTCGGCACGCGCCATCGGGAAATCAACCTGGTTGATTCTAGATTCTCGCCATAGTCCTCTGCTGGTGAAATACGAGTTTGCCGACATTAATTATGAGTCTTGTGCTCGGAGAAGTAGTAAGCTGTGCTGTACTTGTAACGTAATCAAGTTCAACTTTGACTTCCTGGCTCGGCGCTCTTTAGTGTCATCCGCCTACAATCGAGTCCTCCACCCTCCACTGGCACCTACTAAACAGAAACCAACGCAGATAGATGGGTACATGTACCTAGTTCTGCCCAACCCAGACTTTGCATCTCGCAATTTTATATGTAAAATAAGAAACTGGCAGCAGTCATTCTTCCAAGGTTCTTATACCGCGGGAATTGTTAAACTGCTACCCAACAACAATAAACTATAAGTCCCTAGACAAAGATCCGCCCAACTTAAGCTAGCTCCTGCTTAAAGATTCGCGTTGCGTCGCTGAGATCGGGCAAAGGAGTCTTTCTTGTAAAGTCGCGGATGGGGTATAGGACGACAATATTCATCTTCTCTCTAGTAAGATATGTTTGTACGTACTTGGGACTAGCTAGTATCTTTGCCCTCCCTAGTTGAAGCTCAACATTCATTTTTACCCATATATAGCATGGGAGCCAGCTGGGCTTGTATGCCTTCCATGTGCACCTAAATTGTTTCCGGTTTACTGGCTTAGAGAGTTTATAGTAATTATGATCAACATCTTCAAGAAAAATGGTACATCACAGAGGAATGTGTAGATATTTGTCCTCTGGGGGATACTATTATTGTGAGAATAACGCCGTACTTGACTCTCAGAAAAGACAGCCCGCAGAATCGATGCTCTTCTACAGCCCATCAATAAGTTACACAACATCTATTCTCGAGGAACGAATGGAAAGTATTGGAAGCTCTTAGAGCTCTTATGCAGGTAGCCTCGCGCCGGCGTCCAAATACTGACAGTACCTCAGAAGATAACGATGTGTCATTGAATCACAAGTCTCTTGTGTCACAATATTGTGTTCATTTTTTCTATGCCTATTTTTGAGCCGTCTTATTTATTCCCCTCTTTTGATCTGTTCTCTCCTTCTCTTTTCTTCTCTCATGGTATTCGATTCAAGGTCCTTAGCCATGCAGTCCTGGACGCGGCCTCCAGGCAACTGATCAGACTTATTGATATTGTTATATTCCAGTTACTGAAATCAACTCAAAGGCACAATCAACTACAACATACGACAAGCTTAATTGGCGGCTTGACGCATACCTTACCCTCTTACATGAGCCATGCAATATGAATGCCCTTTTATAAATAATGGATTGAACAGATAACAAGGTTCGCTAAAAAGCAACCCCTCATGCCCAGATATGCTTCATAGACATTAATCATTTTAGGTAGCCACAATGTTTAAGATTGTATTCGGTCAAAACAACTTAACGACCGAGAAGAGCTTCAAAGACTTGTCAAGCTCTTCTCAGAAACGACACCAATTCATCTGCTTAATAAACAAAATACTACTTATCGTTACAAATGCAGCACAAATCTTTTGCTTCCGCAATAGTGACCAGGCAATCAAGATTTTCGACAAATTGCCCTTGTGGAAGCAAAGTGTGCCCTGGAGAAATACACAAAAAGTCACACATAACAAACAATGTCCCTACCAAGATGGCAGGCCAAGCAATCGCACTACAATGGTCTAGCCGAATGGTCACGGATTCTACAGCATGTCTGGACAAGTGCGCAGCCCTATTTCTCCCAAGTATTGTCTATTTGCTTACATATCTAGGACCACTACTATATTGCACAATTAAGCAGCTAGTTCTGAGGCTCACTTATCGACCGAGGTTATATGTTTGAAGACGATAACAGATTACAACTACAAGCTCCATGTGCTTCCAGCACCACTGTTGATTGCAGGCTTTATTATGACGGAATTCAGAGGAATTAAGGTACCTACCTATACATGTATCTTTTTCATGCGTACCTACAAGTACACAGCTCATGATTCGGTGTGGCTGTTCAAGTACCGCAGGTGATCTCAGTGATCAGCACAAAATAAAAGCAGCGAGGCCGCAAAAGGAAAGTAGAAGCTAGCTAAATTTGGAAAATATGAAAAACTCTCGAAAACAAAAAGTATAATAGGACTCAAAACACTTGAACCCATTTTGCAATATTTACCGGTGCACTTTGAAGTTGGCGGCAGTACGTGTAAATACCACTACCCTGCAACATTCCGCAGGTTACAAACAATAAGAGCAAGTAGAAAGGTGCATGCATGCGTCTTCACATGTTGAACCTACCATATCAAAAAGTGCAATTAATCATTGAAGCCTTGCAACATGCCAGCTTCACATCTTCATTCACCATGTAATCAATTAATCAATCACATTACAGCCTATCAAAAGCGCACGCACCCATCAACTCATTCTGCAGCTCGGCCTTCTACCCGCTCACCTGACCGCGCGCGCCGCTATGCCGAAGCGCCTCTGCAAATTTTCCTCCTAAGTGCTTATCGCTATCACTATCTTGGCTCCATTCGGCATCGCCTCGACTTTCGTGACACCGCTTAGGAGATTATTTTGCCTCTCTTTGTAAAAGTAGAAAACACACTTTGCCGATAGTACTCGAGCAATCCTCTTTTTTCACAAACAGATATTTCCATCTATTTCCCAATTCTTTTCCCACATCAAATCCATCACAATGGGCAACGTAAGATATTGATTTCCCGCCAACTCCCCATGCGCTCCATTGTTTCCCGCCGATCCCAAACCTTGTAACTAACTGTTCTTGTCCAGGGCGCCAAAGCTCAGCAGAAGCGTGAACGCAACGCAAAGGACAAAGGAGTTGCCAAGTCTCAGCTCAAAGTCGTACGTCTCTATACTTTGATATGATTCAGCCTGTGTTTCGCCGTCCAACTTCGACTGACCGAACCATCTCGTACAGAACCAGCAGGCCATGGACATCCAGTGCCAGATCTGCAAGTCGACATTCCTGAAAACCACAAAGGCTCCTGCGTACGATGACCTCCTTCCTTTCTCTTCTCGCATCCTATATATACTCTTTGAGCACTTGGCTAATTGTTACCGCCTTCGTCTAGTCTTCTGGAACACGCCCAAAACAAGCACACCAAGGGCCTGGCCGACTGCTTCCCCACGTTCGCCGCATCATAAACGAGCGATAGTTGATTTAAAATTCGGGGGGAAACTAGAAAGTTGTTGGAGCCGCTGACATGGCGAAGGGAGTTTGGTCTGGGAGTAGAGCATTATAGCACGGGTATTGATTTCACAAAAAGAAAAGAAGAAGCACAATGAGACACATCATAGCACAGGCTGATAAGCATGTGGCATCCCTTATTTATGAAGCGCCTTCTTCCTTTCTGCGTATTTATCGGGTTGCAGGTTCTTACATTCCCCATCACCCATCTCAGTCCGTTTCAAGGTTTAAACAAACGAGCCACGAATTACAAACTACGAATCACGATTCACGAACCAGCCAGCATCTGTATCAAGCGAGGGTAGTATTTCTTGCATTTGCAGGCTCTATATATCAGGCGTCGATAGCCTCAAAGGAGTATGTATCAAACAACATTCATGATATTCCATCTTCACATGGAACCCTCTGATGTATTCATCCTTGCGAAATAAAAACAAGAAAACTCTGTAAAGAAAAGAGAAGAAAAAAAATTGAGAAAAGAAAAGAAGGAAATATGCCAGGCAGTTTTATTCCGGATGGGAGAAAGGAGATAGAGAAAGGAGAAAGAAGGGGAAGATCAAAGGCGAATTCCAAATGCTTGAACCTCCTCGGCACACTGTTTGTGGGCCTCTGTTTTTCTTTTTTTGCAAACGTTCAGATAAAGATGTTGGAACCGCGGTGTGGTGTTTTGGGTAATAATAGATATGGTCGCTTCCCACACCAGCTTATTTTTTAGACCCCCCACACCATCCATTGAGCTTTCCGGTGGTATCATACAAAATTTGCAAGAAATAAATCGAGAGATGAAGAGAGAAAGAATCGACTAGTATTAAAAATGAAATGCTGCACATAGCATCGTGTCTCTGATTATAACGGCGAGTGGTATCAAATTGCGGCAGACTGTAAGGTCGAGAGTTATTGATAATAGGCTGAAGATGATTTGGATATTTAAGATTGAATTGAGCTTGGGCACTCAGTTATGGGTTGCGGAGAGGCACCGATGTGCCTTCCATGTTATTAGTAAGCTCTGCAACCCGAGCCTTGATACGTGCGACTCGAGACTCGATTGCTACAAAAAAACACAGTTAGAATTTACTGTTAACAAGGGTTGTAGCCATTAGTACTCACTCTCTTCTCCGCTGGTTTCATCGCCATCAGCGGGTCTCGTAGGTTTCGCGTATGGAACTTCCACTTGGCGAGGAGCAGGTCGCTCACTCGCTTTGCGAAGTTGGGCCCATCTCTCATGAATGCCACCGCCCTGGCCCACCACGGCGCCCTCTTTGACAGGTAGCCTTGAATTGGGCTTGGGAGTTTGGCGAGGAGGCTCTGGGGCTTCATGGCTAGGAGGCTCTGGGGCCTCATGGTGAGGCGGTTCAGGACGAGTGGAACGAACAGCCGGTTGTGGGACGGCATCTTCGAATTCGTCTTCGTCATCTTCATCCGGGACAAAGGCCGGTACATCATCTAGAGGGCCTTGGTCAAATCTTGAGAAGTCATGTCCACCTTCATGCTCGTCGTCGTGGACATCAGCGTGAGCGTCATTATCGTCCGCCGGTTGGTCGTAAATTGGCTCATAGATCGGTTCTCCAGCAGGTGCTGCTTCGACCGGAGTTTCTGGCTCGAGCGGCGAGACAACAGCAGGACTAGCCATTGGCTGCTCAATAGACTTCTTAGCATTTTGTTCAAGCATCTTATTCAGATCGGTAGTGACATTATCAAGATTCTTCGAGTTGCGCTTTTTGCGGCCAAACAGCTTCCGGAACCCGCTGGTCTTTTGCTGCTTCGCCGGCTCGGGACTCCGTGGGGTATCCAAAGAGGCTTTTCCATCAAAAGTAGGCGACATCACTCGAGCAGCAGGCTCATCCTTGGGTGGTGTTGGCAAGCTAGGCTCATGAGCGGGAGGCACAGGAGTTCCGGCCTTCTCTGGAAGAGGGGACCGCGATCGCGCCTCTTCCAAAGCATTTTCTGGGACCAAGGATAAGGCAGAGTGCCCATGAGGCAAAGGTGAGGCAGCTGGCGTCAAGTGATTGTCCTTTGGAGGAACCAAGGGAGAAGGATGATTGCCATCAGCGGGCTCCTGGTTCACGATAAGCTCGGGTTGCGAAGGGTTAAAAGCTGTTCCTCGACCCGCTTCGTCATGGGCCATGTAAATATCCTTGATAGTGCCCTTGTCGTAACTCTTGACCCATTTCATTGCCGAAGAAGCTTCGCCCACAATCAAAGGCTGGAGGGTGAAAACACTGTTAGTCTTTTCAGCCAACAGTTCAGCATCGGTACGACCGCGACGAGGAGTAGCCTGTATGCGTTGCTCTTCTTCCCGGTCTTTTTGAGCCCTCAGCTGGGCAGCCTTTGCTTGAATCTTGGCATGCGCATCCGGGCCAATACTGGCCTTGCTATCGTTCTTGTTCGCCGTCGCATTCTTGTCGTTCTTATCAAGAGACTTCTTGCGCTTGGAGATGGTCTTGGAGCGTTTACCCCAGGAGAACAAACCCTTCTTTTCGGCAATATACGCTCCTTCTTGGGCACCGGGGGCCGCACCTGCGATGAGCTCTTCCATGACAAGCCATCGGCTGCCACGAAGTTGCGTTTCAATCACAGCGCATCGGCCAAAAGCCGACTTTCTTTCGGGAGTCTCCTCAGGCGCAAGACTGGTCATCCATACCCACCAGAAAGCATCATCCAAGTCAACAACTCTGATACTTGCAAGCTCTCCCGGCTCAACATCCTGTTCGCTCTCGAGTCTTGGATAGTGGGACTGAGAACTGTGGCGACCATCCGGTGACAGAGGTGGAAGAATTTTATCAGGCGGCAAAAGGTAGTTGGGCCTGGACTGGTTGTCATCGACAAACCCGGCTGACAGGAAGTCCGCCCATGAAGGTGTTGTCGGGCGTGCAACGCCGTTGCCACCAGATAATGGGCTGCCGCGGAGACCTTGGAACTGTCTAAGTTGTTGGACTCTTTTGTTTGGTATGGCACTTCCTTCGCCGTCGTCTTCCTCTTCCAGAGAGCTAGCGAATCCAATATCCTCGAATCTGGACCAGCTAGCATCTCGTAGGCCAGTAGAGTGCTTTATACTAGACACTTGCGATTGGTTAGTTGACGAGATTGCTTTTAGAACTCGCTGGCATTCTTCCGTAAGCGCCTCCACGGGGTCTTCGTAGCTGGAGAATTCCTGGAGTTCTCTGTCGGAGTCGCGATATTGAAAGTGGTTTGCTCTGCGCAACAAAGCAAATGGCGTCGGCGAAACCGTCTCAACAATCATGGCAACCTTTTTGGTCTTGACCATGAGCAGCTCCGGCCTCTGGGGAGGGTATTCGGTCTCCTGGAGAAGCTTTTGAAGCGACCTAGGCAACATGGTGATTCCTGTAGGGTTTTGTTCGGGAGAAAGCGATCGCAAATAAGCGAAAAAGAGATGGCTGGTAGCATCGGCAGCGCTAGAAACGCAGTTAGCATGATTCTGTATCTATACTTCATACTCAACCTTGATAGCTTGTCGTACCTGAGCCAAGACCCATAGCCACCATCGAAGCCATTGCCAGTATCGTTGTGCTCAAAGGTCCACCACGAAGCCATACGAGACAGCTTGCGCCCACCAAAGCCGTTGTTCTTGCCATGCGCCGCCACTGCCGCTATCAAGCTGAAGAAGTCGAAGATGATCTGTTGGCGCGCAGCATTCTCAACGCTGAGAGGAATAAAGGTTTTGAACGAATCGCGAGCCATGTTTGAGTCTAGGGCAATTCCGAAAATCAGTACGTGAGCACAGAGGTCTTAGAAGTCGCCACTGATTGGCCGTATAATATCACATACCTCGTTCACCAACCTTGAATAACTCATACGCATCCCAACCAACGAGACCTCCCTGGAGACGACTCCAGCACCATTTTGCCACTCCCGAGATAACCTATACCATGTGTAAGTATTTAGCCCTGGCCATCGATACCGAAAAAACACACCATAGGATCCGTCATGCGCAGCTCTTGGAGCAGCAGCTCGCCACTAATCGGGGGATCCTGACTGAAGAAGTTTCGAATAAAGGTTCGCACAGCACTCGGGTTCGATGTCGGTCGGAATGGAAGCAGGAAGAACGGGTGATCGAGGCCTATAGCGATAATGTTAGTCCATAATTATGCGCAGTGAGGCTCCTAAGCCATGGAAAGCTACGTGACGATGATTGGGTAATAGCTGATATCCCTACCTCGATTCTTGAGCTCTTCAGTGCAGCCACACAGCAGCTCTCGAACTTCCTCGGGCTCAACCGTCTTGCGGGTCCAAGCATCGTCCCATTTCTGCTTCTGCAGAACCAAATCCGCAGAGTCGTCGAGTCCATTCTTCTTGGACTTGCCGTCCTTCTTGCGGCGTGAGAAGATGCCAGGCATTTTCGGCGATGTTATCAACGACCAGAAATTCGGTGGAAGTATTCGATTTCAGGCCGTCAAGAAGCGGTGGATGGTTTAAAGGCACCGTGAACAAACAGAAAAAAAAAAGAAGAAGAAAAAAAGAGCAATACCGAATCTCAGGCGAGGGTCCAGGCGTAGCGCAACTGAACCTGCCGAGATACCAAATCACTCCACTCGCTTAAACAATGAGATAAAGAATAAATGGATCAATTCGCGCTGCGAACGTTTTTGTGAAAGTTCCGTAACTCGGCCGTGGCGGCAAAGGGGAGTTTGCGAAGAAGTAAAGTAGAGGCGATAGGAAAGAGAAGAAATAAGGAGGGGCACTTGTCGAAGACGAAGATGAAGCTCAACGAGGGGAAGCAACCAGCGCGCGCACACAAAATAGGCTCACGATGCTCGGGAAGAGACTCGCCGTCCCGCACGCTGAGGAAGAAGTTGATTTCGCTTGCTGGAGATGGCAAAGAAAGCGGTGGTGGGAATCTTTTTGCTCGTCGCCTTCAGGGGCGCGACACGTCCAAGCCAGGGGCCGGTCTACTACGGGTCTTTATGCGACTAAGATTAGATGCTAAAGTGTCTGGTGGTGCGCCAGCTGGGGGGCGCGCAGGTACTGCTGCAGCGAAAAGAGCGCCGCGAGGTACTTGGACGACGACGCTTTTGGGGCCAGGTGTCTGCCACACCAATTGCAGTGCCTGGGGTTGATGCTCTGGTCGTTGGTGCACATTGAAGCTTGATGTCACCGGCCCAATTGGGCTCTGGCTCACAGTGTTCAATATTCTCGATGCAGGCGCACGAGTCTGATGGAACGATTGGGCATGGCACTCCAAGCCGGTCCCTCGCACATGTACGAGGCCTCTTGGCAGCAACCTTGATGAACTGGGCCTGTTCGAGGCGAGCATGCGGTGGAGCAGCATCGCAGAAAGATTGAGCACCGATCAATTGATGCTTGTGCCTGGAGACGGCGGTAGTGGCTACAGCGTTTAGCAACAAGTGGTGGGGGGCCGCCGGTGTGATAGCGCGATAGCGGGTGTGTGTCCCGTAACGGCAATACGCTAAGTGCGCCAAACCCGCCACGAGCTGCCACTACAGAGCTCGCAGCAGTGGCGCTCTTGCTGGCTCTCAGCGCCAACAGCTGGCCCCAGACATGGGCGCCCCGGGAGCTAACCCTGAAATTTAAATTAGCACGCGGCCAAATCATCAATCGGGCGTCGCAGCTATGAGTGCTCGCTATAAATAAACAAGGTATCACTCAAGTTTTCTACTCAAAATGCATGCCCGTACGAATATGTGGTCTGGCATTTGGCACTTGTAAAGCGCACGCAGATTACCGTACCTATTAAGTACATGTAGTAATACCCATACGCAAAATATGCCAGGGCCATATGCACACCAACTTTGTTTCGTCCGCGGCTGCTTCCTTGTCTCACAGATCACAGAGCCGTTGCGGATGTTGCCCCAATATTATGCCGCCTGAGTCGGGTATCTGATCTGCATGTATGTAATCCGTTCGCAGCGCCCAAAGGAAGCTTTCTCCATGCGGAGCACATGCACCGAGAGCGCTTGACTTGGGCTCCCTCGAGAGCATCCGTGGCCATGAAATCATACGAAGCAGGGGTTGGCCAAGCTTGGGCCACTGCAGACGATGTTGTTTTAATTGCTTGCACTAGGATCTTGTGAAACAAGTCCTCAGCCTATCATCAGCTGCTAGTCGGGCTGTCAGCGGCCAGCTTCCAACTTCGTACAATAGTTGCGAGTAGCCCGCCCTATCAAGACGCACTGTTTGATGTTTATTGGCTAAGCAGGTTCATGTACTGCTGTATCTTTTGCATGGCGTGGGAAAATTCTATCCTATCCTGTGAATTTACCCATTCCAGCCCCAGCCTGTCTTGGTAGTTGGTAACGCTGGTAACAGCACCACATAACGACGTACTAACATTTGCAAAGAGACTGTGAGCACTCTATGCTGATTGCAACCGGTATTACCAACGGTTGATTATAAACAAGGCTCAATGCCAATTTGCCGAGAGCCCAACCATGCACACGCAGTTCAGCCGCATATTATAGAGCGCTGAGTGTATAGCTGAGCTCTTTTCGCCAGCTCGACCCCTGCATTCTTGCCCAACCAAGGCCTAATAAGCGATAGACGCATTGATACGAAATAGTCCAGTGGTCCTAGGTGGTACGAGCATGCCGGCAGCGAGCCACCATTGATACCGAAAGCGAAATTGTCGCGGAAGCGATTAGTTTTAGCTACGCGACAGCAAGAAGCTATACTTGTAAGTACACTGTGAAAACCGCAGCAAGGATTCATGCTCTCTAGGCGGGATGAAATCGTAGGCGATTGCAGCGCAGTACTATCTAATGCTCCACCAAAAGCTTCATAACCGTAAAATCCCATGTTGTATTGTGAAGTTCCCTATATTTCAATCTGATGTGCCCTAAACCTGCGTTGCCGACGCTTTCATAGTATTATCCCAGGTGCTATCGTTTATAGCTTAAACGTATTCAAAACATGCCATCATGTCCAATCGCTGCTTTTCCTTTCCAATCGTAACCATTTCTCTTCGTTCACATATGGTTTCATGCTTAATTCTTGGTTTGCTCTTCTGCAAGCTTAAGAGCTTCTTCCAACGCAGCCTCGTCATCGGAATCGATGTCGTCTTCTTCGCTTTTGAGTTCTGCCTTGTTCGATTTAGACGCACCATTGGTCTTTGCACTCTCTTTTGACTTCTCTGGTGACTCGTCTAGTGTCTCTGCGCCCTTTGCATTTCCATTTGCTACTGGTTCCGCATCTTCTTTGGCGTCTTCTTTGGCATCCTCCTTGACAAGCTTCCTGGTTGTGTTTCCGGGCTTCAGGGCCCAGTCAATCTCCCCGTCATCACCATATCTAGTGATGAGCCATTCGTTTGCTGCTTTGAAATGACCACAGTCAAAGAATCCCCTAGATGCGCTGAGTGGGCTAGGGTGAACGCTGAGGAGCACCAGGTGGCGTTGTTTATCCACCCTCTGCACTCGCTTGCTGGCCGGTGTTCCCCAGGCCATGAAGACCACACCTCGCGTCCGCTTTTGAGCAACGAGGTCAATGACCTTTTGCGTGAATCGCTCCCAGCCGCGATTGGCATGTGAATTGGCTTCATGTGCACGAACAGTAAGACAGGTATTGAGCATCAGCACGCCTCGGTCTGCCCATGGCGTTAACAAGCCACCTCGGTTCAGCGGCTCGACGAAGCTAGGATAATCCTTCTTCAAAGCAATATACATATTTCGGAGCGACGGTGGCGCCGGAGTGGGCGGTCGAACGGAAAAGGCCATGCCGTGGGCTTGGTTCACGTTGTGGTAGGGATCTTGGCCGACGATGACGACTTTGACTTCGTTGAATGGCGTATGACGAGACCTGAGGTTATTAGACGACCTGATACAGGCAGGCAATTGGAGAGATCGGGATAACCTACCAGGAGTACACGTCTTCCTTTGGCGGAAACCATTTCTTGCCAGCAGCCGTCTCACGGTTCAAGAATTTCTTCAAGTCAAGAAATTCCTTTGTGGTCACGTCATCCTTGAGCAATGCCAGCCAGCTGTCGTGGAGAGTATCAATCTCAAGCTTGAGCAGTTCCTTCTGCTCGGCAGTCAAGCCTTCAACCCATTTTGCCTTGTCAAACCTGGTCGCTGGAGAGGGGGCGGCAGGAGCACCAGCAGGCTTTGGGGCAGCACCAAAGAAAGAAGAAATGCTGCCGTTGGCCCTTGTTTTCTTTGCCTCAGTCTCGTTGCCTGTTGTCGCCGCTTTTCTCTTGAGACTTGACATTGTGCAGAATTGAGAGTTGTGGAGAAGTGGAGTTGGCCGGCTGAGCAGTCGAGAGAGCGAATAGACAGGAATAGCAGTCCGTAAGCCAACAATGGCACCCACTGTGTGTAGATGAGTGGCCAATATCCAATTGACCAAGTGTAGTTGTACAAAGTGTACGTGCAAAGTAGCAAATGAGAAGAGCTGGAAAATATGAGCAGAATGGGATTGAAAGGCTGTGTGCAAGATCTTCGTGATACAAGCAAGATGGCTGGGCTAGCTGATGGCTGAGTGGTAAAAGTTGCTGCTGGGTAGCGCGTGTTGAAAAGACGCGGACCAGACCAGCCATTAACGCGCTGCAGCGCTATAGCCCTGACACTTCAACGCGTGAGGGCTGGAAAGTGGCGGCGTTAGCGCTGTAAGCTACAGGCAGCAATTGTCGCTAGTACCTGTCGGGTGCTGCCACTTACAGACTTCAGCGCTCAAGTCAGCACCTAACTTGAAGAGTCTGGGGAGACATTGGCCACACCGGCCCCACACCGCTGGACATTGCTGTTTGATCCTCTGTGCATGGTAGTTTGGTGACGAGGTTGAGAGCGCATGGCTTGGTGGAATATTGAATGAACAGATTATTGAATGTCTTGGAAAGGAGCATTGATATCCAGTATTTCCGTCTATCTAGCCGCTACGAATCCCAGCCGTCAGTTGCGCTGAACACGTGCCAGGTTTGGCGATGACGCCAGTTCCTGACAAAGAGCTGTGCTTAGTCATCAATCAACAGGTAGCGGAAGCTGACTATTGCGAGTAGTGGACAGCTTGTACGATCGCAAAGGGACCTGGCTCTGACGCAGTATCGTGCGACACTCACATGTACGCTGCTTCAGCTTCAGTCTTTATGCGATAGCCATGCTGCGGGCTGTCCCTTCGAACATAGGCACATAGCAATTGCCCAAAATGAGAGGCTGGATAGCCTGTGTCTTCCGTAAGTACCCTCTGCCGCATCATCAGTTGCACCATGTAAAGCTCACATGGTGATCTCAGTGCTTGCGCAGGCCACAGCGGCGGTATGTTCTCACGACCAAAAGCCTCTTGGCAGCCAAAACGACCACTCGGCGCACACTGCCGCGGATAAGCATGCGGTCGAATCCTTCCTGGATGTTGGCGCAGAGCAGGATGGTGCTGCCTTTATACAGCCTGGTACGATGTCACTTGTCAGTATAGAAGCGTAACAGACGAGCTAACTTGGCACAGGAAGCGACCTTGTCGACGCTGCGCTCGCCGAGCTCCGAAAGATACCTCTACCGCCTCGAAGAAAACGGGAATCATCAGGAATATTCAGCTCAGCTCTACGTCTAGTCCTCAGAACTATCCCGACCGGCCCCGTCATCGCACCATCACAGCCCAAGGCGACGGCGACCAGCGGCCCTCTAGTCAATGCAGTAGAGCTACTTGAACAAGCAGCTCAGCAAAACAATTCCGACGCATTATACATGCTTGCTGACTTCAACTTTTTTGGCAACTACAGCCACCCCAGGGACCTTCATGCCGCCTTTAAGCACTACCAACAACTAGCATTTAGCCATGGAAATACTACGGCACAGTACATGCTTGGGGTATACTACTCAACTGGCATTGGCGGTGTTGTTCTCCAAGATCAAGCCAAGGCGCTTCTCTATTACACCTTTGCTGCCGTTCGAGGAGATACAAGAGCTGAAATGGCTGCTGGTTTCCGGCATCTGGCAGGAATCGGAGCTACCAAGAGCTGTGAAACTGCCGTCAAGTACTACAAGCGCGTGGCAGATAAAGCTATAGATTGGTACCGTTCTGGTCCCCCAGGCGGAATGGCATGGATTGCTCAGTCATGGCGCATCGCAGACGACTTTGGAGGCTTGTACGGAGAGGGGGCGAGCGCTTCTAGTGCCGGCATGAACGCGTTCAAGCCCAGGGTCAACTCAGACGCCAACGCTGCTATTGGCGATATCATTGAATATCTAGATCTCATGTCTCAACAAAGTGATTCGAAGGCTACACTCAACCTGGGACAGATCTACTATGAGGGCCAGAGAGGACTAGACAACGACTTCGAACTAGCCCGGAAGTACTTTCTTCTAGTTGCCTCAAGATATTGGAAGAAGGATGGGCGCCCCGTAGAAAATGCCAAGTCTGGCATTGACAAGCTAGCCGGGAAGGCAGCTGGCTATCTTGGCAAAATGTATTTGAGGGGAGATGGAGTTCCTCAGAATTTCGACAGAGCAAAGATTTGGTTTGATCGTGGCTCCTCACAAGCTGATGCGCTGTCGCGATATGGCCTAGGACTAATGTACCTGCACGGCTATGGTGTCAAAGAGAATATTGCGAAGGCTGTGGAGCTGTTCAGAGTATCTGCTGATCATGATTATGCTCCTGCGCAGGTCCAAATGGGCCAGCTCTACCTCGACCAAGGCGGCCAGGAGGATGTTCGGATCGCGAATAACTACTTTGAGCTAGCTGCTCGTTATGGCAACATTGAGGCAAATTACTACCTGGCAGAACTGGTTTTCCATGGCGTGGGCCGTGAAAAGCTTTGCAGCATGGCGCTGAGCTACTACAAGAGCGTGGCTGAAAAAGCAGAGCCCCTCGTATCGTCGTGGGCAGATGCGAATGATGCATACGAAGTCAAGGCCTATGATCTGGCGTTCCTGGAGTATCTCTTAGCTGCCGAGCAGGGCTACGAGAGGGCGCAAACTAACGTTGCATGGATCCTCGATACTGTCCAATCTAAATTACCGATCTCTGAGGTGCTGCGTAAGCGGAACGACAAGTCTGGTCTCTTGGATAACCCTGCCTTGGCGCTCATTTACTGGACACGAGCATCAAGACAATCAAACATTGATGCTCTCGTCAAAATGGGCGACTACTACTTTTATGGTATCGGTACCGAACAAGATATTGGTAAAGCGGTACAGTGCTATACCGGTGCTTCTGATTATTCGCAGAGCGCCCAGGCACTTTTCAACCTGGGATGGATGCATGAAAATGGCATTGGGCTGACACAAGATTTCCATCTCGCCAAGCGGTACTACGATCACGCGCTGGCTGTCAACGATGAAGCCTATCTCCCCGTCACTCTCGGTCTATTAAAACTTCGGATACGAAGCGCTTGGAATACTCTGACGAATGGCCCTGTCCATTCTATCCAAGACGAACCGAGTAAGTCTATCAGGAGAAGAGCTTTAAAAAAAATCCGAGAGGCGATGCTAACAAATTTCACAGAGAAAAAGAAAGACTGGTCGCTCTCGGAGTGGATAACCAACTTCTTAGAGGACGAGGGACTTCCGTACGAAGACGATTACCTTGACGATATGTACGACGGGACTATCGGGGATGACGATGAAGACATCTTGGATGGCGTCGTTGAGAGCACTCTCATCATAGGCATCACGCTGGCTCTTGTCTTCCTACTGTGGTGGAGACAGAGGATGCAGCAACAGCATGCCCAGAACGTCGAAGGAGAACGTCAGAACCAGAGACAGCAGCAAGGCAATCCTATAAATCCCGAAGATGCCTTTCCGGCCTGGGCAGGTGGAGGAATGGGCTTATAAGGTAGATATTAGTCTGTGTATATATACTATGGGTGGCGTTAAAGGATACAAAAGTATATGTAGCGGCGGTGTCCTCTTGTTTGATAACTAGCATGCAAAAACTCGAGCAAAGCCTGTTAAATGGATGTATGACTGTATACTATGTCCTTTTGCGGGTGTTGAGAGAAAGTGAAGTATTCATGCTTGGGTCATCTTCTAGCAGGTGATTTTCTAATGGTTCGAGTTCCTCTAATATCTAACTAGCTTTTGTACATGTGCCTTTGCAAAGTCTAGTTAAGATGAATTCGAGACTACCTATGAGTAAATCTATCAATCATCATCCACGTCCCTGTCTACCATCGAAATAGACCCGTGGCGTTCATCATCGGAATCGTACTGCGGAGTCAGTGGCGTTTTTGGGCTAGCAGGCTCCTCAGTCTTGGTCGGAACTGGGCGTCGAGGAATCCGAATCTCTTGCAAGGGAACGGTCTGGCGTCTGGGTAGAGGTGGAGGGATCTCATCTTCGTCATGCATCGCGATTGGAGGTACAGACTCTGCCGTTCGAGGAGGAGGGCGCGGAGATTCTGGTCCAGACCCGCCGACAGGTCGTCTGGAGATGGCAGGCTTGGTAGCAGCTTCGTAGCTTGGCAAAAGAGCCGGAGGCGTAATTGTCAGACCTTGAAGAGACTCGGCAGACTTGTCTACGGCCTTGAAGTGGTCATCATGTCCTTCACTAAAGTCGAGAAGGTCTGCTTCCTTGTCTTTCATCTGGATGACGTCCTCTTCCGTTTCGATTTCCGTTCCGGCCTTGACGTTTACGAAGCCACATTTGTGCAAGATCTCGCCCGTGAGGGAGGGATATCGGAGATGGCCGCTGACACTATCGCTCAAGTTCACATTCACGATCCCGTTGACGTCTTTGATGGGCTGCAGGCCGGCGACTCCGAGGGCGAGACTGTGCATTCGGTAGACGAAGCCCAAGACCATGTCATTCTCGGAGTAGACGTTGAAGATCTTTCCTGAGACAACAGGCCGGATTGTCCGCCAGTGAGCTGAGCTGGAGGGGGCTGGAGTGCCGATAAGGATGACCGTATCGACTAGACCAAAGGCATGACGTTCGGCAAGAGACTGTAAACAGGCATGGATGGTTGCAGCGCCGAGGGAATAGCCCATCAGTGTGACGGGCCGTTCGCCCTGGACTTTATTAATGAGTGCATCGGCGAGAAGCTGCCCAGCCTTTCGGGATCTGTTGTGCCCACGGTTGAACGGATTGTCCACGTTGGAAGCAACGGCCAAGACTTGAATCGGCCAGAGGGCAGCCCAGAGAGTCGCCAGCAAGGTCCGCTTGATGATTTCTGCCTTGAAGGCCTTCCAGGCAACGGAGCGGACAAGGTCGGTTAGTGCGGTGCCCAGTTTAAGAAGAACGTTCATCTCGTAGCGTAGAGCAAAGACTTCGGTGTCGGTACTCAGAGTGCGCCAGGGTTTCTTGATATCATCTTCTGTGTTAAGCCAACCATTGATTCCGATAGTAACGCGGAGACGACGCTGCTCTTTTTGCTCTTTGGTAATTTCCTCCGGGTCACCTGTTGTAGACTCTTCTCTGAGAGGAAGAAATTTGAAATCCTCGACCTCTTTCGCGTAGTTATCCATCATTTCGCCCTGAAAAAAAGAAGAACCATATCAGCATATCATGATCCCCCGGCCAAACAAAGCACCCCTTGAACTTACAGTCATCTTGGCGCCATAGGCTCCAAAAAGAGTTCCAACCAAAGCCCCGTTCATCCAGAAGATACCGAGAAAGCTTGCAACACCTCCTAGACCAACGCCTCCAAGAATACCCCCAAGCGCTCCGGCAACCAGAGGAGCGGCCAAGCCTCCGGTAACTCCAATAACCGCAGCGCCAGCTACAGATGCCAGCCCGACTTTCCAGAAGCGACTGACCTTGTTCTGTTGTTTGCGCTTGGCGGCCTCAGCGTCGGCAGACATGGCTTCCTTTGTGTCTTTGTTAGCTGTAGAGGACTCCATCAGCGACATGGCGATTTCTGATTCTTCCTTGTTAAGAAACGTTGAAGAAATCCCCAGCGATGACGCCAGATAAAGCACCAAGGCACGAGAGTGAGCTGAGTATACCCCTGTAGAGAGAAGCAATAGCAGCACACAGCCGAGGGCTTCTTCTCGATCCTCGATGGGGATGGTTGTCAACTTGGTGGGTATCGGTTTATATACCGACTGCAGCATGGAAACATCTTCTGTCTCATCAACAGGCATGCCATCCACATCAACGAGAAAGCGATCGTTACTGGGCATATCCAGCTTCTTCTTGTCCAAAGCCTCACGTCGAGTCTTCCTCTCAGTTGTAATCTTGTTCGTCTCTTCCACGTTCACAATCTCTTCAAGCTTGGATACGACTTCATCTCGCCACTCCAGCGTGTATGCCAATGCCGCCCCGAGAACTTTCTCTGCCTCGTTGGTGGTTTTTACTTTCTGCAGCGACACGCTCTGAGCCCTGCCGCCTTGAGATGCAGAGCGCCCGGCTTTCTCAGACAGGTCTGGCGAGACCGATTCATCGTCTCGATTGCCTTCGTCCTCTGGTGCGATGGATCCTAATTCGTCAGGATGAGTCTCCAGCTCGGAGATCATGCCAGAAATGATCTCCTGGACAAGAGATAGCAGCGCCTTTCGCCTGGCGGGATTCAGGGCTATCACGATCTGGCGCGGATCTGCGCAGAGAGGCGCCATTGTGAAGAGTCGTGGAATACCCTTCGCAGTGGTTCGTTGGGTGCTTCAGATGAGATTGGTTTTGTTTAAATAGTGTTTGGTTTCAAATCCGAGATCTATCCGCTGTTGTAAGATGGCGAGTTTCATCTGATGCTCAAGTCTAAGCATAAATGCTGGCTGGTAGCGTGTGTATGTTACACGTCACCGAGATTCAAGTGATTGGATGTTGTCGGGCCATCGAATCCTTCAGCCAAGACGGTATGAATGGCATGCAGAGGTAACGAGCGGCTATACAAAAGGATACAATAACAATAAAGAACTAATTCACAGCGATTCAATAAGCTAGAAAATGATTTTAAAGGCGGATGTTACGGCAAATCATGTCAAAGCGAAAGTGAGACTGCTGACCGCATTGCAGTCGAGTTGCACATCGGCACCATATTTAGCGAGAGAGAGCGGTATATTTGCCACTAACCAGACGCATAAAAATGCTACAGTAAGACCAGAGTATACCTTTAGGCGGGTAGATGCACTGTTTCAAATTTGTCTCGCCGCGGTCAAAACTCATTCAAAAATGAAAGGCAAAAAAAAAAAAAAGATCATTGCTGTCCTCGGCAAGCAACAAGTCACAAAAAGAATAAAAAATGTAACTCTTCTCCGTAGAGATATCTCTCCGGGGACGGAGTCGAACCGCCGACATTCTGATGAGATGTTATCCATTACAGTCAGACGCCATGAACCAACTAGACCACCCAGAGGTAGAAGAGTTAGTATGAGTAGTAGTAATAAGGCTTATAAACCTTCTACTTTTTCACTTGGAGCCCAACGTCCCGCTTGTCCAGGCTAGCGTATCCGATAAGCGCTGATAAGCATTGGCCCCGCTAGAAAAATACCATTTTCTCCCAAGCAGCCAACCATGAGCGCTGTCTGAAGGGTAACAACTCTTGCTGCCAATTGTCGAGTATCATGTCGCGCTGTCGCCAGCGGTAGAACCACCTTTATTCTCTTCTTTCTCTCTTTTCCCTGGTGCGGGAGCTGTGCCATATAATATTCTGATACAATGGATGCGCACGCGCTTCTTTCCGCCCAGGGTTGGCGAGGAACCGGCCATTCTCTACACAAGACAGACGACTCAATTGGCCTCGCAAAGCCTCTCTTACTCAATCGCAAGGCCAACACCAAGGGCCTTGGCAACACAAAACATTTCACAAGCGACATGTGGTGGATGAACGCCTTTGACGAGCAGTTGAAAGGCCTCGACACCTCTAAAAAGGGCCAGGTCGTGCAAACCGTCAAGACCGGCAAGCTCAACGCGCTAGATCACGGGAACGTGTCAAAATACTCGGTTTACGCTTCATTTGTACGAGGCGGGTTTCTCGATGGAACACTCAGTGTAGAGACGACAGACGACTCGACAAGCAGCGATTCGGAGAAGAGCGACGATAAGAAGACAGAGGCGAAAGCTACAAAATCCAAGGAGACCAAAGAGGAGAAGAGAGTTCGAAAAGAAGAGAAAAGGAAGCGAAAAGAGGCTAGAGCTCTGAGAAGAGCGGCCAAGGCTGAAAGAAGGTTAAAGAGAGCCGGGGCGAAGAAAGACACGTCTGATTCTGGCAGTAGTGGAAAAGAAGAGAAACTCCTTAGACGTGTGCAGAAGGAAGAAAAGCGCAAGCGGAAAGAATTAAAAAAGGAGAAAATCTAATAAGGATACTGGAATGGAGGATTCATATACGGCGCATTAGCAGGGAGTTTGGCTTCTTCTTTTTTTCTCTCAAACGCAAGGGATACCCAAATAGAGTGCGTTTCAAGTTTGTATTTCTTTGGATGGATTGGCTGGTCGGCCAGGCTTGCCAGATAGAATCCAAGGCCGCTTGTCCCAAAATTCGTCCCTGATGATATCCAAGTGTTCCACGACCACTTTTGCCTTGGCTCTGCGCTTCTTATCCTTTTCCGCTTGTGACTTTGACTGCACTGCTGGCTCCGCAAGGGCATCTGCTGCAGCAGCTTCATTATGACTGCCAGGATCGACCAATTCATACTACAAACGTCAGTTCTAAATGCAACCAATCTTGACATGGCCTGAAACGAACATCTCTGAATATTATGCTTCCCTTTTTGAACATCTCTGGTTCATTATTGTAGTTGATCTTGAAGCGTGAGAAAAGTATTTCATTCTTATCAGCAGCCAGTGTCCCCTGATACCACGTTAATATGATTCATCATAGCAATAGAAGGCAGCGCGTACAGCAAGTGTTTTCTCTGCCTCTTTGTTATCAAGCCCCCCCAGCTGTATTAGTTTCCAGAAGGCTGTATTGTATAAGTTGTTGATGTGGCCTAGTTGGTTAGCATAAATTTTATCTCATCTTGCCATTGTCAACGTACAATCAGCCTGTCTCCAACTCATGTAGTCACGCAGATTCTGCACCGTTGGATAGCAGACAGCTCGACCATCAAATGTCGGAAGAGGAAACGAGAGAGGGGTGTCCGGAAAGTATGTCGACCAGAGATAGACATAGTTTGCCGTAAACGTAGAAACAACTGTGCTCACAAGTTTGCTGCAAGTTCTTAGATGGTGCAGCATGCAGGGTAGGTTAGGTCTCTGTCTCGCACCTTGCTCTCCTCTCGAAGAGGTTGCATGACTTATGAAAGACGAAGCTATGTTGTGTTAGGCCAGAGAATTTTGTGAATGTCCAGTAAAAAGAGGGACAATACCTGTATTCGTCGCTGACTCCGTAAGATATGGTGATTTCTGGTAAATCAGTCACAACCGCCATAGCCGCTGCATTCATAAGATCCAGCGCTCTCTTGTCATTTGGCTTTTCGAATTCATATTTGGCGCACATTCTTGAATAAAAACTGTTAGAAACCACCGCGGACATCATTCTCTTTCATTTTGCGCCTTTACTTGGTAAATCCCCTCCCATCGATGCGCACTACGACCCAAGTATTGGGCATGAGGGAGTCTGGCTGCTCAAAATTTCGAACATATTCAAATCTAGAATTGCCCTTGGTTAGTTAGCCAACCATGGGCCATGGAATTGGAGCACCGTACTTGGAATTTGCCATCTTGTGAATCGAGCGCTTGTGACGCGTCTCAGCTTTTGTCAAAGAAAAGCTTTGTACTTCTTTGACCGTTGCAGCGAGATATCGAACCTACTGTACGATTTACTTGTGCGTCATGCTAGCGCATCCCCGCAGTGGAGCATCAGCCTCTCAGTTACACGTTAGGCGCACGCCTCGAGATGGAGCATTAGATGCACCCCTCGTGTGGCGCATAGGCTGCAATCTGGGCAACTTTTGTCAGCCTTGCAGGAGAGAGACGCTTCTTTGCTCTGCCGTCTGGAGCTCCTCGCAGCCTTGTCGCGTTTGCCCGTCTACCATGCCGTTCTGCCACTCTCGAGAGGCCCCAGCCCTGTTACCGCGACGATGAATCTCCTTCTTTCAGACGACTACCTCCTCCAGGATTATCCTGAGAGCATGACCAGCACGATCCGGTCCGGCCATGCGACGATGCTGAGGTTTAACCGCAAGGGCGACTACCTTGCCTCCGGACGAGTAGACGGAACCGTCGTTGTCTGGGATCTGGAGACAATGGGCGTCGCCCGAAAGATGAGAGGGCATAATAAGAGCATTACGTTCCTCAGCTGGTCAAAATGTGGACGGTATCTGCTCTCAACATGCCAGGGCTGGAAAGCCATACTTTGGGATCTGGAGACTGGGCACCGACACCGAGAGGTGCGCTTTCGTGCCCCTGCCTACATGGCTGAGCTCCATCCCTGGAACCAGTATGTGCATTCTTCTTTTCGCTTGACAAATCTGCTGCCTGGTGCCATTGACTCACATGTTCAACTAGTAACATCTTTGTCGCGTCTCTATTCGAAGAGCAGCCGCTACTCGTCGATGTCTCGGAGCCAGTCGATGTCAAGCGCGTTCTGCCATCTGCACCAAAACGGTCCAATACTGAGAATGATGCTGCTCTCAAAGAGAAGCAGGCAAAAGAAGATGCAAAGCAGATGACGACGTCTGCCATTTGGACCGCAACGGGCGATCACATTATCGCGGGGACAAGTAAAGGCAAACTGAACATCATCGATGTCAAGACGCTCGAAATCATATACTCGGAAAAAATATGCACAGGAGTCATCACAACGATGCGAATAACGGGGTCAGGGCGAGATCTACTTGTGAATTCACAGGACCGCATCATCCGTACTTTTCGAATACCCAATCTTTCAGTCGAAGACCTCGACCCCGATACAATACAACTGCCCCTTGAACACAAATTTCAAGACGTCGTGAACAAGCTGTCTTGGAATCACGTCACATTTAGCGCTACGGGCGAATACGTGGCTGCATCCACCTACAATAATCACGAGCTCTACGTTTGGGAGAGAAACCATGGCAGCTTAGTCTGCATGCTGAAAGATCCGAAAGAGGAGCAAGGTGTTATCGAGTGGCATCCTTCTCGGCCCCTCTTGGCTGCCTGTGGCTTGGAGACGGGCCGCATATATATTTGGTCCGTCATTAGTCCCCAGAAGTGGTCGGCGCTGGCGCCAGATTTTGCCGAAGTCGAAGAGAATGTAGAGTACACGGAACGAGAGGACGAGTTCGACATATATGCACAAGAAGAGATTCATCGAAGGCGACTTGACGCCGAGGACGAGGATGTGGATGTCCTCGCGACTGATCCCACGAAAGAGGGAGATGGCCTGGATAACTTTCGCATGCCTATTCTATTCAACTTGGGCGAGAGCGATAGCGAGGACGAGTTTGTTGCGGTTTCGACTGGAACTATGCGGCGGAGGAGCCCTGGAGAAAGTCAAGCTGACTTGAGCGCCGGAGCAGAGTCGTCTGCCCCTGTGCGTAAGAAGGGAGGTGCTAGGGGAGGAAGAAGTAAAAAGAAGTAGTAATAGATGCCCAAAAGCTTAACGGAATAGCATTGATTCTTTATGCATTGTATCGGAAAAAGTGACATGCATGGCAATTTTCATAGCGCGAGACATGGAGAAAACATACGAGGCGCGGAGCCCCAAATACGTAGCATTGGATGTGAGGCTAACGTGAAACCTTGGATCAATTGAGTCACGCCGGTCGGTGCATTGTAGACTAGAGTCGAGGCTGACAAAATTATAGGCGAACTTGCCCTACCAAAAACCGAGCAGATAGCTCGCAATTTTATGGTTCTGATATTTTCCGGTGTGGCGTAAATGCTTACTAATGATCTTTGGCCTGAGGCACCAAGCGCTGCGGGTGCAAGGAGGCCGTGGTCCGTAAAGGCTTAGCGGCATCGAAGCACCAGGCGCCTCACGTCCAGAACTTTCAGGCTTCCTCCTCCTGCTGTTTTGCCTCGACCACGACAAAACTCTGCCCACGGCCCAAAGTCATCACCAAGCGTGTCGGGCATCGAATCTGGCACCTGGAATCCCGTCGACAAGTACGATCCGAGACCCCGACCTGCGATTTACGTGTTTATACGGCCTCAGAGCTGGTGGCGACGGGGGAGATCTGCCGTGAGGTTCTCCTGGGCCTGTTGGCCAGGACTGGCGATCGAGAGAGCGTCATCTCTTGGCGACTGACAACCGCTTTTGTCATCGATTTTTCGACTTTTTGCGACTAGAAACTGTCACTTCCTGCGATTTCTCCGTGAATTTTCTCGACGCATTGCTCTTTGACCGCGATTACGAGGCGCGTGCTGCGTTTACCGCCCTCACCGATCCTTTCTAGTAGATTTACGGTTATTCGATTGAAATTTCACAACACCCTCGAAAATGGCGAACCTCTACTTTACCCACTCGAGCGCTCCGCTCAAGACGGTGCAGGAGATCCAATTCGGACTCCTGTCTCCCGAAGAGATCAAGAGTATGAGCGTGGCACATATTCTGTACCCCGAAACGATGGAGGAAGGCGGCACGAAGCCACGCGACGGTGGTCTCAACGACCCTCTTCTCGGCTCGATCGATCGACAGTTCAAGTGCAAGACCTGTACACAAGCTATGGGCGAGTGTCCCGGTCATTTCGGACACATCGAACTGGCAAAGCCCGTGTACCACCCTGGCTTCATCAAGAAAGTCAAGAAGATCCTGGAAATTGTCTGCCACAACTGTAGTAAAGTCCTGGCTGATGAAGTTGGTCTTGTCTTTTCCATGAAGCCTTTGCCTCACTGGATGCTAACCTGAAATCTACCAGAGTGATCCTGAGTTTGTTGCGGCAATCAATACTCGAGATGCAAAGCTCCGTTTCAAGCGGGTATGGGCCGTCTGCAAGAAGAAGCGGAGATGCGAGAATGAGGATCGGACAGACAAGAACAAAGACGAAGAATTTGCGCCTGGCATCAAGCCCGCGCTCGTCGAAAGCCATGGCGGCTGCGGCAATGTACAACCTCAAGTACGACAGGTTGCCCTTCAACTGAAGGCGGCTTTCGAGGTAGCTCAAGAGGATGGGCCCAAGAGGAAAGAGACGGCTCCCATCACCCCCGAGATGGCCCACAGCATCCTTCGCCGCATTTCTGAAAGGGACCTTGTCAACATGGGTCTTAATTCGGACTACGCCCGTCCGGAATGGATGATTATCACCGTGCTCCCCGTCCCCCCGCCTCCAGTTCGTCCTTCCATTTCCATGGATGGTACTGGAACCGGAATGCGCAACGAAGATGACTTGACCTACAAGCTGGGAGACATCATTCGTGCCAACGGTAATGTCAAGCAAGCTATTCGTGAGGGCTCGCCGCAGCATATCGCGCGAGATTTCGAAGAACTGCTCCAATACCATGTTGCGACCTACATGGACAACGATATTGCCGGTCAGCCCCGTGCTCTTCAAAAGAGCGGTCGTCCTGTCAAGGCAATTCGTGCCCGTCTTAAGGGCAAGGAAGGTCGTCTGAGAGGCAACTTGATGGGAAAGCGTGTCGACTTTTCCGCCCGTACTGTTATTACCGGAGATGCCAACCTGTCTTTACACGAAGTCGGAGTTCCTCGCAGCATTGCCAGGACCCTGACTTATCCTGAGACGGTAACGCCGTACAATATCGGCAAGCTCCATCAACTAGTCGAGAACGGTCCCAATGAGCATCCTGGAGCCAAGTACGTTATCAGATCCGACGGTACCCGTATCGATTTGCGCCACCACAGGCGTGCAGCTCAAATCTCATTGGAGTATGGTTGGAAGGTTGAGCGACACTTGATGGACGGTGACTACATCATCTTCAACCGTCAGCCTTCGCTGCACAAGGAGTCCATGATGGGACATCGTGTTCGAGTCATGCCCTACTCTACTTTCCGGCTCAATCTGTCTGTCACGTCCCCGTACAACGCCGATTTCGACGGTGATGAGATGAATCTTCACGTCCCCCAGAGTGAAGAGACTCGCGCCGAAGTCAAAGAATTGTGTCTGGTTCCCAACAACATTGTCTCGCCCCAAAAGAATGGTCCTTTGATGGGTATTGTCCAAGACTCTCTCGCCGGTGCTTACAAGATCTGCCGACGTGATACTTTCCTTGACAAGAATCAGGTCATGAATCTCATGCTTTGGGTTCCCAACTGGGATGGTATTATCCCCCAGCCTGCTATTCTGAAGCCGAGGCCCCGTTGGACTGGCAAACAGATCATCAGCATGGTCATTCCCAAGGAAATCAGCCTCAATGCCCCTGAAGACAAGGCTGATAACCCTCTCAACGATACAGGACTGTTGATCCAAGCTGGCGAGCTGATGTATGGTCTCATGAAGAAGAAGAGCATTGGTTCGGCCTCGGGTGGTGTCATCCACCTCTGCTACAATGAATTGGGTCCAGAAGGCGCCATGGCGTTCCTTAATGGTGTTCAGCAAGTGACTGCCTACTGGCTCCTACAAGAAGGCCACAGCATTGGTATTGGTGATACCATTCCGGATAAGCAGACAATTGAAAAGGTCCAGGCGCATATTGACACACAAAAGGCCGAAGTCGCCAGACTTACGGCCCAGGCCACTGCCAACGAGCTGGAGGCTTTGCCTGGTATGAATGTTCGTGCTACGTTTGAAAACAAGGTGTCTATGGCTTTGAACCAGGCTCGTGACCAGGCTGGTACAACAACACAGAAGAGTTTGAAGGATTCCAACAACGCTGTTACCATGGCCGAGTCCGGCTCCAAGGGTTCATCCATCAATATTTCTCAAATGACAGCGCTTGTCGGACAGCAGATTGTCGAAGGAAAGCGTATTCCATTCGGCTTCAAGTACCGAACGCTTCCTCATTTCACCAAGGACGATTACTCTCCAGAGGCTCGCGGCTTTGTAGAGAACTCGTATCTCCGTGGCCTTACTCCGTCAGAATTTTTCTTCCACGCCATGGCCGGTCGTGAAGGTCTTATTGATACCGCTGTCAAGACAGCCGAGACTGGTTACATTCAGAGACGTCTCGTCAAAGCTCTCGAAGATCTCAATGCTCAGTACGATGGAACTGTCCGTAACTCTTTGGGTGATATTATCCAATTCCTTTACGGTGAAGATGGTCTTGATGCAATGTGCATTGAAAAGCAGAAGCTTGGAATCTTGAAGATGTCGGATGAGGCCTTTGAGAAGAAGTATCGCCTTGATTTGGCCAACCCCCCCGAGTGGTTCAGGAAGGACTACGAGTATGGCAACGAGTTGACTGGTGACAAGGCTTCCATGGCTCTTCTCGATGAGGAGTGGGATGCCCTGGTCGCTGATCGTCGTGAGGTGCGACAAATCAACCGCACAAAGATGGGTGAAGAGGCAATGCAGCTTCCACTGAATATCGGGCGAATGATTGAGACTGCCAAGCGCGTGTTCAACGTCAAGGCGAATGACAGGAGTAACTTGAGACCTTCTGATGTCATTCCTGTTGTGAGAGACGTCATTAGCAAACTGAAGATTGTTCGTGGCGAGGATCCGATTTCCAAGGAAGCAGATGCAAGCGCCACTATTCTCTTCAAATCTCTTCTTCGCTCTCGACTTGCCTTCAAAGAAGTGGTCAAGGAGCATCGTCTGAACAAGCTCGCGTTTGATCACGTACTCGGTGAACTCCAAAACAGATGGGATCGGTCATTTGTCAACCCTGGTGAAATGGTTGGTGTTCTTGCGGCTCAGTCCATTGGTGAACCCGCCACCCAGATGACACTGAATACTTTCCATTTTGCTGGTGTGTCTTCCAAGAACGTCACACTTGGTGTGCCTCGTCTCAAGGAAATTCTCAACCTTGCCAAGAACATCAAAACCCCTGGCATGGCGGTTTACTTGGACACTCCCCTGGCTAAGCAGGAGCAAGCGAAGAAGCTGCGAAGTTTGGTCGAGTACACCAACCTCCGATCAATCACGTCGGTCACAGAGATCTACTATGATCCGGATGTCCAATCCACAACCATTGTAGAGGATGTTGACATGGTTGAGTCCTACTTTTTGATTCCAGACGACACCCAAGATACCATTGATCAACAGTCCAGATGGCTTTTGAGAATTACACTCGACAGACAAAAATTGCTTGACAAGGAAATCAAGATTGACGACGTTGCTCAGCGAATCAAGGAAGAATATCCCAACGATTTGGCCGTCATTTTCAGCGACAACAATGCTGATGAACAAGTAATTCGCATTCGCACTATTCGTGCTGGCGATGAAAAGAACGATGATGGTGAAAAGAAGATTGAGGATGATGTGATGCTCAAGCGGCTCGAGGCCCATCTTCTCGACACGCTGACCCTGCGTGGTGTGCCTGGCGTTGAGAAGGCTTTCTTGACCAAGGGTACTCGGCTTGTCGAGGCAGCCGATGGCTCTGAGCTCGCGCTCAAGGACGATCCTCGATGCACACAGTGGTACCTAGATACCAGTGGCTCAGCGCTCCGTGAGGTTTTGGCTGTGCCCGGAGTCGATCCCATACGAACCTACACCAACGACCTCTGGCAGGTTGTTGAAGTGTTCGGTATTGAAGGTGCTCGAGCTGCCTTGGTGAAGGAGCTGACGGCCGTGTTGGCTTTTGACGGTTCTTATGTCAACCATCGACACATTGCTTTGCTGTGTGATGTCATGACTTACCGAGGAAGCATATCTGCCGTCACTCGACACGGTATTAACCGAGCAGACACGGGTGCGCTCATGCGTTGTTCATTCGAGGAGACGGTCGAAATTCTTCTGGAGGCGGCTGCTACTGGTGAGCTTGATGACTGCCGTGGCATTTCTGAAAACGTTATGCTCGGCCAGATGGCTCCCATGGGCACTGGCCACTTTGATGTCTTCTTGGACCCGAAGATGCTGGAAACAGTCATTTCGGACAACTCCCGCATGGGCCTCATGCCAGGCATGCCTGTCAAAGAGGGAGACGTTGAGGGTGCGGCTACGCCGTACGATACCGGATCTCCAATGGGTGATTCTGGCTACCTCAGCCTCAACTCTCCTGCTGCTGGAAACTTCTCTCCTATCCAGGGTGCAGGTTCGGAGACGCCTGCTGGATTTGGAACGGAGTATGGTGGCGGTGGCTTTGGTGGTATTGGCTCGATGAGCCCTTACTCCATGCGTGGAGCGACGAGCCCTTTCAGCACTTCGCCCACATCGCCATTCAGTTCAGGCATGGGTGGATACTCTCCTTCGTCACCCAATACTGGATACTCTCCCACGTCTCCTATGATTGATGGTGGAATGGGCCGATATGCTTCGTCTCCGTCATTCAGTCCTTCTTCGCCATCCTTCTCGCCAACATCGCCGATGCTGCGGCCGACAAGCCCTGCCAGCCCCAACTACAGCCCAACGTCGCCAAGCTACTCGCCTGCATCGCCTTCGTCGCCGAGACACTACTCGCCCACGTCGCCGGCTCAGTTCAATTCTCCCACTTCGCCTAGCTACTCGCCTGCTAGTCCTAACTATAGCCCTGCGTCTCCTAATTTGCATGGTCCAGGCGCCACTTCCCCATCATATTCTCCTGCCTCACCTTCTTGGTCTCCGACATCCCCAGAGGCTTACTCGCCTACGAGTCCAAGCTTCTCCAAGAGTCCTGGGTCGCAACAATCTCCAACTAGCCCCAGCTACTCGCCCACTTCCCCATCCTTTTCTCCTCGGACACCTGGCCCGGGAGCTTCAGGCAACCAATAGTAAGTCATGGCCCAGATTTACTTGATGCGAAATCAAATATCTGTAACAAACATTTACTAACATTTTCCAGCTCACCTAATTCCCCAGCTAACGAATGATTTATCTTATAATGCATACAAGGCACGCTTTTTGCCTTTTTGGTTTTATCGATTTTACCCCTTGCTTTATTTCCGCGTGTTTTTCTCTCTCTCTCTCTTATTGTTCTCATGGTGGAAGGCTTGTGAGGACCTCAGCATGATAGACGTTTTATGCAGGCTGTAGCAAAAAGCCAACAATGGATAAAAAAAAAGAAGTATCTATACTAAAAATACAAATGGTTTTGTCAATATGCGATCCTCTCAGCAGAGATATTAGAAAGGCTGATGGCAGGTTTGCGGCTGACATGTATACTAGACGCGAAGATGAAAAGTTTTTCATAATTATCTAGGGGATTGATAGTAGCCCAGATTGGAATCAGATTGCAAATAAATGGAATTCGCAGAGGACGCAAGTTTGTCCCCAGAACGTGAACTTGAAAGTGTTTTATCGTGCTTTTGATGCCTTGTGATCATGCATTTGATATGCTACGTATGATGCACTCAGATGCTGTAAAATACAGGAACAAGTTGATAACTCTTCTTCTCCCCCTTTGTGAAATGTATCTGAAACCAACTGTACTGTATATAAAGTGTGGCTGAACACACGCTACCTATCCTGGTAAGCATGCATGTGCCCAAACTCCGGGAGTAAACTCCAGCCTATTTGACGAAAAGCCTCCACCCCGCCTTCCCCATCCGTGATGCACTCAATCGATGCAATCTGTTGCATGAGCCTGAGAGCAACTTTGCAATACTAGAATTTGGGACTTGCCAAAGGTGTGTTTTTTTGGACACGGGCGATTCAAGAGGAGGCCTCTGTGGCAGCCTCAGGCGCCTTTAGGCCGACTATTGGGACTTCTTTAGGAGGCTGATACACTCACAGCCACCCGTTACCACTTAAGCGCCAACACATTTTGGCCCCTTTGCAAAACATCGCAACATGCCTGAATCTCAACCTCTGCATTTATTTGACCTCCCAGTCGACCTACTATCCCTGATTCTCCAGCCACTGCTCACAGCCCCAGACGGAGGCATCATCTCTCTGTGTCCTTGTACCGCCAGCCCGGTCAACCCCGTGCCCATCTTCCTAACCCATCCATCTCTGTACGCTATCGCTCATCCGATATTTTACGGACCAGCGAATACATTTGTGTTGGACCTCACCCAGGGCCATGCCTCCCACGTAAGGCGGTTCATAGAAAACGCTGCAGAAGATCTGCCTGGCGATGTGGAATGGAGCGGCAGACAACAACAGACGCAGAATCATGTCCTGCTACGTCACACGGGTGGCCGGTTTCTCCTCCTATCGCAAGAGGCAAGGCGCAAAGTGCACCGATTGGAGATGAGAATCGACAAGCTAAGAGGGTGGCTGTGGGATGAACTGGGGTTGTTTCTCCGGGATATGGCTGTGCGAGGAGATCTGAGCGACTTGACCTTGTTGGTGGACTATAGCGCCGGGACGAAGGAGAGGACAAAGTCGACTTCCAGGGCTTTTCTGAGAGAGAAGAAGACGGTGTTTGAGAAGCCGCCGCTGGAAGGACTGGTGAGGTTGTTGGCTGATCCGGGCATACGAATGGCGAGTTTGAGGGTGAAAGGGAGGCATGATCGAGCGTGGTGTGATTTTCATCAGGGAGGAGATTGCATTTTGAAGTCGTTTTTGCGGGTCAGAGAGGGTGGCGATGATGTTATGAAGAAGAAACAGGACGAGGAGGTGGTGGAGATTGATTGGAGGGCGATTTTGAGAGTGGTGGATCCGGAGGCGAAGAGGACGGCTGTTGGATGGCATGCGGAAATGTAGAGTGACTTTGGTGTAGCTGTCTCTATTGGATGAGCTGGGCTTTGGGACCTGGGCTTTATACCACGCTCACAAGTTATATTGTGTGGTGGAGTCTTGGTGATAATGGTCGACAAAATTGGGCTATCAAATGAAGAAAGAGTTTGTAAATTATGGTAGAGTGTGCTTATATTCATATTCTGTACTCCATGGGTCCTATACATGCAGTCGTTATATTTCTTTTCTACTGTAGTTTCTGATTGTATTCTTTCTTGGCTTGTCACAAACATATCTCGCATAGTTGAAGCCATGGTATGAGACTTCTTTTCAACAATGGGATGTTGTATTCGCTTCTACAAATTAGATTCTGGATGTCCAGGATGGGCGTCAGCTCAATAATCGAAACGCTGTCAGAAGCGTCACTTACAAGTTTTCAAAAAGCTGAGTTGCTACCGACGGCGAAGGATCACTACAGCGAGGTTACAACCAGAATATTGTTCTAATAGGCAAGTCATGATAGTAGCCGGAGGAGTGTTTCGTGCATTAGCTTTTAGGGAGACGGATGTAGAGAAAGAGCGTAACTATGCTCATACTTGGAGAATCAACCTGGGTAGACTACTATGAATAGAGGACGACTAAGTTGATGGGAATTGGCAGTAGAAACTATTCCGTATGATGGTTGATATAAATAAATAACTGCTGGAAAACCTGTGTAGATATAGAGAAGCAGTTGTTTAGTAGGCATCTGGCAGCGAAACGCGAAATTCTTCCCTCGCACAGCGTCGCAGAAATACCATACAGAATAGCGGCCATGCAAAATTATTTCCATACGGTTCACCTTGAATTTTCCCTCGTCATTCGTAACCTCGCATGTGTATGTGAGTCAATGCTTTCTTGGCCCTCTTCTCACAGTCGCGACTCACAGTTCACCAAGATGGATGTAGCAAAGAACATGAACTCTTTAAGAATTTCACAGCCTTTTTTTTTCCTTTTCGTTCTTCATACAATTTTTATTTGTTGTCATCAAGATTCGAGCCTTCGCGACATATTGACTTACAATGGGAGCCATTAAGAGCCGCTCTCAAGTGTCACGATACACAACAGTGACGGTAAACGAGCAAACCTCATAGAACCGAGCAATGAAGAAGTGTAGGAATATCATGATCAAGCTGCTTCGCTTTATCGCCAGCAAATCTAAGGATTCCTATAAGTACTGCCGGCATTCTAGCCATCATCTCCGTGTAAACCAACACCGACCGCAATACTCAAGCTTCTCACAAGCCATCAAAAATCCAAATTTGAATCTCCAGCCGGGCAACTCGTTGATCGAAAAGAGCCTCAAGGAATCTCAGGTTGCCACACTAATCGCCCCTTTGCAGAATATAAAAAATCCATTTGTCCAAGGCATTTCAAAAGCTAGCCAATCCCCGGTGGTCTGAATGCCCCGTTCAATCGTCAAAATGCCCCGTTCCAGGAGAAGCAACTCGACTCGAAGCGGTTCCTCAGTAGAGTCTGATGATTCGCGTGAAAACAAGCCAAATCCTACCTGTGAAGATTGCGGCGGCACTGGCGTCTATCGGATAGCCATAGAAGAGGAAGCTGTTGTTTCTTGCAACGTTTGCGGGGGACGGTCCTGGGTCATGTGCTGCCAAGGCCCGTCTATTTGCTGCGGATATTGCCACGGTGGAAGGCCACGCCGAGTTGCGTGTGGCCGCTGCCACGGCGCAGGCAATATATCAGTGACCAAAACCAGGTACAGGGAGGTGGAGTGCCAGTGTGGCTACTGATAGCTGGAAGGTCGTAGAGAGCTGAGCTGAGCTGGGCTTTACTACCTACTTTCCCTATAACCCTTTCCCTGGAAATTTCCTATATCATTCTGTATTTCGACATCTGCGGCTGGCCCGCCAGATAACCAAAGGCCAATACTAGACGTATTGGAGGGGCAATACTAGTAAAGGGGAAAGACTGGAGACAAAGATGTCATCGGACATTATACGGAATTGAGTTGATGGTGGTTCCTATTTTTAGGGCTCCATAGATCTGCCATTTGCAAAGAGGGCAGGACGAAAACGAATCAAAACTGTGTGTTAAATTTGAACCAGCTACGTGTGAATATTTGATAAGGTTTAGCACAACACGTTGTAATGGATAAACTTCAAGTGGCTGGTGACAGGTCTGATTCTTACTCAGCTGATACTGACTTCATTCGCCGTATAGTGGCTGATACAACGTGTAGCTTTCAATTCTGAACTGCTCCCATAGAAATGTATTTGGCATTTATAGCAAATCCACTATAGAGAAAAGAGCAGGCCGAGCAAGGTAAAGCGGACATATGCAAGGTAAGCGGTCAGCTGAACACGGAGCGCTCGCATACTCTACATGCAGTGGGTAGGCATACCTGCATAATAGGGCTCGCGATTCCTTCCAGTGATGTCAGCACCACTGTGAGGGTTCATTGCGTTCACTTCAACCCATTTCCAGAGAAAAAAAAGGCCTCCATTTGAAGCAAGCCTAACAGTAGCTGGGGACGAACGAATCAGATATCAACAAAGAGCACTCTGTACCACTGAATTACTGAAATCTCTGGGCTAATAGGTAGGAAGCCGGAGATAGTCGTCAGGATTTTGTGCAACTAACCAGCGCGACTAGCAAGGGTGATGGGCCAAGACCCAAGACCTAAGCTTGGTCAAAGCTTTTCTGGCTCTTTAGATCTCATGTGGGGGGGCTTGATTGATCGGATCAGGGCCCTGTCCCAAGGCATCCGCTGAATGCGACGCAGTACTCTGCTGTAGTAAAACTGCCGGAGATGTGATTCGGCGATGGCAAAGACGAGGGACCACAGCATGATGGAGCACTCGGCAATGCTCGGTATTGCGCTGGTTGTGCCTTGTGCAATTCTTGCCTCATTTCATCATCGGTCACGGTAGATGCATCAAATGAAAGGACAGTAAATGAGAATGATGTGTATGTATCTATGTACATGTACCTACCGAAGATGGAAGACGCCCAAATCTAGCATCTGTTTAGGGAGGTGCAGCTTGGGTCCAACTCCTGCCAATGCTTGCACAACGTGCCTGCCTCGTTGATCTCTGCTGGTCCGCCCCTTCCTCGGTGATAGCGATGCCCCTTTGTTCTTGGCAGGTGCGAGGCTGTGCCATTGCCTGTGAGTGTAGCACAGTTGTAGGTCTTTATGTTGAATGAATTTTCCTCTGTCCAATATCAACACACACTGACATTTAGCAGTGCTCAGCCCAGGATCCCTCGCCGTAGAGACGCTACCCTTCTAGGTAAGCTCCCCCAATGCTGAGATTTCTTCTTCACAATCTCCATATCTTGGCACGCACGGAGATATCACTAACCCCCTTTGAAATCCCAGTCCCATAACACTACTGTACGCATCCAACAAGCGTTACCCGCCATCTACTTGCCCCTCCACCATTCACCGCAAGTTTGCAATGTAACCGCCGCGTACTCTCAGCGTGACGGACGTTTCGGCCTCGTTGTACTCCATAGGTAACTGCGGCTACCACTGCTATTGGCTGCCTGCACAGGAGCCAAGGTAGGTACACAGCGCTTTTTGCAAGGCAGGGAGGCGATGCCAAGCACAATGAGAAATGAACGAGGGAGGCAGAAAAGTACGAGAGCAGAGACAGGAGCAGCACCAGGCGTGGGGGTTTCTGGCGTTTTCCCCCTCCCCGCGCTGGAGCTGCTGCTTTCTCACTGGCCACAAGGAGGAAGACAACGGCCACTAAATTACTGCGGTTGGTAGCTCAGCTTTGGGCATTATTAGGTATTCGTATTACACTCTGTCAGCACAAAGGCAAGAAAAGAAAAAAAGAGAGAAGCGACAGCAACGAGAGCAGCAGCTCGAAAAGAATCGCTCTTCGGACAGAGAGAGACTCCTATCTCCTTGTGGGAATAAGAAATGCTGAAACAGCTTCCCCTCGTCCGCTTCACCCAGCCCCTCGCCCCCTGCAGGCAATAAGATGCCTTGCGCAGCATGTATACATGCATACATGCTCGCAAAGACTCCGAGCAGTTACATCAGGGTCCAGAGCCTTTTTTTTTTTTTTTTTTTTTTTTTTTTTCCGTTTCCCTGCATGTCGCACTCCCAAGGCCTCGGGAATCCAGGCCTGGCCTCGGCACACGGTAGCCTCTTCTAGCCGTGGCGCACCACCCCATCTCTCCAGATCATGCTATGCTTGCATGAAAAACAAACGACTTCTTCCACTATAACCTTAGTCGAAAAAAAGAAAAGAAAAATTCTTTCGCTTCTGGCTGTTTTTGTGCAGCACAATTATAGCACACGAGACACTATTGGCTTTTCTCTCTCTTCTTTTCTTGCCTCTTTCGGCTATCCCCGGCGACGGTCGAGTGGAAGAGCCGGAACAGACTGCGATTGTTCGTATGGAGTAACACGAGTAATAAAGTCCGTGGAGCTCTGGTAAGGACTCTATCTCAGGCGTATTAGTGAGCAGCTGAGAACATGCGCATGCACCCCCTGGAATATGCCATCTCACTTTTTGTCCTTTTCTCCAGCATCAATGGCGCCTGGTAGAAGCACAGAGCAAATTTGTATTCATAATCAAGTCTCGCAATTTGCTACTGTCCCTACGGGTCGATGATCCCGCCAAGCTGCCTCGTCACCATGTCTCACTCTAAAGTGATGTCTAAAATCAAAGTTGGAGACAAGAAAGTCTCCCTGGCCTTGGCCTCAGACACGGCATTTCAAGCTTAAACTAACATTCGCCTGCCTTTTTCCACCAACAGCAGAGACATCATTTCCCCCACGTAGAACAGGATGTGTCGGCACCGCCACCACAAGAAAAGGAGCAAGGCAGCAGCAGGTCACAGGTTTGATAACAGTAGCACGGAGTAGATGTGTGTGTGTGTGTGTCTGTGTTGGTAGAATTTCGTATGTATTGTCACTGCATATCTTGCTAAGCCAATTTGCTCCAAGATCTGCCTCTTGTAGTACAATCTGTTCTAGACTAAAGTGTGGTTACCCAAAAATAGGCCTTACATGACGCTTGTTCAAAACTGTTGCATTCTTTTTTTTTCCCCCAGCCAATTGGCCAAATCGCAGAAAAAAAATGAGAGAAGGGAAAAAAAACCCCCCAAGTCGCTCCAATCGATCCATCCATACCATTGATTCCAAAAGGGAGATTTGCCAAGCCAAGCCGTACAGGGCGCTAAAGAAAAGGCGCCAGATGCCAAGAGAGCGAACATTCCCTCTCCCTCGAGTCATTTCATGCAGCTTTGGACTTGTTTTTTGTGTGTACGTTGCCGAAAAACTTTTTTTTTTTCAAGTGTAATGATAACAGTAGCTTCGCTCGCTCCATTCCAAATAGACAGAGATAAAAAAAAAATTAGATCACGCTAAATTTCCAAATGTGTTCATGTTGATTTGCCCTTGCTTGGCTTCTGTCTTAAGGAGAAGTAGGAATGTCGTGGAAGTCATCCTTGTGGTCACCATCGTGCTCACCCCAGTAGACGGGTCCCAGCTTCAGCACCCTGAAGCCGGTTGTGGAGCTCAAGCTGGACGAGGAGCGTCGCCTCTCGGGGGTCTCGGCGGAGCGGCTGGAGGGCATCTGAGGATAGGAGGAAGAGGTGGCCGGCGCGAGCGAGAGGAAGGATGAGGGCGCCAGCTCCGGAGAGGCCTCGACGTCATAGAAGTCGTCCTTGTTCTGGCCAATGTGCTCGCCGTAGTAGACGGGGCTGAGCTTGAGGACTCGGAGGCCGGTTGGGGAGCTGATGGAGGCCCGTCGGGGTCTGGCTGGGGTCTCGGTGACTGAGGGTCGTCTGTCGGGTTGAGGATAGGAAGATGAAGTAGTGGGTGCCAATGAGAGGAAGAAGGAGGGTCGGCGCTCAGCCAGAGCGGCACGGGCAAAGTCCATGGACATGTTGGAGATTTTGGGTGTGTGTATGTATATAAATTGTTTGGTAATGGAGAGGTAGATTGAGTTATGGTAAGAGTCGTTGTTTGTAGACACGGAAGAGAGCTTGCACAAGATGTGTTTGGCAGCAAGAGAAGAAGAGGAAATCTGAAAGTATTTATTCGATGGAGGATGGAGGAACAAGGAGCAAGAAAGAAAGCAACATGGATAGAACCAGCAGCGGATGGCGTGCTCTTTATGCTCGCAGACTTTCGGCACTCGTGTCACAGCAAACTCGTGCAAGTAGCTCAAGGAGGTACGTACGTAACTCTAGACAGCCGCTACTGGCGCTAGGCCGTCAATCCCTACAAGAACGGGGGACCCGCGCAAGATCGGGAGCACGGATGTCGAGATTGTCATGGGGATGATGGTATAAGCACAGAGACGGCGCTGCCGTATGTCATTGGGACGCGGGTCTGAGACGAGACGTGGCCGAGGATCTGATCTGACGACATACTGGATTACCAACTCACTCACTTGACGGCATTTCGCCTCCCAGCCCTTTTTGCCTCAGAGCCCAATTACACACTCCATCTCCATCATGTGAACCTGACGCGTTCCCACCCTCTCAGGCTTTTCTGAAGCGAAGCGGTGGCCCTCGCTGCCTCGCCATTGGGTCCAGAGCGGTGCCTTCGCGTTGCCTGCTGCATATCAGTGAACAATGGCAGGGAAGCGGTTGGGCCAATTCGCGTTGCTCTTCATGCAACTACTGGTATGGCCCCCTTCCCCTAGCAGCGCCAATGATAGAGATTGTCCCCCCCACGCCAACTAGGTAGTAGGTCTCATTCTCTCTCTCTCTCTCTCCCAGGGTGCGTTGCTCTCCCGGTTCTTTCGGCCTGGCGGTCTTCGCGGCAACGACAACTGGAGATAAGAGAGCCCACGTGCGAATTTCAAACAGCCCTAGCGCTGATTGGGGTTAAAGCAAAGTTGCCGTATTCAGTTTGCATAAAAGGCATAAAAAAAACAGAAAAGAGCCAGAGATTTACCGAAATGACAGGGGGGCGGGGGGCGCATCTTCACCTTTGGATGAGGCGGCCCGGAGCCTGTGATTGACGGCGCGCGAGGATTCAAATGTCAAAAGATGGAGTTGCAATATCACGGAAGCCGAGCTCCACTTGATGCTCGGGCGGCAGTATTGCAGAATCGCAAATCGATCCGGGGTAGGCACCGTAGTCCCCGGCTGATGCTGGAGGCTTATTGGATGCCCGTCCCGGCAGCCAAAGGGATTTTTCGGAACCGCATGTCATGTCGGGGAAAAAAAAAACATGCCAACCCCAGCGCTGCCATGTGCCTGGCCTCGGGTTCCTGTGGTGGGCCAGAGCAGAATGCGGGGGAGACAAGATCTGGATTGTTTCTAGATCTCTGGCATTTCAGGGATATAAAAATTTTCTTCTTGAAGATTTGGGGTTGTGTTTTTGACGTTATATCCGTGCCGGGTCATGCCACTTTCGATCCCGATATATCTTCGTGGGACTAAGGGCCATGTTTGCGTTCCGAAGCTGGCCGAGTGTGGCATCGTTCGCTATGCCCAATTGGCATGTGAAGTGTCAAAAGATTGGAGTCTTGCAGTGACAATGGGATGAAGCAAAGTGCGGGTAGCGGCGGTGAACTTGTAATGGCTGGTCGCGGCTAAAAGCTACCGTCAATGTCAGTGACGATCATCATGAAGGACAGAGTGCTAGCCCTCTTTGTATCCGGTTGAACGGAGCTTGGAAGCTAGGCTTGACCAAGTTAAAAATCATGGTCAGTGTCTACTGTAATAGCAAGTATTCATAATACTCAAAGAAGCAATGGACAATGGGGACAAAGAGAAAGCAGTAACAAGCAGACATACCTCTGTGTCGCAGCAAAGCGGACCATAAGGCGGCGACCAAGCGATTGACCTTGCCCACAACTATCGAAGCCTTGGCCAATGCCATATGGGCAGCTAACGAGAGGCGATGGTATATTCTCTACAATCTTGTAGTGGCTCACAGATGAAGTAAGTCTCTCTCTCTTCAAATCTGCAAATTCTCTCAGCATTGATCCCAAGTCAAGAGATGTATAGACTCACTTGAGCCACTTCTCTTCAATTGTATATGGAAGATTGAAGATGCCTTCGCACAATGCCATCAGCACAACTTACTCGTGACTATATTTTCCCCATATATATGAGTCTGTTGAGGTCAAGCGACCTTGGTGGCAAGCCAACCTCACAGCCTGCGCAGTGTCGTTCCGTTTGTTGTGTCTTAAGCGCTCGTAAAAGATATCACAAAGGAATAGATGGCTAGTCAGCTGAATTGATCACCACCCTGTTGTTCATAGAGTCGACTATTTTCGTAAAAGTTGTAGAGCGCATGTTGAGGTCGCATAAGGACGATGGCGTACCTCTCTCTCTTCGAGTCTGTGACTATCTTAGCTTTGGTCGCGGATGAAGAGAGACATACTTGCTCGAGCAATAATCTTTACTCATCTAGAATTTGGAGAAATCCTCTTAGAGATTCGTCAATACAGTGCGTTCGTGACGACGTATTGTCGTCTCATCCACGAACCGTATCACCTTGGGAAGAAATGGTCTTGTATATGGGCAACATCCGAGACTTGAACAAGTGAAGAGAAAAGATTCCTCGCAACGAGCCGATTATCCATGGTTGAACTATTATTGTCTTCGTATGCCCCTTGCGCTCCTTGAGCCTTCCAGCAGTCTGCTCTCTGTGCCCGTAGCTGACGTCGAGTTAGCTTGGAGCAACGCAATGTCCGCATACCATTTACTTACAGCGATGAAAAATTGCTCAAAAAAGATGTGCTTCAAAACGCATCAAAGTCCAACACGCATGTCCGCCATCAAAAAAAAAAAAACATTTAGTACTTCTATTTTAAAATATATGGTGTACACCAGCTGTTTTAACCGTGGCTAAATGAAAGAACATGTTCATCACCAACCGATGAGACAATTTGGCAGAATACCTGATAATACAGTGCTGCTGTTGGTTATATGGAGTTTCAAAACTTGCTCAGAAACAAAATATGAGCGCACAACAATTGACGTTATAGGCTGAGCTCCCTGATCCATCGGGGGTTATCGTCAAAACTCCAGAACTGAGCGGAACTTCTGATCCTTCCGTCCGGCCTTCCGAAATACGAACAAGACTATACGTAATCTACATGCCTGCATGCATGAGTAGTGGGCAGAAACATACCTTGATCGGAAAGATATGGGCTTCGGAGAAAGTCTCAACGTTGCCATGTCATCCATCGTTCGAGAGGGGGGTGTATAAGACACCCTTGGTGCAGATACAGGTTTATCGGTCGAACTTCTGTTCGAATCTAACCAAATGAATCATTCTGTTGGTGATGAACTCGCTCAAGATGCAGATTCAACCATGCACAAGGTCATTTTCTGCGCAATTAAGTCTCTATGGTGCTTTTTGCATCGGGCCGGTCTGCCGGTCTGCCATTACTTCCTGTCTCGACTAGCTCCAACGGTGGAATAGCTCCGTTCATAACGTAAAGAATATTGGCTCATTAAACCTATCCATGTATTGGCTCTCGGCATGCTAGCATCCCTAGAATATTGGCTAGTTTGTCGTATCAACATGCCGTACTTTGCTGGCGTCTGTTGACATGAGGTTGTCCCCCTGAGCCGCTTATACATCTCCAAGTACGTCTTCTCAGCTCTAAAGCCCCATTTCGGTTTAAGCTCTTCGAAGCCTCAGTGGGTCGAGTTTACCGCGAGCGGTAATCGCAAGCGCTTAAATCGGCCTCTGATTGGTTCCGCCACTCGGGGCCCTAATAGCGTCGCATCGAGATGCTCGGCATGGATGGCAACCTCAACGTAGCCGCCAAAGTGTTGCGCTTCATGGATAGAAAAAAATGCTCATTCCATCTGTTGGATATCGTGTAGACGGGCGCCCGCGCTTCTTTAGCTGGCAATACGCGCGGTAAGCCCAGGGCCTAATACTTTTTGCTTGTTGGCCGTTGGTTTTCCCGGAAGGGCGTTTCTGGTCTAGTCTTGCAGCTGCTCCGGCCGATGTGGGATGGTATGGATGGCATCTGCATCTGCCCAAGACCATGGAGTCAATTCCTTCCTGAAGACGTTAGAAATCGAAGCACGCATGGCGTCGATCTAGACATGCACTGATGACATTTGTTCTGCAGCCAAGACTATCCAGCCCCCAATATTCGATTCCCTCGCAGAAGTTCCGAGGTTAGGCACGATGTCTCCTTTATCCAGCCGTGATAGAAGGGCATATGGGGTGTGGTGATCAACGCCATGATAGGAAGTGGTCTTCGTATCGACTTTTGATCTAGCGTTGTCAGATCCCTGGTCAATTGATACCTGATAAAACAACATGGTCAATCAGCCAGCTGGATGGTAGCAATGCTAGACGGCTTTGGCTTATACTTGACAGCACTTCAAGTAAGAGTGATGCCTGTGTAAGAGCCACAGGTAGCTGAGCAATTGTAAATTCAGTCAACCATATATATTGGTAGCAACACGCTTAGGTAGACAGAATTAAGCAGTTGAATGGAGATCTGATAGAGCTGCTGCTTCAAAGTATCGAACGTGTTGCTTGTTGGTCCGGGGCTGTTATTAACCCGTGCAACACTATCTTAGCCCACGTCTCATGGAAGGATATCAGCAGATTTCAACAGGAAAATAGTCACTTGACTGCTGTGAAAGGTGCTAGGATTCAAGCTGCTGGAAAATTGTGTGTGGATGTTGGATCATTGTGAGCCACAGGTGGAACCAGCTGTCATGGTAGGCATCATCATAGGAGCCATATGGCCATATGCCACTCAGACAAGTGTTGGCCCCGATCGTGAGGCAATTGAATCATGCCTTGCAGGTCACATTGAGAAAGGTACAAGTATTGCTGCGCCATTGCACGGCTAGTATCTCTTGTAAGTGTCTAAAAGGCTTGTCGGCTGATCTGGGCTGATGGAAGGATCATCTTGCTCGGAGACGGTCATGAATTGGGCCGCGAGGCTTCAATTGCCGAGTGCGGCAATTACAAAGGCCGCATGAAGGGCCGCATTGACTTTTGGACGGGAAGATCTCGAGAGCCGTAGGTGAGGGATCGGCCGCATCGTCGGCCGCGTCCTCCAGTCCTTCATGTGCAACAATCGACCAGCCTCCTCGAGGACCTACAGGCCGTGTAATCAATGAGAGTGGTAGACAATCGCGGCTAATAGCAATAAGTGCCTCAATGAAACTAGCAACTAGTACTGATGAGAGAGAGATTAGCAATTACCTACATGACGCCACAAGCCCGGGTGGTCTTTGTTGGGAAGCTCGACAGTCTCGACCTTGCAGCGAGGCGGAGAACAAAAGGCAGACAGACATTGGGTTCAGGGGGCCGTAAATGCGGCCGCGGCATGTGCTCGGAGGACTAGTACCATCGTTGTATAAACTATCGTCGGCAGTACCTCACCGGAGACTAGTCAATGGATGGGTTCATCACAACTCATTGCAGCTGCAGGCCACAACCAACAAACGCAGAAGAGCGGGCTATCCCGTAAACACGCCACCACCTTGATCGGAATCCCAGTCCTTGCTTGGGAATGGCACTTGTGTCCATGACAAGCAAGCACGTCGGGCCGGAGTGGAGAAGAGCTTGATATTGATGCAATTGAGAGATTGAGAGTCATGCCAAATCCACACATCATGTCCAAGGGGGGGTGGAACAAGTTGCAGGCATGCATCAGAGTCTCAGTCCGATGGTGCTGTTCCATCCTTCGCGGCACCGCCCGCGTGGATTTGTAGACCGGACGAACCCAGCAAGCGCGAGGACCAACGCAAGAAGCATGCTTGACTGACGTTGTAGCAGTACAAGCGATAGTGGTGGTACTGGAATCGTCAGAGACGACAGGACCATGGGCTGGAAAAGCGACGTAACGCGGCCATCAACAACCGCAGTTGGCATCTAACACAGCAGCTCGAGCAACGCAAATGCAACCTCGAATCCCCCTCAGCCACCCATCAGCGCCGCCGCTGGCAGCCCAGACTGGCCAGAACCATCGCCGGATGACGACATGAGGTTGAAGTCGGGAGAGCGAGGCCAACGCGCTGCGCTTGTTGTCTTGCGCTGTGAGCCTCCAAGGGCGGTTCGTTGGCGCGGCGCCTCGAGATCCCTGGTCGCTGGTTGTCGAAGTGTGAATGGAGGAAAAGGCTCGAGCCGCTGGCCACAGCCGCGCGTGCGGAGGCTCTTTGGCCTCCCAGGCTGACGGGCCATCGCCTGGCCAATGGCGGCCCAGGCGCGAGACCCACCGCCGCCAACTGGAAGCGCCTCATCTCCAAGTATCGCCTGCCTCTCCATGTTGGCAGCAAATACCTGCATGGTCGCTTGGGCGGCTGTGTCTTTTTCTCCTTCTTCTCCTTTCAACCCTCTTTGCCCTCGTTGGCGTCCACAAGCGCGGCGCAGGGCTTCTTTGCGCTGTTGGCGCGGCTCGACCAAGACCAGAGCAACAGAGACGTGGTGTAAGAAGCGGCTTCGGCGCGCTCATTGGCAGGCTGGGGAAATTTGGGGAGGCTCGGCTCAGGAACCAGGCACGGGTTACCTTTTCTGACATGAAAGCGCAAAGCCACATTTCAGCCTGCACCAGGCACGAAGCAGGATCTGGGCCTCGGAGTCTACCTGGACGGAGTAGATGACTAATGGTGTTTGATGTTATTGTGTAGATGCATGTTCAAAGTTGTACATGTAGGTACAAGCACTAGGGATGGGGATTGGAGTCATATGCTGCACAACACCACCATTCTCACGGCAAGCTCCAAGACTACTGGCTCAATCCGCAAATGAAGAGGAGCAATGCACGGTATCAAGGATTTGATTTCTACCCAACGAGAGCATCCTGCCGTGTCGGAGTAGGATGCGGCAGAGGCTGCGCGAACATTGGACGGACTTGCGAATAAGACGCTGCATGGTGTGGATACATGACCTTAGACGACGTCGGATCTGGGCTGCAGCATGTTTGCCATGGTCGTTCCTCAGGTGCCCGTCGGACATATTCGGCCTCTCCATGAGCACAAACGCTGCGGTATTACCCCCATGGCAAATAAACAGCATTACCGCACTGCAGCAACAAAAGATCCTTGAGCCCTTCGCTTCGGCAGCCTTGACTGGGGGCACTTACAGTGGATGACGCTGCATATTGCCATATACAGGCACCGTTATAACACATAATACGGCATCGTCTATACAGCAGATACTGCTGATCGCCGGCTAACCCTAGACGTCGTATTGCTCCAAGTTGCTTCCTCTTGCTGAAGCTCCCGAAGCCCCCGCCCGAGGTTTGCTTGACGGGGGCCAATCCTGGTTCCAAGTCGTGCCTTTTAGCGGCAGCCGACGTCAACGCCACAGCCCACAAGAATCATTGTTGTTGGTTCTGCAACTGCGCGCTCCTCCAATCCAGATGCAGAGATTCTTCATCGCTAGGGCCAGCTACCAGGCACGTAGTTGAGCCGTGATACCCAGACGCCTCTTGCTGTCAACTAGCACATGTAATGAGCTACATGCAGTACAATAGGTCTGGGGCAGAAAAAGAGGGCTTTTTGGCGCAGCAGGGTTTTTATCCACCAACGAAGCGGCCTTTTCCACTGCCACAATGCATTTTGTTTCATGGCCTCTGTAAAGAAGGTATTTAGGCCTTTTTTTTTTTTTTGGTCTTTTTTCGACGGCGTGACGTGGCCGGGAGCCGCACTGCTCAAGATGGGAATGTTTGAAAGCCTAATGTGTGATCCAATAAGCCCGTTCCAGCAAATGATGTAACCCTGCTCTTCCGTATTGGGACATGATAGTGCTGCCCAGGCAATATGCGGCCCCCGACAGCATCGGCCTCCTAAATGCACTGGATGATGGAAGCCGAGTCTGGCCCCACGAGTCAAGGCCTCCCAGACTGGCGGTTCAGGCATTCATTCAGGCTGACAGATTTCGAGCTGATTACTTCTGCCCAGTAATAGAAGGCTGTGGCCGGAGAGCAGCACACAGACTGCAAACAAGACTGGCTGCATGACGATGGGTTTCAGGTCTTGTCAAGGCAAAATGCATTGATCAATGCAAGTCCATACGTATACGCTCGTGTACATCAAGTCTCCAGTTAAAGCTGGATCAAGCAACAAATTGCGCCTTAAGAGATTTTTTTTTCCCCCTTCTCCCTCCTCGGCGTGTGTACATATGGAGACCCCAGTTAGCTGAGCTATTACATACTAGAAGCGAGTGGCGCTTCTCTTTTCATCCTAATGAAGAAAATGATATCGATTAGTGAAAATCTAGAATCATTTTCGCTGTTGGACGCTGCCGACATTACATCAAGCCGAGCCTGCTGCCCTTGTTCTCCGTGGTGCCCCAGGCATATAGCAGTACCTACCAGCGAATAGTACCGTCGAGGTACATGCAGCTACCAGGTGGTGTATCCACGAGAGCTTCAACAGCCCATCCTTCAAGCAGATTAAGACGCTGAATCGCTGCGGATCATGTGCGACATCCCTCCTTGGATCCACAGGGCGTCTAACGCTTGTGATACCCCCGTCGACTTTTTTAGAGGCGCAACGGGCAACGCCGCCTTGCCCGGCTGGGCAACCGGCACGACCAACAACAGCACACACTTCCAATTGGGATGCGGGAAACGCATCAGAGGCTGCTCACCTGTTCGCCGGCTCTTTCTGCCAGCCACAGCCAGCATCAATGGCCTGGCTAGGCTCTTTGCTCCCTCCGACAGGGGGGGGGGGGGGGGGGACCGTGTGAAGCTACCAAAATGTACAGGTACCACTCCGGGTCAGTCCCACAGAGGAGGCCCAAGCCAAATCAAACCCCCCTTCACAGCAAACCTGGGCCTCTCTGGACGTTGGAGCTGGTGACACTGGCACTTCGGTGAACGCGCCAGGTCGTAACCAGAAAGTGGCTGTTGATGATGGCTCCTGGTGTGACCCGCGCGTCCCGTTTTTCCTGTTGCGTTGGCGGCTTCTTCCCGACGCCGGGCAGCAATATCACGCATCCAGCAGTGGCGGTTTTCTATCAATGTTGCAATTCTGTGGAGGAGCCAGCTCTCCTTTTTTGTCTGTTCGTAGAAGCCATGGCGTATGTACCCGCGATCCTCTCCACTTGCTTCTCCATGGGCCTCCAATCCGCATGTCACTTCTCGAGGCACCAAGTCACTAACTCATCTCCTTGGGCTGAAAAGAGTTCGTGTCTTGCTCCTCTCGGCACTCGCTCCTAGGCTATCCGCCATCGAATCCCCCGGCTCCTAGACTTGGCTTTTGTTCCGTGGTACAACGATCCGGCTACATGCATCCAAGGCGTATTTTCCCGTCTCTCTCTCTCTCTCTCTCTCTCTCTCTCTCTTTCCCTCCATCCTCCCCCATCTTGTCTAGCACACAAAGGGGTCTCAATAGTACTACACAGCATGTTTGCGGCTCCACTGCTCGCGATCTTGCCAGGGCTTTTTAGCGTGTGGGCATGCATGTAAGTCGAATAGCTCTTCCGCTGGATCTTCAACGTAGCGCGGCCAACGCCGCTCTACAAGTAAAGGGGGAGGGCGTGTCATGGCGAACAATGAAGAAGGGGGTGAGAGCTACAGAAGAAGAGAGCGAAACTGTACAAAAATTCCGCTCAATACTAGTACCATCAACATCAACGTCAGGGCCTAGACTTGGCTACGTCTGTGGCTGGTGACATTTCCATCCTAAATCTCCGTCAAAAGCTGTATCAAAAGCCGTAAGCTTATCCATTGTAAAACAGCTTACAGCGGTACACCTCAAAGCCATCACGGCACCGATTGCGGCTGCTGCATAGTAATAGCTCCTGACGCCTCGCAATGGTGCCCTCGAATTGTAGGCCCGGTGGGGGCTAGGCCTTGAGGTGAATCTTAGATGGAATCGCCTCCACTTTCTTCCCCTTCCTCAAGTGTTTGTTCGAGTTCTCTTGCATCTCTCCACCCACAGCCAAACCAATCTCTACCATCCCAACAGACCCCCCACCACACACACACACACACACACGCACACACACACACACACACACCTTTGATCAAGAGATGCGAAAGATTCTTCGACCACATGCCTGCTGCTCTCTAGCTACATGGGTGTAGACACTGCATACAAGTCTCTATGCACGCATCCATACAGGTACATGCGTACATACAGACACACATACATGGATGGACATGGGCCAGGGGGCCAGGCGCGGAAGCGTTGTTGGTTCTGACCTTTTCTCGAGGCCTTGCCGACCGGGTACGCCCACAACTGGGGGCCCGCGCAGACATCCTTTGGCATGGCCTTGTGCGCAAACTGCCGGTGCTGCGATGCCTATTCATTCCTCCAGGTCGACCCAAAGGCCCAGAGGCCAAAGCTATTTCATCCCGCCACACTGCCTCCTGCCCCCGTCTCGAGGAATAGGAAAAAAAAAAATGCCCCTTGGCGAGAGAACAGGCCAGAAGGCAGACAGATTGAATCCTCGCGCCTGCCGCAGAGCAGACTCGACTCCAGCTAACACAGCTCGGCGGCACACCATCGACCAACGGCCGCGTATACGAGCACCCATTGGCGTCGACTAACAACATAATCTGCGTCGGCTCCCCGACCTGTTGTTCCTCCCGGGTTCGTCCTGATGTGCATCTAACGGCAGTGTACATGCGTCTGGCAAGTCCCGAAATAGAGGAAGCAAACAACCAACAACGATACACTGCACATCAGTTGACGTCTTGGTGTGTGTAATCTGCCTCAAGGGTGCCTGAAGGGGGCTTTATGCTCGGGCGAGGACGAACTCCAACTTGAGCAAACAATGCCAATTCACAGCCTCTACGCAGTCCCCGAGGCTTTCATCTTTTATTCCGCAAGTTATATAAACGACGAGCATACCTGCTTCGTTTCTCGATATCTCATCACAAGCTTCATCCAGCTTTAGCAATCATCAGCAACATTCGACAAAAGCCTCCACATTGACCAGCTTTCTTTACTTGTTGAGAGGCTCCAGCTCTTCGAACGAATCGTCTCTTTAGAATCCAAGGTGTTTATACCAAAGCCACAGACCGCTTCACAGTTTCACACCAAAGGTGTTCAAAGAGCGCAACTTTGTATGCCTGAGCCATCCTATAAAGTTTGCAAATAGAGCACAAGATATACTAACACAACGCCTCCTCTCTAGCGAGCCAACTCTATCCTGCAGCTTCCTAGCTCTATCCGCCTCTCCGATACAATCAATATGTGCGTCTGGGTCATTCGACAGCACTACACCTACTGTGGCTGCATAGTCACAGAGAGTGAACGCAAACCCACCTGCGGCTGCTCCAAGGTCGAGGACCAGGGAACCCAAACATGGGAGGGATACTGCAGGCGCGCTGT